AGGTCAGCTGAAATATCACATGCCACAAGCCTCCCCACAACCCGAGCTAGTACCTAGGCATAAACTATAAACCCAATGCAGGCACCTGGAAGCCATTCTAATTAATTCATGCATGATCCTAGGTACGCCGGGCAAGGTCGAGTGAAACATACATCATGGCTTGTTCAACTAGCGCGAGCGGTTCCTGACATGACAGCCACGCCATAATATATTGATTAGCGCCTGCGGGCATTGGTCATTGATACTCGGCATTTAGAGAGGTCTACGATTATTGGCTATTGCGGCTCGGTATTCAAAGAGGAATAGCAATTCGAAAAGAAAAAGGCGATTGAAGCATTACGCAAGCTGAGATGAAACACGGGATATTGTACGGAGTAATTAGATAAAGAAGCATTTGAACATGTCTTGTTCCGCAGCTTCACATGTCACTGTCTGCAATATAATTGACTTTTCGTGTGCCCCATTCGTTCCTCGGAAATCCGTAGCTTCCTAGACATAGGCACTCCGCAGGGCGTTAGAAACTCCGTATGGCGTTAGAAAGTCAACAATGACACGGAGTATACGGAGTAGAAAATAAAGTTTACCCGGTGTCCTTTCGTTTTAAGTTTAATGTATGCACCCTGCATGCGAACTCGTGTACAACATACAACATATCAGCCCTGGAAGTTGAGCCCTCCAGGGCTATGTATAATATCACGGAGTATAAGACAAGTGGCCCGGAGACTCCGATCCCAAAACCGATGATCTTTTAACCGAAATACCGTTTTGGCCGCCAGGCACCGGAGATCAGGGACGTGCAATGGCGGATTGCCAAGAACACCGCTAGGGTCCGCGGCTGATACTCGGAGGCACTTGGGAGTCCGTGATCTTACGTCAGTTGAAGAGCTTTTTTTCACTTCTGCATGTTGATGTTATTAATTAGATTGATTGGGAGGCCACTAGCTTCACTAGGACTGTATTTTGGCTGTGTGTTGATAGTTAGAGGGTATTTCATCTTCAACAACGTTCTGTTTGAGGTCTCACGTTGTACACGTAAAGTCTATCTGCATTTAGGACTGGATCCATGGATACATAGTAGGTATTACATAAAAGTGCTAGGGTTTGCCCAGGTATAGATGTACTAGTGTTCTATCAAGTATTTCAAGGTGATTGTATGTATTCCCTCTAGTACTCCGTAAAGTTAGACTCTTATGCAACATCGATCAGGAACATACATATTAGCCGAGAAATAAAAAGGTTCAAGCGGTACGATCGGAGGGTAAAATCTCCGACGCCGCGAAGAAGCAAAGATAAAAAAAATAAAAAAAATGAAATGAAAAGCAAAACGTCCAAAGAGCGGTCTCGGCAAGATCAACCGAACAGATAAGCTGCACGAGTAAGGAGAAAACCCCCCCTCCCCCCCAAATGGAACCTTGTACATGGGTACATAAACGCCCGGGTCTCGTGCTGGACTCTATTCGTAGATCACAGAGCGGATGTCTAAGTATAGTCATGTCTCACTTGAACACCTAATACGAATCGGTTCAGGGGTGCAACGCATGTTGGTGCTATCGGGAGTCAATCCGACACTAATGCCGCTGCAAAACATATTGCAGTAGTAATGTTGTAATACATTAGTTTCCAAGAGGGAATAGAACACGGTGGCTTTATGGGATGATATCTTTTTCTTACGCATAGAATTGGGAAGTGTTTTCTTTTTTCCCCCACGCGTATTACGCGATGATATACATGTACTTCGTACCTCGTCCGTTTTACGTATAAACAGCCGAATAAACTGAATGAACTGAATAATGTCAATTACCTAATGTGGATCAATATAGTTACGGATTGTCTCAAGCCCTTATATATAAGTGATCTAATTGGGCTTTCCGACGGATTAATCCTCCGCTCATCCCATTTTTTTGGGAGTCTTCGGTATTTATTCGGAGAAACTCAAATCCCGTGAAAAGGAGATTCAATGGAGGAATTGACTTCTCTAAAGTGCCGAGTTTGGAGGTTGATAAACGGCGAAATCCCGAACTCCGGGTAACCCGCGTCATTTTATCTCGGGCCTTTCCTAGAAGAGAAAACGCACACTCCAGGGGCTGAGTCCAAACCAGACGACGATCCCGGAGGCTTGCAGATCAGATCGCCAGAAATTGAGACATACATCCTTCGTAAGTACGTGGTCAATTCCAGAGTTGCATCGCCGTTGAACCAGGATTTCAAGTGGGCCTTGAAAGACTAGGGTTCCTTGAATAAAGAATATATATGGTAATTTTTCCACTCCGTGGTCCGCAACCTTGGGGAATTCCCCATAACCTGATAGAAAGTTCTTTTTTTTTGGCATCTATGTATTTTCTCCGATCGGTACGGAGTACGGAGTAAGATAACCTCAGACGGTCTCGGCTTTAGCTCTTTATAGAGTATAGTAGTTCGAATGTGGGAGATATTTAACCCGGTGCAAAACCAGTAGCCCACTCCACTTGCGGACCATCAGGTCGATCCTCACCAGGCTATCCAAAAGTAAGATAGATAAGCCCTGCGGCCCCGACGCTGGGAAGGAGGATTTTCCCGTCTAGGCATCGAATCACCTACGCCACCATCCGGCCGAAGCCTAAAAGACCCACTGTGCAGGATAGTATTTTCTAAGCTCACTGGATTTTTTTCCTTTTTCTCTGCTTAATCCTGCGAATTTTTAGCTTTAGAACTATATAAATCTTGCAGAGCTATATATTCATATGGAGTGGTAAAAGAACTCCTCTGCTTACTTTGTCCGGAGTACTCCGTAGAGGTCGTATCCGTAACCACGTAAATGTACTTCGTATGTAACTAGTTAAATGTATATTGCACATGTTCGTTAATCCTAGCAAACCCCGAAAGTCCTCTATTGGTGCACGTCTCGCTTGAATGTCTAGGGCATGAGATTGGTCATTCTGTAGAAGACGTATTGCAGAGTGGGTATAGACCTTTGCATCTAAAAGGTTATCACGAATATGTACGGAGGATGTACGGAGTACGGAGTACTAATGTGGTATCCTTGATCCCTGTGAAGGATTCGCCATTTAATATAAGGATGCGGTAGTAGAGCGGATGAACCGGGGGAATATTCGGGGAGATTTCCACATTTTTCCCCTATGTTTTTCGTATATTTTCCAAGAGACGGAGTATGTACGGAGTACTCCCCCCACTGGGGAGCACGTCTATAATTGCCGTTAGGACAACGATTCCCGACGCCATTTCTCTGTAATCCAAGTTTGAAGACTCAATGCCGATGTCATGTATCCACTCTAAATAATATACAGTTTTTTTTTTTTAAAAAAAAACAATAAAAATTAAATTCTTTAATTTACTTAATTAACTTAATATACTTAATTTCCTTTTCTGAACTAACCATCTAGTATAGAGACCATCGGACACACCCTATTCCTAATATGGCGCCTTTGGAGCCGCCTAAACCAAAAGGGTTCGAACTGTCTCATTTCATTTTTTTCTGTGTTGACGTGGAGAAATCGATTTTATTCTAGCTAAATCTAATTTATATTAAGTCTAAAAAAGCTGAACGGTGGTAATTTTGATGTGTACTCGGAATACTGGGAATACTTAGCACTGCTCTCACTGCTTAGGACTTTCTTTTCGAGTTCCATACCTGAATTCCCCTCCTTTCTCATCTTTCTTCTGACACTTTCGGCCTGTTTTGAGCCTCGGTTTCTTTAAGTTATTTTTCATCTATTTTTTTTTGGCGATCGTAGGCTATACTCCCCTGAAGAAAACCCTGCCTTACCCTGCAGGAGAGAGGGGAAAGCTGAGTCTTGACGCCAGCCAAGTTGCGACTGGGTGAGAACGTCAAAAAATCATTTCATTCTTAGTCTCTCGAATCTACAAGGGGCTATTTCTAGTGGTTTTCCCCCTCCCCTTCCTGGGCACCACTGACCAGTGGTAGGCGGCACTTCCCTCGAGGATATTTTGTTCATAAGCTGTGTGCCACCATCGGCCTACATCGATCATTCCGATTGTCTTTATCAACCCTATCGGTGTCATCTTGGGTCTTTTTTTTTTGTCTTTGACACATCCAGTCGGAAATTCGGATATCGAAAAACGCCCCTCGGCATTCTTCTCTCCAATATCCTTGGTGGTCTACCACACATTGCCGCCACTAGCTCTTCGAGAATCTGTAGCCGATATCTCGCTGACGTCTGATCTCCCCGCTCTGTCACTTGCTTGAGCATCTCAATATTCAGCAGTAATCTGCTGGGTCTCAAGTGCGGGGATTTCATCGTTGTCAATACTTTCTTTCGCTCGACTCTGCGTGAGCCTGCAACTTCATAAGCCCTCGTCTCAAGCCTGGCAAATCCCTGGACGTTGGCACAAGCTACTGGGATACCGCAGACGCCCTGGCACGGAAACCATGCAGCTGAGACCGTGACTTCTCGGGACTAATGCGAGATGGTGGCCTTCTAAGCTAGCTTCAATTCCTTTCCCCCTTTTCGGTTGAACCGGCATACGCAAATTGCTGCAAGTTGACTATTTCGAGCGCCAATCTTTTCATCAAAAACTCGCTGTCAACCGGTGTGCAAATTCCTCTCCCTTATCATCTCTGCTCGTCATTCCCTTCTGAGCTTGGAACGTATACGATCTATTTCACTTGCTGCCGCTTGACCCAAATTTGTTCGACTTTTCATTCAATTCTATCACTGTCCCTTGAAGACCGAGAAATTAAATTGGTATGTGAAAAGCGCATATGTCCCGGCAGAGGGGAATCAGAGAAACGAGCTCATTGCTAAGTAGGCTGCCTCCTTTTGATAGGTCCTTTTTGTGCACTATTTTTCTGAACCTGAGAAATCCAACAAGAAGTCGAGAATCAGCCAAAGCTCACTATCACCAAGTCCTTTCCTTGATACTATACCCATTCAAGGGCCCGAAATCACTGAACGCACTGTTACACTGTTTGTTGTCTAAGTCTGTTATGTAGACAGTCAAATCGTGTGAAGCACTCTGACCCCATATATCATCCAACCGCCATGTCAACACCCCAAGGATCTGGACCTGGCTCCGGCTCTGGCATAGGCCCACACTACTATGTTGGACCCTTCGGTCGTATGTTACCCACAGATGGCCCATCCTCGGAGCAGCAACCCGAGCTTTCAGCTAATTTACAAGAATCCGCGGACCTTCCATACCAGCTTCCACCCCCGCGCGCACATGCTAGCCTACAATTCGGTTCTGATCCCTTTACTCGGCAGCAAGATAGTCCCCAGGGGAAAGACAGTCGATTAAATCACCATAAGCCAGAACAACTTCCCTCCGTGAGTCAAATACTCACTCCAACACCGGGTACCAATTCAGCGCAATACCCTAAACCATTTGCGAGTTCAACACCAAACATGGGGCGTCGTGAATCTGCATATCCGCCTCTTTATCACGACCCGAATCTCCAGGTTTCGCCAACCTCTGTACATGATAGAGGCCGCTCTGAATCTCTCCCACAGCTGCATACTGGCCTGCCTTCATTGTCACAAGTGGCTCTGCATGGCCATGGAGGGATACGAAATCACACACCGACAAGAAGTGATCCATCCGCTACATCCTTTCCACACGGCCAGATACCCCTTCACAGCACATCCTCACATGATCAAGCACCAAGTGGGGAGTTGTCATCTCCGGAAAGTTCGAATCGGTCACGGAACCAGCCCCTCCGCCCTCATGTGGTAGATGAGCGAGTAATTGACGGGGAGCTCTGCTTCGTATATGCAGACGGGTCCTTCTGTCCCAAATTCATCGACGGCACACCCGTTAACGCGAATTGGGGTGTAACGAAGGCCGGCCGGCCGAGAAAGCGCCTTGGACTTGCCTGCTTGACCTGCCGTGAGAAGAAGATCAAGTGTAATCCTAACCCAACTCCTAAGGCCGTCTGTGATCAATGCCGGAAATCTGGACGGGAATGCAGGTTCGAAAGTGCGTAAGTGTGATCGTGACCTCCGAAGAATTTGCGTCCACGGACTTGCCCTGTTGAGCCATTGCTAATCTCCTTCCAGCCCGCGGGGGAATCGTCCTCCGTTGAGAGGATCAGCAGGGCCGTCTGGCAGACCCGACCATTACGCCCCTACTAGCCACGGCGCTTTGGATATTTCTACTTCACCTTACGACATCGCTCGAGCCTCGGACAGTGCGACCTCCCTTCCAGGGACCACCGGCCACTCACCAATCTCAGAGGGCTCGAGGTTGACGCCGTCTGCCCAAGAAGCCACCTATGAAACCATGGCCGACGCGGACAAAGCTTTAACGTCCCGACCTTACCGATTCCCACCGTCTTTACCCGGCACAGATGATACCATCGGACGACCGTCGGCACATATCGAGTCTACTCGTTCGCCCGAGTACTCCGACATTCTAGGGGAACTCAAGGACAACAACTCGACCGACCCCCTTGCGGCCTCGTGGCAGGTGGACCCGTATGAAAACGACCCAGAAGCGGCGGTTCATTACACCGAGTGTTATTTCTTGCACGTAAATGACGGTCTGTACCACATGTTCCCGCATGGACGATTCGGCTCGTGGTTGAAGACCTACCCTACCAAGTCTGCAGACGACAAGATGCTTCTTTATTCAATGATGGCTCTTGGATCTGTGTTCTCGGATAGACCGGACAAAATGGCAGCTATGAAACGATACTCTCGTATAGCGCGCTTTGCCATTAACAGAAGCCAGCATACTCTCTCTTTGCAACTTGCTCAGAGCCATATCATAATGAGTCTTTGGTACTATGCTACAGGGTCGCTGGTCGGGTCTTGGGACTCGATAGGCGCAGCAGGAAGAGCCGTCTTTGGACTTCGTTACAACGTGGAATCTGGCGGTGTTGTTGTGGATCAAAGCCAGATATGTGACTACGGGTTGCATCCGCAGGCCTTGATTGAGTGCAGACGGCGAACGTTTTGGATTGCTTTCGTGCTTGATGTAAGAATACGCACATCCTCCTACTAAACATCGAACCTTAGTTACTGACAAAAGACCAGCGATTCTCAAGCCTCTATTCCTCTTCGTCGACTTTCATCTCGTCAGATGCAGCCCTGCTGAGGCTCCCGTGCCGAGAAGAAATCTACGAGACTCAGCAGTACGCAACAGTTCCCTATTTCCAATCATTCCTCAACCACATCCCAGCTTCTCCTGGTGACGATCGCTCCACCTTAAGCCCAATGGCCTTTTTAATCGAGATCATGGCTATTTGGGGGGATATTTCCCTGCATATAACCCGGTTACCACACATCCCCCCGAAGCATACAACCGAATCGCCGAAGAATTCCACACCACCATCATCCAAAAGTCCAATCAATGGATGACCCGACTTCCCGAGTACCTGTCATTCTCACATATAAATCTAGAACGAAGCATCCGGCAAAGAAAAGCAGATACCTTCATTTCAACCCATTTGTTCTACCACGCCAGTTTGATGAAACTGTACAGACACGCCCGCTACCAGAGCCTCCGACCCGAAATACTAGGCCAGTACATTCACCGCGCTCGATATCACGCCGTTGAGATCCTTCGCATCTCCCTTACCTTCGACCAATACGCCAAAAAGATCGTCCCTTCTCGGCACAACACAGAGACTTCCATTTCTCAATTAACCCTTCTGAATCCATTCCTCGGTTACGTGATTCTATCAGCCGTGGATGTCCTCAGCTCCGCTGGTCTGGCGTCCCAGTTGCACGAATGCATCTCTTATATTAGAGGTGCATTAGACACCGTTCAAGAACTCGGTCGCTATTGGGATAGCTCTTTGCAACTGGTCAATGTGCTTCACAGACGCCTGGGTCTGATGATTAGCTGCCTGAATGAGCGCAGCGTCTTGACGGAGAAACAGGGCTTTGCGCTCGATGGCCCGCCGCTTGAGACGAAGGTCCATGCTGGCGCTTTGCATTCTCATCCGCCTGCAACTATGGGTGAGGATCTGTTTACGGGTTCGATGCCTAGAGAGGTGCTTTTGAATGCTCTACGACTTGATGAGACACTCATCTCGGAGAGTGGTATCGCTTGGATTAGAGACCCATGAGAGGGGGTTCTTCTCTCGAATTTCAAATTGGCGTGACGACGTGATTGATCTCCTGGCAATGTTGATGTTCTTACAGTGATGATGGAATCTTGTTTTTCTTTTATCCTGTTATGATGTGATGGATACATTTTCAATAATGATGGTGACTTGGCTGATTGATTCGAAAGTATCGTTGCCATGTATATATGGGACCGTGACCTACATGACTTGACTTTGCCTCTTTCTGAGCTGCAGAGTTCCATATCTTCTACATTGTATATTAATTATAGCATGTCATTTATTTCTGCTTTTTTTTTAATGACTTTGAGCGAGCACTTTGCTACTACTATCTGGTCCTCATATACTTATATATCAGACTTGGAGGATAAGACAAGCTTAATTTGAAACCGATGAGATGAACGAAAGGGAAATTGACTGAGGTCTCGCTATTTTATACAGAATCTCGTAGAATGACATGCCGCTATCATGCCTTAGCTGGGAACTGTCCCGAATAAAGAAACCTGCCTTGGATGGGATCCATCAACACCGCGTAATGAGTATCTTCATTGACAATCGGGTCCGAGAAAAGCCATCCCAGTACTGTCCCAAGAGTAACAGACACCTCCGACTCCTCTTCTCTTATCTTCGTATTCCGTTTCCACTTCAAATGCATTGCCTGTGAACGGGGAAGAGAATCATTCTTAACTCTCCGCCTCTTAAGTTGTTGTTGGAAAACCCCATGATCCTTCACCCTGCGATCCCATTTCTCCTGCATCGATGCCTGCCGCTCTTTACTCTCCTCAATAATCTCAGCCATACTCTGCATACCATCCACCACACGCAGACCCGTATACCCCCTATCATTCGCGATAGCCTCATCCATAACCGACGCAGTATCCTCGTCATGATTAGTTTTGATAAGGAAAGAACTCGACCTGCGCCAAAACGCAGTCTGATAATCCTTCTCCATCGCAACAATACTACTCCCATCACAGAAGATCAAATACGCAGCCGTCGTGCGCAAACAAGGTACTTCCTCCAGGATATCCTCCAAAGTCGAAGTATTCGAAAGCCTCGTAGACCCCTCCCCCCTCCACACTGGGAAGAACACACTGCCTCAGCAACGACGTGATAGATTGTCGCAACCCAAGCAAAACAAGCAAATAATTAAAATAAAACCCCACATTCCGCCGGGAATCATGCACAGCCCGGAAATTGAGCGAAATGCTCAGATCTTTCCGTACGCCCGTGAGAACCCCCACGAATCCAACGTACGTGATGCACGTCGCGAGCACTTTATCCGGTGCGTCGTCGCGCACGAATTCAAGTTGCACGATCAGGTCGCGCAGTGGATCCATTCCCCAGTCTAAGGTTCGGAAATGGACCATTCGTGTCCAGAGCCCGTCGAGCATTCGAACGCCCCCACTTGTGCAGCCCATTAATAGATCCAGGACCACGTTTAGACAGATTAGGAGGTATAGGGAGATTCCCGTTACGTGGCTGATGCCGCTGATCTCGGCAGTTTCTTCGTCTGTGTAGAGTCTGCGGAGGAAGAGACGCGCGAGCCAGTGGATTGGTTTTGTTGGGATGTTTGGGGAGAGATTGTGGATCACGTCGTCGAATATGCTGGTTACTGAGCGCATTCGGTCTTTGTAGATGTGGGCTAGGGCTTTGTAGCGCTCTTCTGGGGGATTGGAGAGGTTTATTCTGAAGATTGGGGGTTGTTGGGAACCTAGTTCCTTTAGGCGGGTTGTCATTTTTGATGGGTTGTTTTGATGGTTGATATTTCATTCGAGGTTGGAGAGGGGTGGGAGATGTGAGGCTGAGTGAGGAGTGGCGTTTGTTATCAGATAGGGTGGTCGGTAAGTTGATAAGTGTATAAGTATCTTGATCTGAAGTTTTGTAAGAATTGAGAGATTTGGTGTATACTGGAGGAGTTCCGTGCTTATATTGGGTTACACGCTCTTCACCGAAAGAACTGTTGCCTTATATACGCGCGTGCAGCACTAATATAGATCGACACTCAACGTTCACTTTTTTAAGAGTTCGACCAACCTGTATGACTCTTTTAGGCTGACATATATTGAAGAAGAGGTCTAGCGCTCGACGTGGCTCATTTTGCCAAGAGATTCTATGCCGATCCACTTGCGCTTGCTACCCCAGGTACCCAACGGGGCATGTTTAGCTTCAATTGGGTATTTTGACTGATCTATGGAGTACTTTCCAATGCCCTCTTTTTGGTGTTTATTTCTAACTGCCGAGTGGACTCTTGGCATGCATGTATTCGTGGGCTTTGCTCCTCTCCTTGCTATCGATTGCATCGGCTCTATGCTTTATGTATTGTTGACAATCCCAAATCTAGGGCATATTAAACTAGGCTAAAGATGAAATTCAATGCGTCAGATTAAAATTCATTGGGTACAGAGGAGATTCAGGGCAAGTTTACATATACTTCATATACAAGAACAGCCGGATGATCACCACTGCACCTAGCTTGGGAACAGTCCAGCTGATCTGCATAGCTTTTGATGAACATACTCTATATCTTGCTCAGCCCCATTGGGCGTTTTTATTTTGTTAAGTGGTGATACGTATATGTATGCTGTAGATTATTTTTTATTACAGTACGGAGTAGACTTGCTGGCACATATCATCCTTCAATGTATTACCTATTTTTGCAGTTAAAAGTTAGAAAAAAGATGTCCACCCATCGATATGTATAGTATGAACTGAGATTCCAGATATCTACATGCTAATATGCCAATGTGTTGGTCACATTTCCAATTGCCCTAAGCCAATAGAAATCGAGTCACGGGTTGTCACCCGCGAACAAAGGCATTGTGTCCAAACGCTCGACGGGTAAATGTTTCATATTGATCTTATAGACTCGGCTTAATTGGAGATTAGTATGTATTAACGGCTTGATAATAAGCAGAAATAGCTCTATAGATACATTCCCCCAGTCAATGCTCCACTATAACACATCTGAGCGGGGATTCCAACGGAGACGCGGAAAGTTTCTCCGGAATTTCCATCTCCCTCCATTTTACCTTGCTTCATTGCCCTGTCGCATTTCATCCAACCACCCCAAAATGGGGCTATATATATAGATATTGAAAAACGAGTGCGCAAAAAGCTCTCATGTCCTCCTTCAACCAGTCCGGGACCGAGTTCCCCGGGGCGCAGGAGTTCCGCGCAACGGTGGAAGATGACGGACTCGACGGGGATTACACCATCGTCGGCGACTACCCAGAGGAACCCGACTATTACCTCCTGCTGGGTCTTGCGCGCAATCCTCCCCCAACAGACGCTGAGATCCGCTCCGCCTACCGAAATCTGACTCTCAGCTTCCATCCCGACAAACAGCCACCGCATCTTCGCCATGCGGCCGAGAGTCAGTTCAGACATATCCAGGAGGCGTATGAGACACTCATCGATCCAAATAAGCGCATTGTATACGATATATCGGGTGCTGAAGGCGTGCGGCAGGAATGGGGTCAGCTTGGGGCCATGGGAGTTGGTGGGGAGGCACAACGGCAGGATGTTGGTGTTAAGGCGATGTCGCCGGATCAGTTCCGGCGATGGTTTTTGAAGACAATGAAGAAACGGGAGAGGAAAGCGGTGGAGAGTCTTGTTTCCAGCAAGGTATGTGTTTTCTATATTGAGTTTCCGTTTATGGGAAGGTGCGAATGGGCTGTTGCTGACATTGAATCGGGTTTGACCTCAGGGCGGTATTACCCTCGGAATTAACGCGGCATCCATGATCACGGTCGACGAGGACGATGATGTGCAGTTCCATATACCTTCGCCGCAAGTGTCCACATATGGCGTTTCGTATAATTTCAAGACGCCAGTGTCATTACCACAGCTTTGGGGTACGGCAGATAAAGAAGAAGAAACATCGAGCGTCGAAACGGATGCAGGAGAAGATGTGCAAGAGGAGGAAGTAGAGAACATGCAGGTGACTTGGAATGCGGGTATAACTGGAGGTTTGGCTCGGCCGGTCAAGAAAGTCATAGTTGAGTACGAGGATGGAACAGAAGGAGAAGAAAAGGTATGATGTGCTGCAGGTTTGCATCTCAAAATCCCACTAAACGCTTTTTAGTTTCAAATGCCACCGATCCTGGCAGCTCAGAACTTCCAATTTGGGGCCACTGTGACTCCAAATTTCAAAAACCCTGGTGGGGACAAAGGGAATCTGGGCCAAACATCCTTTCTCGATCCTCAGGGATTCCCAAGTCAGCTTCGATGCTCTTCTTCTCCCTGTTCCGACTTTGAAAGCGAATATTGCTCGAGCCTTCCAGCCGATCCCCGGCACCAGGCCATTCCAGGTTAGCGTGACCAGTATACATAAGCGCTCTTTGGATGAAACGGCGCCTTCTTTCGAGGTTCAAATCTCGAGGGAAATTGCCAAAAAGAAGATCGGAGTCATTACATGGTCCAGTGGCGTTGTTGAATGGCCCGAATTTCTTCTTAACTGGTTCCCAACACTTGGAATGGGAGCCCAGAGTGCCATTGCATCTGCTAATGAGGTCAGTAATCTACAAATTGGTCTCATATCGCTTCCCAAGGAGGGCCAAGCTGCAATCGATTTCGACGATGATGACGAGGAGGAGAGTGGAGATATGGACGAGGACGTCCGCCATCTCCTCAAGAAAAAACGCCAAATCGATCAATCCGCCGAGTCATGGCAGACCTATCTCCAGGCTACTCCCGCCGGTGGCGCTTTTGTCTTGAATTATTCCCGGAACCTCTTCTCCGGAAAACCCGCCGACGACCCTGTCAAGACGGAATGGAGTTCTGAAGGGTACTTCCCCATGCCGAGCATGGACCAAGCGCGTGCTGTGCGACTCGAAATCTCGAGTGTTGTTGGGTTAGACATGTCTCTCAATTGGACTATCAAGGGCGTTCGCCGGGTTGGCGAGCACACACGTGTTGGTCTCGGTATTGGCATCGCAGACAAGGGCATCATGATGACCGTTTCATGGAGTCGACTCGGCCAAAACATTAATCTTCCGATCAATGTTTGCCCGGCTAATGAGTCAACAAACGGCGCTGCAGCGCTGACTGCTATATTCCCTTGGCTGGCCTACTGCGCGATTGAATTTGGATATATTCGTCCCCGCGATAGAAAACTTCGTCGACAGGCGGCTGCTCGACGCCACCGTGAGCTCAAGAAGTTGATCCCTAAGAAACGCGAAGAGAGCCTTCAGGCCATCGAGCTCATGACGGATCAAGTGCAAAGGCGGCAAGCGCGAGAGGAAGCACAAGATGGTTTGGTCATCTTGAAGGCCGAGTATGGCTATATACCCCCAGTAAACAAGAAACCCAAAAATGGGTTCGCGGAGCCTCGGGTGATTGATGTCACGATCCCTGTGGCTGCGCTAGTTAACCGGGGTCAATTGGTGATTCCCGGCAAATCTATCAAGGTAAGTCAAGCGATAGGCCTTGGATTGGTTTCTTTTTCTGGGGCAGAATACTAATTTGGATGTATCTAGTTCCAAATTTTGGGATTCCACGACCCTGCGCCATTGCTGCCCAAACGGTTGAAGATCTGGTATAGATTCCAGGGGCGCGATCATTTTGTCGAGGCAGGTGATAAAGAAGACGTCGCATGTCCCATGCGTACACACTTTGTATCAACATGAGTATATCTAGACTCATAAAAAGGTTGAAGAACCTTTTCCATGTAATTATAACATCTAGTCGTTCATTAGCGACTTACTATTTCAACCTCCATTCTGTTGCTTTTACTTCCCCTCATATTTGTGAATCTGAATAATCATTCTTCTCGGGTGCTATAAACATAAGGGGTTTAGAAGTTGAAACCTCTTTCGTATTAAAATAATCCCATTCTCCTGTAGAACGAGGTAGCTCAATTAATCGTGAGACAACATCGGAAAGTCTTGGCGTGATAAGGTACGGCACTACATAAAGACCAACAGTGCAGTTTGTCCCGAAAAGCCAAATGAAGCGTCACTCCATGATCACTTCTCTTCAACCACGAGTGCACAGCTCTTGAGTTGCTCACTCTCGAAATGTCGACCTCTATCGCTTCTGGACTTTTCAAGTCCCTCCCCAAACCCAAATACACCGGCGAAGAGGAGGAGTTGCCACAGCATGCGCAACCCCGTGGTCCGCGCGTGGTGGGCGCCGACCAGATTGATGAAACACAGGTTGTCCTACGGGTGAGTTGAGGATCGTTTTATCAATATACTAGTACGAGAACTAATTGATCCTGTCTTTCAGAGGACCGGACCCCCTCCCTACGGAAACCGTGCAGGATGGCGACCTCGCGCCCCCGAAGATTTCGGGGACGGCGGCGCGTTCCCCGAGATCCTAGTTGCACAGTACCCCCTCGACATGGGTCGAAAGGGGAAATCGTCCAAGTCAAATGCGCTTGCTCTTCAGGTTGATGCCGAGGGTAAGGTCAAGTACGATGCGATCGCCCGCCGCGGACACGCCGACAACCGCACCGTCCATGCCTCATTCAAAGATTTGATCCCGCTCCGCCAGCGGGTGGATATGGGAGAAATTTCCCTGGATAAGCCGTCTGAGGAGGAGATCCAGGCTCAGATGGAAAAGACCAAAGCCGCGCTTGCAACCTTGGTCGAGGGAGCTGCCTCGGCCCAGAAGCCAAAGAACGTCAAGGGCGGACAAAGAGCTGAGCCGACTTTTGTTCGATACACACCGGCTAACCAGATGGGTAATAATGGACGCCAGAATGACCGCATTATGAAGATCGTCGAGAGGCAGCTGGATCCTATGGAGCCGCCCAAGTTCAAGCACAAGAAGATTCCCCGTGGCCCACCCTCTCCGCCTCCTCCTGTTATGCACTCGCCGCCTAGGAAGCTTACTGCGGAGGATCAAGAAGCTTGGAAGATTCCCCCACCTGTTTCGAACTGGAAGAACCCCAAGGGTTACACCGTGCCGTTGGACAAGCGTTTGGCTGCAGATGGTCGTGGACTGCAGGATGTCTCCATCAACGACAAATTCGCCCAGTTCGCCGAGGCTTTGTTCACGGCTGATCGACATGCACGTGAAGAGGTGCAGCTCCGAGCTCAGATGCAGCAGAAGTTGGCAGAGAAGGAGAAGGCTCAGAAGGAGGAGCATCTTCGGATGTTGGCACAGAAGGCTCGCGAAGACCGCGCTGGTCCCAGCTCTCGCGTGGCACGGGCTCGTTCCCGCTCCCGAAGTGCCAGCCGCAGTGTATCTGTTTACTCCTCCAGATCTGCTACCCCCAGCGAAGATGACGAAGCCGCCCGAGACCGCGCAGAGCAGCGCCGCGAGCGACGACGCGAAGATGAGCGACAGCTGCGCCAGTCTCGCATGGGCACGGAGCGTCGCATTCAAGCCATGGCCCGAGAACAGAACCGTGATATCTCCGAGAAGGTCGCGCTTGGCCTGGCCAAGCCTACACAGAGCTCTGAATCTATGTGGGATTCACGTTTGTTCAACCAGACCAGTGGCATGCAATCTGGTTTCAATGAAGATAATCCATACGACAAGCCGCTGTTCGCCGCGCAGGACGCCATCAACAGCATTTATCGTCCACGTGCCCAAGCTGATGCCGATGACGAAGATGCAGGCGAAGGCGAGATGAGCAAGCTTGAGAAGACCAAGCGATTCGAGGTCTTGGGTCGCGCCAAGGAGGGATTCCGTGGCGCTGCTGACGCCGAGGTAAGTTTCCGTCTAGTCTACATTTTCTTTTCATCACTAATAAGTTATTTTTATAGGAGCGCCAAGGTCCTGTTCAATTCGAGAAGGACACTGCTGATCCTTTTGGCATTGACAACATGATTGCCGATGTGACTTCAGGCCAAAAGCGTTATGGAATTCAAGAGGCGGAAGGTGATGATGACCGCAAGTCGAAACGCCCTAGGGTTGACGACGAATGAATCCGCTTTTGTTAATTTTTCTTCCATATGTGTCTCTATGTTCTCTCGTGATATTTTCACGGGGTATCGGAAAAAATATCCTCAATGCATTGCGGGCGTTTCTGGCAGTGTGATTCCTACCACTATCTTGTTCACAAAGGGAAATCGAAATCGAAGCGAGTTAATTGGGCTCGCTTGCGTGAGATGGGATATGCTATTTCATCTACAGCTACCAATAAAAACTATGTTGATCTATGTCTTCAAATCATTAGTCGTTTGTTACGTTTCCAATGGATGTGTACAGGATTGAGACAGCCTTCGCGTATGTACACCGATGCAAGAGATACACGTCTGAGGGAATGGATGTATTTGGCCCCGGTTACTAGTTTAGTAGCTACATACTGGTACTGAGAAAAGACGATACCACAATAGTGAACACCCCCAATGTATTCCGTGGGACTTGTAAGTGGCTATGATGCCCAAATGCCTAGCCACTTGTCAAAGAACACACGAGAAAGCCCCGTTTGATTTGGGTGTGGACCTGCATAGGCCTCAACAATGTTGATGTCTCATGCATATGCACCTAGGTTGCTACGAGACCCTCCACCTGCGCTGTCTCATCGGGGCTATGGGGAGATGGTGGCCAAGAGGGTTGGAGAGAGGAAGGGGGGAGGGGGGTGGGAGGCCTTTTATATTGTCACGTCCCACGTACCTTCCCAAAATGGACGGGCATGATGTTGGCCTGGTTGCTTCAGGCTTGCTTGATACTATAAAATATCACCCCGTCTTTTAATACATAGACATCACTAACTAGTTAGCTATGGTTGCTTGGCTTTTATTTCCTCGCCTCCATAATAGAGATGTGCCAAAGTTTTACGTCTTAGAGGGTATGTAGTCCATTTCAGATGGAATCAAATTCACGCAAGCATTAAAATTCAATTTGAATGACTGATTGTTTAAAGCCGGCTACATCGGCACCTTAGCACCCACTCAGTTCTTCAGCTCCTTCTTGTTAGGAGATAGTACACTCTCCAACCACTTGTAGGCCACAGGCAGACTGTCAGGGTATCCCATGTGCACCCGGTTCTCGAAAAACCGATTCTCCTTAGGACCGCCGTGCTTGAGAGGCTCAATGCAGTCTTCAATTGGGACAACACCGTCATCAACACCCTATCAACAATCAGCTTTGTTTTCTTCCCGCGACAAGACCGAGACAGGAATACATACGTTGAGCATAAGCAACCGGCAGTTATCCTGGTCAAGAACACCAGTCTCCACGAGCGAGAACTTCTTCTGAGCGTTCTTCACAAACTCCTCCTCACTGTCATATCCATACTTCTCCGCCATAGCGGAAGTAAGACTATCATCATGGTTAGTCCTCCACCAGGCAAAAGCAAAAACCCAGTCACAACTCACTTAAATGGATACTCATGGTCATTCGCCTTAGCCAACCACTCAGGACTAAAAACAAAGTGCGATCCAGGTCCATGAGCAACAGAACCAGCAAGACGCTGACGGTGCGTACAAGACGCCCGAATAGCATAGAAGCCACCAGCACTGAGTCCCCAAGCTGCGACGCGCGACATGTCAAACTCCGGCCGGCGATCCATGTAGTCCAGAACGCTGTTCCAGAGTCGATCAGGCGACTCAGGGTCAGCTGGATCCGCAGGCGAGTCCGCGGTACCGGGAATCTCAACGATAACAGCCGCCCAGCCACGGTTGATAATCTCGTGGGTACGCTGGCTGTTGTCAGGCCTGTAGCCGTCAAGCCCAGTCATGAGAAGCACGACAGGGACACGGTTGGCGGCACTCGCTTCCTCCGGCACTCGGATGTACAGCGGGATTTCAGCGCCGTCGCGGCCGGCGCGGTGGGTGTGTGGAATCACTTCCTCGGTGATGATGGGGTTCCATAGAGAAGCCGCTTTCAGGTACACTTGCTTCTGGCGATTGAAGGCCACCCGCTTGATGGATGTCTCTGGACGGGTTGATGGGCTTACGTAGGGGAAGCGTGAGATGCGGAGGATGACTGCTGCGCGACGGTAGAGGTCCGCGGCGTGGGAGAGGTCACCCTTGTTGAGGGCTGTTGCGGCTTCGTTCTCTAACGCTGTAGCGGTTGGGAGGAAGGCTTCGGTGTAGGCTGGTGTGTTTGCGTCGTTGATGTTTTCCTGGTGTTGTCAGTCGTGGATTGGAATGTATGGATTGTGTTTGGGGACGCTTACAGCAATTAGCTTTTGGAAAATAGGCTCGAAGTCTTCCAGGGATCCATCGTGGAATGGATAGATGGATTTGGAGCACTGGGAAATTATCTCTGTTAGGTTGCTAGGTCTTTTCTTATTGTTGGGAAGGGACGTACGCAGAATTTCCATTTGGACTCCCACAGGACCTTGATAGACCCCTGGTGAGGGTAGACAGTGTCGAACTTGTCTCCGAGAATCCAATTCACCATATTGAGAGGATTGTAGATGGAATGGATTGATGGGTTTGCTATTGGCTTTTCTCAAACGAGCTACAAATTTGAGGCATCTTGCGTTATATTAATTAGCTTGCCACCACCTGTATTTGCTGATCATAGCTACTACGAGAGCATAGCCAAGTCATAATGATGTTGTCTGAGATGAAAACAGTAGGTGGTAGCCGGAAGCCCTAAACGAGACAGGATCGGCTACCGCCGATGGCCATCTTGCCAAGGTATGGGGTTACTTCGACGATTTCCGGATGCGGGGGGTGACAACCAAGATTACGACGAATAAGGATAAGGGACGTAGACCGGATTTTTAGATGTCTCATTACTCAATCACAAGAATAGTCGGCTGCTTATGCAGCCTGATCACGTCTTTCTAGGTGTTTTTTTGGGGGTGTAAATATCTTTTTAGAGATGTCTTCTTCGGTTGTATACGAAGGCGATAAGAAAACGCATACTTAGTGCAGGAGACTTTTCTATGTATAACCTTTGATAGTCTCAATTCTAAGGGTTCTCTTCGCAGCTTCGCAACTTCACGTAACCGTTTTAGTATGGCTTCGTCTCTAGTCTTAGGTAGAGGCCCGAAATGAACTTTAGTACTTGAATGGTCACTCAAATGGTAGAATAATGTTGACAAAATGTCCTTCATTCTGATTCTATGGAGAACAACAAAACCAATATTTGAACAAGGACAACGCGTGATTCAAATGGCTTGATCCTATACATAGCTTCCAGGGTCTCCTCCAACGGCCTCAATACAAAACAAGGATCCCAAATATCCAATGCACTAGATATTAGCTCCACCATTACAGGGCAAAATTTGACCTGCGAGAAAATTAGAATTATTCCAAGGGGTAAATTTAACATTCCAGAACTCACCGTTGATCCATTCTCCACCGGGACTAGCCAAGAATGCCACAATGCGGCCAATATCCGCAGGCACACCACAGCGCCCAAGGGGACTTCCATTAGCAAGCGCCTGCTCAATCTCCTCAATAGAAGAGCTCTGGTCACAGCCAGGCGCATAGCGCCACGCGTTGCTCAACCACATATCACTCTTGACACCAGCAGGAGCAATCGCATTAACCGTAGCCCTCTTCTTGCCAAAGTCAGCAGCAAAGCAGCGAGTAAAACCCTCCACAGCACTCTTGCTGCCCGCATACAGTGAGTGGCCTGGAACACCCAGGCCAGCTGCAATGGACGACATAAGCACAACACGTCCACCGGGCTGGATGTGATCATAGGCGTTCTTTGCGACGAAGAACTGCGCCCGTGTGTTGAGGTCGAACACTGCGTTGAAGTCCTCCAGCGTTGTCTCGGACAGCGGGACAAACTTCTCCGTTCCAGCGTTCGACACGACAATGTCAAGCTGTCCGAAGTGGGCAACGACTTGGCGGAAGAGGTTGGCGATTGAGTCGACGTTTGTCAGGTCGGCTTGGAAGGCGGCACCGTGCACACCTTGTGCTTGGATCTCTTGGACCACCCCATCGGCGGTCTTGGAGCTGCTGGCGTAGTTGATCGCGACGCTTGCTCCCTTCTTCGCTAGCTCTAGAGCAATGCCGGCTCCGATGCCTCGGCCACCACCGGTCACTAAGGCGACTTTGCCGGCGAGCTCGGGCTGGGCAGCGTTGGGGTGTTCGACGACCATTTTGGTGGTTATTTTGATGTTGGTGTAGATGGAATGAAGAGTGAAGGGTTCTAAACGGGTGGGGGTAGAATCACACTGGGAGTGGGAGTTGTAATCTGATATTGGATCTGGTATTTTTAATAGTAATACCAGGGCCCTGGCTGGACTCAGCTAAATGGCTTGGTTTCATCGTTCATCCCTATTGCAGAGGCTGGGCTTTGTTTCCGAATCTGTCGGATAACGGTAGTCCACAGTCGACATCAGGACCTAAAACAGGGTAGCTTCTTGCGAATGGGGATTCCAAATTATCTTGGCTTTACCTTCTACCGCATGCGGAAGGCCATGGGGGGATTTCTCCACCATCTGTCACACCAGACACTTCCGGTTACATTGTTGTGTTCCCGTGGACCGGAAAATCGCTGGCAAGATCCGAGGAATGTTGGCTTTAGAGTTTCAAGGGGTTTGGAGGAGTTTCGAGGAGTTTGCTAGAAATGTCTTTGGATTTACCCACACGACGCCCCTCGCAGTAGTAACCAGACCTCAAACTATCTACAGAAAGCAAACATCGCTGGATAAACATGTCTCCTGCTGTAAAGAACAACACCACTGAGCCCAACTTGGACATCAGCTTCCAAGGTGTGTTTCAATGCACCGTCATTCACTTGCATCTGCTAATATCAATAGACTACCTCATCCTCTCGAAGCTCGTTTTCGACTGGGCAGACAGCTATGATTCCAAGGTACACTTGCAATCCCATGAAAGGTGAATTCAACATCAGTACTAATGGTGCTTCAGGACTGGGACCGCCTGCGCAGCATCATTGCCCCAACCCTGAAGGTCGACTACACCGAGGTCGGTCTGACAAAGTGGGACAGCATGGCCGCTGATGAGTACATGGCTATGATTACTCACCCCGGTTTCTTGGGTGATAAAACCGTCAAGACCCAGCATCTGCTTGGTCAGACATGGTGGGAGAAGATATCCGACACTGAGGTTATCGGTCACCATCAACTGCGCGCGGCCCACCAGGTCTACGAGACTGAAGAATTGAAGACAGTCAAGCTGCGTGGTCACGGCCATGCTACGAATGAGCACTACTACCGTAAGGTCAATGGCGTCTGGAAATTTGCTGGGTTGAAGCCAACTGTGCGCTGGAATGAGCTGCGCTATGATGAGGTTTTCAAGGGTCTTGACTAGGCGATAATATGGGCCTTTTGTAGAGAGGGATTCGTGTGGTTCTTAATAGTATCAGAATTTATTTTGTTTGCTTTCGATTTTCTGCGGAATTTGTACTACGACATGGTATAGCAAGAGTTCCATGGGCCATATTTAGCTACCGCAAGATCTCAGGGTCAGCAATGACAGCAACGCCATCACTGTCACTCAGCTTCCTGGTCCGAAATAGACAAATCACGGTGATCATAGGTATCATCTTCGTTGGCTAGTGAATGCACATCCCTCACAGGGAGTCCTGCCTTATTCTGCTCTTCCTCTTCTGCTTCAATAACCTGCCGCAGTCGCTCAATCGTACGATTCACCAGTGAAGTCAGATATCCATCATCCGGATGTTGTCGACAAATCTCTTTAAAAACATCGATAAAGTCTGGATTGCTGTCTTGGCTCTCATGCTGACCAATGGCAAGGCAATACACAGCATTAACAGCGGCTGCAGTGGCTTCGAGTATCTTCGCTCTCTCCTCTTTGGTATAGACGTTCGAAGGGCTGCAGCCCATCAAGAATTTAACAGCTGGATATGATGCGGACAACAGCATCCAGAGGAAGATATTTTCTTCGACTGACTCCGTCAACTTGCGTAGATCGTGAAACAAATACGTTTTCAGAATCTCGGCTTCGGTGGGAAGGGAGACCTTAGTAAGTGGCACCGTATTTCTTGCCCAGTTAATCAAGCCAAGGACATATTAACCCGCAGGCATATTAGCCAATGAAGAGATATTCTCCGAATTACACTTGGTATCCATACCAACTAGGGTTTCTGTATGATCATTTGCTGCTGGTGGATTTGTTGAAGCGTACGGTTCTCCCGCTATGTAGGTTGGTTCTTTAATTGCTGTCGAAGAGGAAGGGTCTCCATAGTCATTTTTATCCAGAACTTTGGTATTGGAACTTGTAGGTGTTCTCGGAGACAGAGTCAACGAGTTAGCCCGTCTTTCGTAAACTGTAGCCTGATAGGCCTTGCGATGAACCCTGCACTTATAATGTGATGGTCTTTGGGTATAATTAGCCTCGAATCTGCACCAAGTTCTCCGGGGACATACCCATATGATACCCATGGAGTTGCTAGCAGTTTCCGATTGATCTCAGTGAATTTGCCCCAGACGGTTGGCAGAAAGAGCCGGAGTGACTTGGGTTTTTGAAACACTTGGACGCAAAACGGGACATTCAGTTCTGGGGTTTCATCTTTGGTTGGTGGTCTCTTATTTCCTGCTTTTGCCCAGCAGATGAATATTCCGAGTCGGTACTCGTTTTCGAAAATTAAAGATCTGATCTGATCGCAGCAAAATGCCTGTGGGGCCATTGTTATAGTGGAGATGAGAGTGGACCTGACGATCTCGGGAGTGGGAGAAATGTGGAGAATGATATTGGCGGTCCAGGTACCCTTGATCCATTGAGCTGATCAAAATAGTCTCATTACTCGCTGTATACATAATTTTAGGAAACCTAATCTACCAGTTTGGTGGGAGAAGGATCCAAGGTACACTTAGCCTTCTATATATCAATTTGCAACCTACTGTACAGAGTCAAAAGCAGCGATACAGGTGATGTGTAGATGGTCGTTCGTGTTGATAGAGGGGAGACAGAAGCACACCTTCCAAGGTTGGAAGGAAGCACCTGCCTTACGTGCACCCTGGGGTTCTTCTTTCCTATTTGGTCAGAACTCGTCCCATTTTCTTAAGCCACTGGGAAGGTATAAATACTCCCTCCCCCCCATTTCTCTCTCTTTTTTTTTCTTCCTCCTTCACATCTCTCTGTTGTTTCTTAGCTCTCACCATGGTCCCTAGTCACCATGACCCATCTACCATAATATCCCATTACCCCCATTCAATGAATACATGCACGCTAACCTTTTTTTTTATAGAACCTCCCCTCACAAATATAAAACATCTACAATAGTATCCCTTTTCTCCGGAGATCTTAGCCACACTGACTTGTTTCTAGACACACTGATGGTGGGACCATCCATGGCGTTGACTCTGCACTCCGGGCCTTTTTATCTTGAACATCCGCCTTGACCTTGACCTCTCACCATGGTCACCCATCACAACCATCCATCATGGTCATCCATTATGGTCACTCATAATGATTACCCACTACAACAGTTCACTGTGCTTCAGCCATGCCCACCATCACCACATCAACCATCTTGGCCTTTCATCTTGGCCATCATTCATTGTGACAACAAACCACGATAACATTACACCTCCCTTTCCCCCAATCCAATATATACTGACCGGTTTCTAGAAACAATCTTGGAGCCCTGATGCGATGGTGGTACCACCCACGGTGACGACAAAATCCACTCTTGGACATTGCATTTTAATTTTTGCCTGTCTTGACGATCATCTGTCTTGACCAACCTTCCGTCTTAACCACAACCATCTACCGTAACCATCATCCATCATGGGTCTTCCCAAAGTCACGGCCACTATGAACAATCTACAATAACATCCCTCTATTCCCCCGCATAATGGACATGCTAACTTGTTTGCAGAAACAATCTTGATGGTGGGGCAATCCACGGTGGCAACCATCTACGGTGATAACTATCCACTCCGGGCCTTCCATTTGGACATCCACAATAATCATCATTCATCATGAGATTTCCCATTGTCTATCATGATCGTCATCCTCAATAACTGCTGTCAATCATGGCCTCAACCATCCATGATCCTCATCATCCATCATGAGCTTGGCCACTGTTTATCATGATCATTGTCCTTCTTGACTGTCATCAACCATGACTTTGAACATTGACACCGGCGACCTTCCACCGTGCCCACCATCAACCACCAATCATGAACCACCACCACAACAACAACCATCTTGGCCTTTTATCTAGCCTTGCATTTATCAAAAAGTTCCCTTAATCTTCACCATACATTTTGATAACGACCTGTTGCAACAATCCGTGACAACCACCGTCCACCAATGATGATCATTCATCTTTATAACCTTCCACTTCGACAGCCAGGGTGACACCCACCTTGGCAACCATCTTACCATCTTGACAACCATCTTGACAACCATCTTGACAACCATCTTGACAACCATCTTGACAACCATCTTGACAACCATCTTGACAACCATCTTGACAACCATCTTGACAACCATCTTGACAACCATCTTGACAACCATCTTGACAACCATCTTGACAACCATCTTGACAACCATCTTGACAACCATCTTGACAACCATCTTGACAACCATCTTGACAACCATGGCGACACCCACCTTGAACGATCTTAAACAACTATGAACAATCCACCTTGGAAACAATCCACCTTGGAAACAATCCACCTTGAACAATTACCTTGAGCACCCACCTTGAACAACCTTGAAGACATCCTTGGAAACAATCCACTTCGACAACCATGGTGACAACCACCTTGACAACTATGAGAATTATCCACCTTGAACAACCATGAAAAATCCACCTCAAAAACAATCCAAATCCACCTTGAAAACAATCCTGAAAACCATCTTGAAAACAATCCACTTTGACAACTATGGTGACAAACTACCTTGACAACGACCTTGAAAACATCCTTGAAAAAAGTCCAGTTTGACAGCCATTCACTATGGTCGCCACGAGACATCCTATCTTGGCCATCCACCACAGCCACCACCCACCTTGTGGGTCTTACCATCCCTCGCGGCCACCATCTACAATGGCCACCACCCACCTTGGGTCTTACCATCTACTAAGGCCATGCCCTAGCACGGTCATTATCCACCATGATCTTTCATCTTGAACATGCATTACGGCCACAATCCACTATGAGACTCATCTACGATAACACCCATGACTATTGGCTCGCAGGCTGTCGCAAAGACACAAAAATTTCCACGCCTTTCCTATCAGCTCTTCATCTCACAAAGTCTCATGATGAAACTTGCAAAAGACCTGGCCTTGGGCAATTTCTCAGTCAAACAAATGTCCAGTACAGGTCAACCTCTTGTGGCCAAACCAACAACTCAAAATAGTTGTGCAAAGCTTCTGGACCAAGCAGTTTTTTCCGTTAATCAATTTATCTTCACCCACAAGCTTATTTTGACACCCACCATCGAACGCTTTCCGATGTCTCATCATTCTCCAAGGTCGCCAAGATGGGTTTGCCTGTATGAACCAACCTTTTTGTATGTCATTGGGGATTAGTTAGAAGGAGAAATCATTTTATTTTATTGTTTCTATGTATTCTTTCTGTATATTCTCTTTGTAATGTACGAACCTGTAAATTTTTCACGGTTTACAGGACGGGCTCATTCCGTCCTCCAATTCAGAACGATATTACGATGACGTTTCTCGCATAATGGGCCTCAGGACATCAGTCCTTGATGAATTCTACCGTTACTTCCAGATTTCGGGGATGGGCCGTTGTTGCTACGGTCCAGGGGCCTGGATGATCGGGCAAAATTCAGCGGGAAATACGGATCTCGATCCCAATCGAAATTTGCTGATGGCGCTAGTGAGGTGGGTAGAAGAGGGTGTGGGGCCTGAGACGATATTAGGAACAAAATTAGTGAACGACGACAATCTACAGGGGGTAAGCATTCGAAGAAAACATTGCAGGCACACTAAACGAAAAGTATTCAAGGGGAGCGGCGATGAGGCAGATCCAGAGAACTTGGGGGGGGGTGGTGTTTAGACCGATTTCATTGTATCTAGAATCCGGTGCTTAGCACCAAAAAGAAATAGCCTTGGAAGCATACTAATATGACTTCAACAAGCCAAGAATACCTACTGAGTGTGCCAACTCTCTAAGCATTCATTCCATGGCAGGTTTCTCATTCTCGATCTCCGACAAAGACAAGAGAAATTTCGTTATATGAAAAGCTAAAGAGAAGCAGTATAGCAAAACATCAGCAGATCAAGACATAGTTATTCAATCTTCGCAACCTCCACAACCTCCATAATCCTGATCATACGTCGAATCATTGTTCCCTCCATCACAGTCATAGCTACCATAGTCATCAGAAGGCCCGCCAGAATAATAACAGCCGTAGGTCTCAGTATCCAAGTAACTCTGACTTACACAATCTTCATGTGAAGTGACCTGGCTCTCCGGAGGCGAATATGACTTCGTGTCATCATCTTGAGATACCTGGGTGTCGAACGTAAGCGAAGACGAAAAACGTTGGTATTCATTGCCATCCTGGTTGGTATATTCAGTCTCATCAATAGGCTGAGATAACCCAGCCTCTTGGTTCTGATCTTGCATTCGTACTTGGACTTGGACCTCGCCTTGGTCTTCTCCATCAGAATCAGAGTCAGAATAATTAGACCCAGTCTCAACAGTCGTCGAAGACGGCACATGCTTATCGAAAGCTGTCGAACTCCCAGTTCCCCAGTCCAGCCCACAACCAGATCCCAGACTAGCTCCCCATGCAGAGCCGTATCCCATCCCGGATCCGTATCCATAACCCGAGCCGGCTCTATACCCAACTCCAGACCCCGTTGGTGCCATCACTGGTCTTGATCCTGACACTGACCTTGACGCAGACCCAGGTCCAGGTCCTGATATCTTATGCTTGATTGCATTCTCTAGCTGCTTAAGCGGTTTCGCGATACTGGCTCGCCAATGACGTGAGCTCCCCGTGCTTGGTTCGTAGATGTTGATGTCGAAGACTCGGTTGTGTTGGGTGCATTGGAAGGTTTTTGTCCTGTTACATGATCAATAAGGATAAGGATATGAAGAACTCTGGGGGTGGGAACGATGAATGTATCCGAGGTATGAACATGTAGGTTTATGTAACAACTCACTCATTAATCTTCACGAAATTCGCATCCACAATCCCGTCCTCGGAGACTTCTTCGAAACTCCCGTGCTTGTCACTTGCGACGAAGTATCGAATAGACTCTACCGGTCCGTTGGTGACTTGGCGCACGAGCTGGATGCAGACGCTTGCCTCGGAGGGATCGGTGGATCCTGTTAGATTGCCGATTGTAGTGAGGGCCCATTTAGTGAATTCGGTGAAGGTTTGCTCGTGTTCTGGATTTGGGAGTTTGGTGGGTTGGATGGTGATACAGCAGAATAGATGGATTGCCATTTTGGCGGTTTTGGTTTGAATAGGTTGTATGAGGAAATGTTAGGTGGGAGTAGGTAGTAGGGGGTATATCTCGTTGTGAGTAACTGTGTGTGTGTGTGGCTGGTAGATGAGGTCGTCAGGATGTGATAATTCGACTCTTACCCGATTAGGCAACGGAGCAGTTATTCCCAGGTACGTGGTGTACCAGGACTCACTTTACGGGAATTATAGGGAAATTCGATAACTACATGTCATATTGTAGTTAAGGTTGAGTTCAAGATATTGCAAGGTTTGTCAAAAGACTTATGGCACCCATGATTAGGAACCTTGGAAGTTGAAGATATATCTACATAGTATGTTATGCACGTCATTCATATGGACGAGAAAAAAAGAAAAGTAAACAAACGGTCTTATTGAATTAATTAGTATTGCCAATTGCCGTGATGTCAATGAAACATGGGCAATCAAAGAAAACGAATATACAAGCATTCTATAACCTCCATAAAATCGCAATATCATGTCACAGATGCCCGTACTACTCCCAATCCTTGAGCTCGTCTAAGATATCACCACGACTAGAAGAAGAGGTTAGCCGATGAGCACATTTGAGCTTATTTTTTTGTATGCTTACTTAGAGTCTCTGATGGGATATTTGTTGTCACCGTCGATAACATAGCCGCTGTGGGTATTCTGGTTCGGCCACAGACCCTTGGTCGACTCTTCGTGGATAGTGACATGGTGATCGTGCGTCTCATTAGGACTGTCGATAGAGACAGTCGTCTCGTCCGTGTGAGGAGCTGGCCAGAAACCCTCACCGTCAGCGAATTCGTCGTTTGGGTTGGGTGCCGCCGGCGGCTGCTCATGATAGTAGTGCGGGGAGTCAGGCTCAGGTGCAGAAGGCTTGGTGGAGGGCTTGGCCACTGGTGCTTGTGACGATTGCTGAGAGGGGTGCGCAACGGGGGAAGAGGAGTGCGCAGAAGCGGGAGTCTTGGTCCCCTTCTCGTTGGTATACACAGCACCGTGGCCGCCAATGGTAGCTGTAGTGTTAAGCCCGGTCAAGTCAAGGCCCTCGTTGCCGGCGGCATTGCCACTAACTAGTTGGGGGTAAGCTGCGCAGGCGTCGTAGTGGCTCTTCGGGGGAGCGTGCACGGTGTTCGGGAAGGTCTCGGGGGCTTCGATGATGGTGGCCATTAGACCAGCTTCGACGTGCCACTCGACGTGGCAGTGCAACATCCAGACACCTGGGTTATCGGCCTTGAAGCGGATGACGACATGACCGTTGTTCTGTACCATGATAGTGTCGCGTCTGATCGGGGTCGCGGAGACGTTGCTGGATAGGCCAGTGTAGAAGCCGCCATCGACTGGGGTGCGCTGCAGAACCTGGAACTGGTGACCGTGCAAGTGCCACGGGTGCAGGTTGTTGTGGTGGTTGTTGATCACGATTTCGACGATCTCGTTGTGCTTCAGGATGAAGGGGTTTACTTGGCCGTATACTTCGGGGTTCGAAGCAAATTCGGCACCGACGGTGTTGGCAGTGTATAGAGATGGCACCTTCGGCCCGATATAGGTCTTGTTGTTGACAGTGAAGCGAGGAACACCGTCCACCAAAGCGCCGCCGGTATCTAGAATGATCTGGTGGTCCACGGGCTCGAGCAAGGGCTGGTGGTCTGCTGGGACCAAGGTGACATCATCCACAAAGTCATCATTGAAGTCGATGCTGTTGAAGACGGGAGGCTCGGGCAAGGGCTTGGCCTCGTCGTACACCAACCAGGCGGTGGCATTGGGGTTGTAGTTTTCGGGCATGGTACGGTTCTCGAAGAAAAACATCATGTTGACATCCATAGTATCCCAGATTGCAAAGTTCTTACTGGCATCCTCTTTGGTCTTAATCAACACGCTCATACGCTGGCCCGTTGCAACGCGCAGGAACTTGTCACCAGCAGGGTAGGGGTCGGTATAGACGCCGTCAACCTCCACCACAGTCATCTCGTGGCCATCGATCACCCAGAAGTGGCCGGGCCAGTTTCCAATGCAGACAATGTGAACAAGATACGTTTTGTTCGGCAGCACCTTGATCTTCGTGTTGCTTGAATCGTTGATCAATGCCGAGTCGGGGAAGGGCTCTTTGCCTCCACGCACCACGGGCCCACTGAGCAAGTCCGGCATCTGCTGATGATTCCAGTCGCTCAGGGTGAGCGTGAACTCATCATCATATTCGAAAGGAGGATTGGGATCGTGGACAATCAAAACACCACGCAATCCATCGGGATACTGGCCCGCGTTGTGTGAGTGATACCAGTATGTGCCGGGTTCGGTGACCTATGCTGCGGTTAGAATATTGTCATCTTTCTCGCCCTCGGGGTTTACCTACATCAAAGTGATATTGCATGTGTGAGCCGGGAGGAAGTGCGCACTGGGTGACTCCCACTGCGCCATCCATAACACCACTGCCCTCCTGGCGCATTCCATGCCAGTGGATAGCTGTGGACTCGTTCCCAAGACCGTTGTAGACATCGACGATCAGTTGGTCGCCCACGTCCACGTCAATCTGTGGGCAGGGCCATTGGCCATTGATACCAATTACTGGGCGCTCAAACCCATCAGGGGCTGCATTAACCCAAGTGATGTTCCAATTGAAGTAGACGTCCTTGGCTGCGGCTAGGCCAACCCAAGTGGCCAGCGCAAACAAACTAAATTTCGCCATATTGGCAATATTGAAAGAGCGTAAAACAACCGAATAAAAAAAAACGATAGTTGAATCTTTCAAACGAGTGTATTTGAGGTCGGATTAACTAGAAAGCAAAAAAAAGGAAGAAAAAAAACGAATGTAAAAACGCGGTTGTCGAAATGGGCGCAGGTCGGCCGCTGTGTTGGATGTCGAAAGTCGAAAGAAAGAAGCATGGAATCAGGCCTCTTTAATGTCGATATAAGCACGAAAAAAACAGCCATGTCGATCTGAAGGGGCCTGGGTATGCTGCTCCGGTCGGATCCCATTTCCACGCTCGCGGAAGTGTCATTGGCCGTGCCTTCATTCACGAAATCAAGGACTGGGATAATAAAGCGCATAGTAGAGCTATATCGGGCTCGACCTTTGAGCTGCCTTTGTTTTGTCTGTTCAGGAATGCTGCTCCAAGCGGACTTGGAAGTGAACTTGGAAGGGTGGAATGTAGATAATTCACCTAGCTGGGTGGTTCCTAAACTGGCACGCAAGGGGTACATACTCGGGCCTAATTCGAGTCGACCGGCGTAATTTGGAGTAAACAGAGTATGGACTGGACTTCAGTTCCACTATTGAATAGAACTATTGTACAGCATTGACATCTTTGACCTCTTTGACAGGACTAATAGATTGTGGAGTACCAGGATGATCGACCATATAAGCTTCTGTGGTGAGTTATATAAACTCGAAGGGCTCAGTAAAGAGATCTTAAATTTCTATCTTCAACTTCTAACATAACTTGTATACAGTTTGTCGGTTTAGGTTAGCGGAAATAGTTTCCCAGTCTGCGATTATCTAAGGGGGAGCTCAACAGCCCTAAGTCCAACATCATTTGCTACCTACTTATGTAGGTATATATATAAAGACAGATAAAGATATAAAGAGACATACAGTATCCAAAGTGCATGTGAATGTGGATAAAATCTACAGGATCAACAAGGCCACATAAATCATCGCTAATTTCCCCGTTGATATAAAATTTCCCGATTGATGCAACCCGATAAGGCTTAGACACGGACATTCCCAATCGGGCCGGGCTGACGTTGCACTGAAATCTCTTTCGTCCCCTCTCCAGGGCTGTTCCAGGGCTATTCCAGGGCTGCTACAGCGGCAAAAGAAAAAAAAAAGGACAACACTCGTATATTGTTTGTAGGAGGCCAGTGCATCAGGCCACAGGGTCCAGGACTGTTATCTTAAATAACAAGCCACTTAGGCAATTATCCCCGGAAAAAGCGGGAGATTTGCAATCGGGAGATGATTTCCTAAAATCAGACAAATCAGACCCCCTGTATGTCAGCATAAATATTCTTAGCCTTTCCCTTATATGTATATATGATGCCATGAGATCTGCAGGTAGTCTATGCGATGTGATAATGTGATAATATGTGATAGCAGAGTCCGAGGTTCGGAAAGCGTCGGCGTAAAAAGAGAGCTAAGGCCCCCCACAAAAAGGCCCAGGAACAAGGTGCGTGTCCGTGCGAGCTAATTAAAAGAGGCAGTGTGTCTGATAAGCTGTGGAGTCCAAGAAAAATGAAGAGATTTAGTTTAGTCAAGTCATTTTCAGTTGAAGATAAGTGGGAAAAAAAAATATGAGGGAGAGGGGAAAGCTGGGAAAAGAAGAGAGGGGTTGCCCACTTGGACTTCCTTCTCTTTCAACTTCATCTTCTTTTTTTAATTTTACCCCGTTGGCAAGAATCTCGACAATATATTTTAAGAACATCCATGCAAATCTTCACTGCCACTGACGACATCTGTTGATGGCGCTTCCTCACTTCAAATAGCATCATCGAGCCTCAATGGCGTAATAGGGTGAACCTTGATTCATCAAATCCTCGAGGCACATCTACACATACATCTTCTCTCGTGTTCCAAGACTATATAACTCATATGGATCAATCAATGACTCTCATCGATGCACAAGTGCACTTCCTAGTGAGTCATCCATGCTACTTGCCTACAACACCTACTAATCCATTAACTAGGAGGAATGTGTGGTACTGGTACACATCCCATTGGAGCTGTACCCCTACTTCTTGAAGTCTGTTCTGAGACTCATTTTTGATGAAATTCCACCACTGGAAGATGAGAAAGATGACGATGCCTCATTTGATGATTTCGAAAACGCTTCTGAGTATGACTCGTATAAAGCACCTGCATTCATGAACGTCTCTATCACTCCAGTCGAAGTCTCCGTCATGTGTCCTAGACGTCTGGTCGATAAATACTTCGTCCCGGTCATGGACCAACTCGACCAATTGGATGAGTCACTCCGATCCCGTCTGATCGTGAGTGAAAATGACTACATCGCCATGCAAGTCCTCGGCGAAGGCCTCGAGGCCGGCAAACGAGTCTTGGAATTAACCAGTCCACTTGCCCTGGCAGGCATGTATGTGAACTCCCAATACCTATACAAAAACATACATACTAACCTCCCCAAAGCTCCATCTTCTTCATCTCAACCTACTTCTCCGACTACATCGTAGTCCCCAAACAAAGCAAAGCAAGTGTGATCTCCGCGCTAGAAAAAAGAGGCTTCCAATTCAACAACGCCTCGGCAGCCTTCATCACAAACCCGCTAAGCCCAACAATCGAAAGAAGACTCAGCGACCTCATCCCGCCAGGAACACCCCCACCCTCAACCCTAGGCGAACTCCAAACTCGCACCTTCAACAACCTCCGAAAACACCAAATCACCCCTTCCGTAGACAACTCCCTCCGTCTAGTCCAGTGCGCAGCCCACCACGAATACCATAGCCAAGAATCTTCAATGTCCATCCTCCGCGACGCCCTGACAACAGTCCTCCTCGTCGACGAACCCCGCTTCCTATCCCTAACCCTCGCAGCCCTGGACCCAGCAGCCTCCCTCCTTCTGGAGAAGCGTCTCCTCCCCCGCTTCGCCCGCCAATCCGTTTCTTCAAGAGGAACACGCCTCTACGAAGATGGCTCCGGTCTCCTCCTCGGCTCAAAGGAGGACCATCTAATCCCAATCACCCTAGACCTCCGCGACCTGCCCCTCGAAGCATCAGGCATCGTCTGCGGCGTCGCAGGTCGTCTCGCAGCAGCAGCTACACACCCGCTCTCCTCGCACGCGGGCTCCATCAACAGTGGTGATAGCAGCGTCGTCGGCTCCGTACCTGGACTGTTTGATTCTTTCGGAGCTCGTCTTGCTGCACTCTCCATTGATAAATCGTCTACCTCTGCGCCCTCTCATGGATTGCAGCCCTTGCCGCACTCGACGCATCATCTACAACCTGATGTGGATGTGGCCGATGCGGTGGAGATTAGCTTTTTGAGTACCGCGCGTGCAGGTACCATTATTGTGGGTGAGGATGAGCTTAAGAGGGCTATCGATGCCCTTGAAGAGGAGAAGATGCAGTCGCCCAGGCTTGATGGGATTGTGTTTGAATCGCGGACTCCGCCCGATAGTCCGCAGCAGCGGGGTTGAGTTGGTTGGTTTTTGTGGTGATTTTGTAGTGACTGGCCCTGTGATATGACTTATGTTTTGATGTGTGCATGTGTTGATGTGGCGTCTGGGGAATCAAAAGTTCGTTTGTTTTTAATATTTGTATGAATAATATTACTCTATGGGTCATGAATTGGTTGAGTTTTCTATTACTATGGGCATATTATTTATGTCAATCTGAGATTTTGTGATGAAATATCAATGGAGTCCATCGATATATATATCCGGAGTAACACCACTATCCACACATCCAATTTAACATTTTTTTAGGAAGAAGATACAAAACACTCCAAATAGCAGAAAGCAAGATGATTATATAATTAATTTCGTATCTCATTATTGATATAGCAGCGCTGAGCGTAGTATGTACAGATCCAATGTTCCTGGCTCCAGGGCGAAAACTGGACCGACGTGGATATCCGCTGGTCTGGATTTCTCCTTGACCCCTGACTTGCCCCAAATGGCCACATTCCCCGGATTGCAAGTAAGAGGTACCCATCGTCAACCCCATTAAAGTGTCAGGTTGAACGGAAATCGTGAGAGGGCATCAAGACCGCCACAGACCTGGGTAATCCATACCAGATTCCGTACTCCGTCCTTGTTTCAGCAGGTGGTATAATGTGGCGTGTAGTAGTTGAAGCACCGCGATATTGGACATCGATACGAGGCGAGGACATCACCCCATCATGATTAGCCTTGTCCGAGACCTTGTCCGAGACATCTAGACCATATGACCAAAGTTCATCCGTAGACCCTGACAGTACCTTGAAACAGCAGTCAGCACAAATACCCCAGAGCTCCCCAAAACACATCATAGTACTCACCATCAGAACACCCAGCAGCCCAATCCCCAACACTTTCATTCCACGCCACACAACTGACAGCCTTAACCTTCTCCCCAACAGGCACAGCAGCAATAACCTCCCCTTTAACAACGTCCCAAGCAAACGCCGCCGCTCCGGCCGTCCCCTCCTCACTCCCACTCAGCACAATCGCATCTCCCATTGCAAAAACGGAACGCACCCGCAGCTCTGAATTCCGGTACGAATACCGCGGTTTCCCAATACCGCCCGCAACCGTCTTCTCCCCCGAAAACGCATTAAGAACCTTCCCATCCATCCGGTCCAGCAAGCGGATATGTCCATCCAGCGTCGAAGCGAGTAGGGCATTCCCGTCGCTCGAGCAGCGCACGCTCGTCACGGGATGCGCGAGGACGTCGACGGTCGTTTTTCCAGTTCGCACGTCATAGATCCGTGCGTGACCGTCGTAGCTACCGCTTGCTATTGAATAGGACCCCATGTGTACGTGTAGTGTTGAGACTGTGTCGGTTGCTTCGGTGAGTGTTTGGATAGGTTTGTAGCTCGAGGAGCGGGTGTCCCAGAGGTTTATTGTTGTGTCTGCGCTGCCTAGAAGAGGGGAAAGAGGAGGATGTTAGTTTTGGATACTGGGTAGGAAGGGAAACGAAGAGTGGAGGGGTTACCGGTTACTACGACGGAGTCGCCATCGCCGGCAAATTGTACGGCTTCCACTCGGCTATTATGGCCGGACCATCGTTTGGTTGTGATGCCTTGCTCGACATCCCAGAGGAAGACTTGGCGATCGCCTCCTACGCTGGCGAAGCGCGCGTTGTCGGCTGCGACGGCTATGTCCAGGACCGAGTAGCCATGCGCTTCGTATTTTTGGATAGGGGTTGTGGTCTCGACTGCTGTCTGGCTATTGGAGTTGTTTGGAGCTGCGCGCGAAAGGTGGACTGCTCGGTCTGAGGAACCTGTGAGGACGTAGGTGCCGCCGGAGCTTGAGAAGGTTACCGCGTTGACGGGTCCTGGAAGGCGTTAGCGCTTGGGTGTTTGGAGGGGTTTGGGGTTGAAAGTCGTCTGGGTATATCCCACGCTCCCACGCTTACCATTGTGTGTTTTAAGAGTGTGGATATGCCTGGTTGGGAATATTTTCCGGGGCATGGCCGTTGAGTTGGTGGAGAGAAGAAGGAATTGGCGGAGTTTAGAGAATGCGGGATGGAGCTCGGAGCTTCAACTTCCCAAGTCCCACTTAGAGAACTCTCTAAGAGTGAGAAGAAAAAAAAGCTAGAAATTACTACTTTACTTCGAATCTATGAATTCACAAGAATTAATTCTGTATTTCATACGGAATACAGAAGAAGTTATTATCAAGGTTGTAGACACACCATCGCTAGCTACCAGCGGTAAATGGATATAACAAACAAAACGAACCAAGCACTCAGACAAAGGTGCTTCCAAGCGCGAAGGGCAAGACAGAGGGTACTCAAAAGAGAAGAAAAAACAAGAGCATGGTTCGACTACTCCCCTTTTGAACGATCCGGGTCGACTCCCGGTAAAATTGCAACATCCTAACGACGTCCGTGGCTGCGGGTGCTGGAACCCTGCAGACCCTCGATCTCCTGCTCGAGGGATTTGATGCTGTGATCGGTTAGCAATGTATCTACCTAAACAATAGTCCGGAACATACGCTGCATGGGTAGCCTCCAGATCCTTGTTGAGGCGGTCGCGCTCTGAGATGAGCTTCTGCTCCCATTGGCGGAAACGCTGCTCCTCGACCTTGACCTGCTCGGTGAAGCGCTTGCGCAGAGTTTCTTCTTCCTCCTTGAACTTGGGGTTGTCGAGTTTGCGTGGCCGGGCCTCGCCAAACTTGCGGGTCTCCATCTGCTGGGCACGGTAGGCCTCGTAGTGCGATTCTTCCGTGGTATGAATAAGGTCGAGCATGTGGGTGCGGATCAGAATCGAGCGGAGCTTCTTGAAGTCGCAGTGGTCCTCGTTCTCCACCTCGGCGACACCCCAAGCGTACTGACGGCCCTTGACAACACGACCATCGTTGGCCTTGACATCCTTCTCGGAACCGATGACAGCAAAAGGCATGGCAGCCATAAGGCTGCGGGCGTGGGTAGCGGCGTGCTCGTCGTCCTCCTCAATGGGCGGGGTGTAAATCTTGATGCCCTGGGCCTCAATCACAGCGCGGATCTAATCGCCTGTTAGTCCGGATTCTCGAACTCTCCTCGTGCACTCGTTCCACTCACTCTATCCTTGTAGCGCACCAGATCCGCGTGGCTCAGGGTATCAGCCTTGGCAACCACGGGGATCAGGTTGACACGGGAGCTCAGGCGCTTCATCACCTCGATATCGAGAGGCTTCAGGGTGTGTCCGGTGGGGCGGATGAAGTACAAACAGGCGTGCACACGCATGTCGATCTTGTCGGTTCGGCGGGGCTGCTGCTCCTGGAGCATGTACGACTCGTGCTGGTCATCCAGGAACTCGATAATGGGTTGCCATGAATCACGGTTGTTCACGTAGTCTCCGAAGCCAGGGGTATCAATGACGGTGAGGCGGACTAGAAAATCGACCACTCATTAGCTGTCGAAACGCGGAAGTCGAAACCTCTCCCCCGACACTAGAGTATCTGGGTCGCACCTTTGAAGAACTTCTCCTCGAGCTCAGCCTTGGTAATCTCAATCTCCACGGTTCGGTCAACCTGCTTCTGGTGGCGGCGCTTGTGATCGGCATAGTTCTTAATGGTGGTGGAGAAGAGGGTGTTGATGAAGGTCGTCTTTCCTAATCCCGACTCTCCGGCAACCTGATTGAAGCACCATTAGCGTCAGCATGCGCGGGGTATTTTCCTCCTGTGAAACGCACCATAATAGTGAAGGCTGCACCCCGCTTCGCGACAATCTTGTGACTATACAAGCTTGATTAGAATCTTTCCTCATATCCACCGTAATCATTCGAAGGTACACACCGCTGGTTGGGGAGCTATATCAAAAATCGCAGGTTAGCTTCGAGATATCATAAGGGGAATGTTGGCGTTCCGAATAGCTTACGTTGGCAATGCCAATCGGCGAGGCGGTCTCTGAGGTCGACATGGTGGGTTATAGGGGAGGAGGGGGGAATTAAAAACAATTGGGAATCAACACAAAAAAAGAAGATGAAGAAGAGGTCCCTGGTGTAAAATACCAGAATTTAGAAGAGAGAATAAGTCGACTCCTGAGGAGAAAAAAAAGGGAGAAGGAGGAACGAATGTGAAATCGGATGTCTCTCGAACTGCCCGTCGCTGCTTCCCCCTGAATCTCCTTTCGTTTTCTGGAGTATACACTCGCCTTGCCTATCTGGGTTTAGCGCGGAAGGCTAGTACTAATTGAGAGCGGGATCGGGGCATGGATGATCCGAAGGCTCTTATCACGGTAGCTGGTGGAATTATCTCTAATTTTTTGATCTTTGAGATCGCCGACAGCCAAAATGAAGACAGACTTCAAGGTATGTACTACGCTTGGATGGTTGATCGCATGCAATTTACATCAAGCCTTGACAATTAGTTTTCATACTAACACCACTCAATTTTAGTTCTCCAACCTTTTGGGGACGGTATATCGCAAAGGAAATCTTCTCTTTACTCCCGATGGCACATGCTTGCTTTCGCCAGTAGGCAATCGAGTCTCGGTTTTTGATCTAGTACAGTATGTGTCGCTTGGTGCTTTTTTGTTTGGTGGTTTGGAAACCAGTCCGCTCACAATTGGTTGTATAGAAATACTTCTTATACCCTGCCTTTTTCGCACCGTACAAACATCGACCGTCTCGATCTTTCGCCCAAGGGCAATCTTCTGTTGACCGTGGATGAAAATGGTCGCGCAATTTTGACCAATTTCCAACGGCGCATCGCCATCCACCACTTTTCCTTCAAAGGACGAGTGTCCGCACTCAAGTTCTCCCCGTCCGGCCGACATTTCGCTGTCGGCGTCGGAAGACGCCTGCAAATCTGGCAGACACCCTCTACCCCCGGCACCGAAACCAATGGCGAGATTGAATTTGCACCCTTCGTTCTACACCGGGATCTTGCTGCCCACTTTGACAACATCGAAAGTGTCGAATGGTCCAGCGATTCGCGCTTCTTGCTCACTGCCGCCAAGGATTTGACCGCGCGAGTATGGAGCATGGACCCGGAAGAAGGTTTCGAGCCGACCACTTTGGCGGGACACAGACAGGGCGTGGTGGCTGCCTATTTCAATGCGACACAAGAAGTGGTGGGTACTTCCTGGAAATTAGTTCTGGAAATATCATACTAATTTTTATCCATAGATTTACACTGTCAGCCAAGATGGCGCACTCTTCCGCTGGGAGTATGTCACGAAAAAAGACGAGGAAACTATGGAGGACATTTCCGATGCCCGATGGAGGATCGTAAAAAAGGATTTCTTCATGCAGAATGACGCCAAGGTCAACTGTGCGGCGTTCCATGCGCCAACAAACCTTCTGGTGGTAGGGTTTTCAAACGGTCTATTCGGACTCTACGACCTGCCAGAGTTCAATATGATCCATCAATTGAGGTACGTTAGTTTGTGACACCCTCCCTTCCACAGTGGCTAACATCTCCCTTCCTCTAGTGTCTCCCAGAGCAATATCGATGTTGTGACAATCAACAAATCAGGCGAGTGGCTAGCATTCGGATCGTCTAAGCACGGTCAGTTGCTTGTGTGGGAATGGCAGTCCGAGTCATATATCCTCAAGCAACAAGGTCACCTTGATTCTATGAACGCCCTCGCATATTCACCGGATGGTCAGAAAATTGTCACGGCTGCTGATGACGGTAAAATCAAGGTTTGGGATGTCAAATCAGGCTTCTGCATTGTCACTTTTACGGAACATACCAGTGGAGTGACCGCATGTCAATTTGCGAAGAAGGGAAGTGTGTTGTTCACAGCATCTTTGGACGGTTCTATCCGTGCATGGGATCTTATTCGCTACCGTAACTTCCGAACCTTCACAGCGCCATCCCGTCTGTCATTCTCTTCGTTGGCCGTGGACCCCAGTGGAGAAGTGATCTGTGCCGGTTCACCAGACTCCTTCGACATTCACGTTTGGTCCGTGCAAACTGGTCAATTGCTTGACCAGCTCTCCGGCCACGAGGGTCCGGTTTCCAGTCTTGCTTTTGCTGCCGATGGCAACCACCTTGTCAGTGGAAGTTGGGATCACACAGTTCGCATCTGGAGCATCTTCGGCCGGTCACAGACCAGTGAACCTCTCCAGCTCATGTCAGACATTCTCAGTGTGGCTTTCCGCCCAGATGGGCAACAAGTCGCCGCATCTACCCTAGACGGTCAGCTTTCCTTCTGGTCCGTTGAAGATGCTGTGCAACAAGGAGGTGTTGACGGTCGCCGTGACGTATCTGGAGGACGCCGAGTGGGCGACCGCCGTACTGCTGCCAATGCCGCAGGCACCAAGTCTTTCAACCGAATCACATACAGCGCAGATGGTAGCTGCATTCTGGCTGGTGGAAACAGCAAGTATATCTGCTTATATGATGTCGGAACCGGGTCATTGATCAAGAAGTTCACCGTCTCCGTCAACACCTCGATCGATGGTACCCAGGAGTTCCTGAACAGTCGTGACATGACTGAAGCTGGTCCCCGTGCTCTTATCGACGAGACCGGCGAAGCTTCTGATCACGATGATCGTGTTGATAGCACTCTTCCTGGCGCAAGACGCGGTGACGCTGGTGCGCGCACCACACGCCCAGAAGTCCGCGTGACATCTGTGGATTTCGCACCGACTGGACGAGCATTCTGTGCCGCCTCTACCGAAGGTCTCCTTGTTTACAGCTTGGATACTGACTTCATCTTTGATCCCTATGATCTGGATATCACAATCACACCATCCAGCATTATGGCCACACTAGATGCTGCCAAGGCAGCCGCCACATCCGACACTGTGGACGAGGAGAATACCTTCCTCAAAGCTCTTATTATGGCCTTCCGATTGAACGAACAAAAGCTACTTCGTGTCGTATATGAAGCGATCCCTCCGTCAGATATTCCCCATGTGGTTCGGTCCGTGCCCTCCGTCTATTTACCTCGCCTTCTCCGATTCGTTGCACATGCCGCCGAAGAAACTCCCCATCTTGAGTTCAACCTCATGTGGATCGAGTCTTTATTCAGCAGCCATGGTCGCTACTTCAAGGATAACACAGGTACATTCGCAACCGAGCTTCGCGCCGTCCAGCGTGCTGTCGATGAAATCCGTGAAAACCTGAAACGTTTGACGGAAAAGAACCTTTACGATCTCAACTACCTGCTCTCGAAGCCTGTTCTTGGAAACAAGAAAACTAGCAGTGCTTTGTTGGCCATGGAAACCGAGGATGCTGAGGTTCCTGATGATCAGATGGTCGATGCCGACGAGGGAGATGGTGACTGGGTTGGCTTTGAATGATTTCTATGGGGTTTTCTTCGTGTATGTCTACTTGCATCTGAGCCAGGCGTTTTGTATATAGCAAAGACCAAAAAAGGGAAAATAGACAGAGAGGTCTTTGCCGGCCTTGTGTGAATAATATACTCCAAGTTCCGCTCTCTGAGACCTCAAACGGACTCTTTGTCCCTCTTTTCGCCTTTAGCAAACGCCCTTTTTTAAAATAAGAAAGTCTTACTTCCTAATACTATCCGACTGTCTCCTGTGCCACCCTCTCATTACTTTTCTTACTCTTTCCTACCACCCAACAACTTCCCTAATCTCCCCGGTTCCAATATCCCGGACAATCCAAGGCTCCGGAGAATCATTTATCTAAGTACCTTTCCCCATCTGCTGTAAAAAGCAAGATTCCATCAGCAAGCCTGAAGATGACCGGCCTACCCTTCTGGCCCCTCGTTGGGGTGTTGGTTGTAGTGCTCTATCTCCTTCGACGACCACCGGCTTCCAGTTTGAGACATGTCCCAACTGTCAGGTACAATGCCTATTTACCGGATTTCATCAATCGATTCATCTACTACCCCAAAGCTGCCTCGATGATTAGTGAAGGATATGAAAAGGTACGCAGTATACCTGAAACCAGTCGTTTACCTTAGTGACATCTGCAATCTTTAGTACAAGGATACTCCATTTCGCCTGCTCACCGGTGACGGGGAAGTAATCGTCTTGCCAGTGAAATATCAGGATGAACTGAGGCATCTTCCTCCTTCGAAACTCAGTTCTCTACATGCCCAATATGAAGTAAGCTCATGAGTTTATCTGTGCTACGTTACGTTGAGAGGTTGGAGCTGATGCAACTACTTCACAGAACGCATTGGGTCAATATACCAACATCATCATCAATACTCTTTTACCTTCTATGACTGTGCGGAAAAAGTTGACACCAAGTCTAAGTGCTGACATCCTTTGCTTTTTCTTATTTTCAACCTCATGCAAGACCAGAGAAATTAACATATATCAAATCGAACAGGCCGTGTTGTTCCCGGTATCATCGACGAGCTACGAGCAGCATTCGACACTGCCCTCCCAGGATGTGAAGGTGTGATATGCGAACGCTATTTTGTGAGACCACGCAGGCGAATACTCAGATACTGACAGAGACGTACCGAACACAGACGCCTGGATTCGAATCAACCCATGCGAGATGTTCACCCGACTAATCGCCCTCTCGACATCCCGCATGATGGCCGGCGACGTCCTCCGCAGAAACAAAGAATGGCTGAACGTCGCAAGCAACTACGCCGTGAATGTGGGAATCACCATTCTCCTCCTCCGTCCAGTTCCCAAATACCTCCGTCCCATCGTAGCGCCTTTCCTCCCCAGCGTCCGGACAATGAGGAAGCAGTTGCGCTATGCGAAAGACATCTTCATTCCGATGGTTCATGAGCGCAGGCTGGCAGAACAGGCTAAAGATCCTAACTACATAAAGCCAGACGACTTCTTGCAGTGGATGATGGATCTGGGTGGAGAAAGGGACGAGGAACTCGAACCGGAAACACTGGCGCATCACATGCTGCTTTTGGTTACACTGGCAGTTACGCACACAAGCACGATGGCTTTGTGTCACTGTCTCTTTGATTTAGTTACTAGACCCGAATACGTTGAGCCTCTGCGCGAAGAAATGTGCCGAACTCTACCTGATGGCTGGTACAATGCGACTCAGGCAGCGCTTAAGGACCAGTCTCGTTTGGACAGCTTCCTGCGCGAATCTCAACGGTTTGCTCCGCCTGGTGAATGTGAGTATTGCGAACATCTCCTTATGGCTGCGCAGTATAATGAGTTGGAGGTAGGGCTGTGATTGTATGTGATTCTCTAACTAACCGCGTCGTCTAGTGAACTTCCACCGTATCGTCAAAGAACCCATCACACTCCATGACGGCCTCGTTCTTCCGGTAGAAACACATGTCTGTTTCCCTGCCGGTCCGATTAGCAAAGACGCCGCCTTCATCAAAAACCCAATGGTCTTCGACGGGTTCCGCTGGTGTCATGACCCCCGGGACCGATTTGTTCTCACTCCTGAACCCGCAAGGTCAGATGCGATGGCGAACGGTGCTGGCGAGGATATGCACGTCCAGAAGCTCATGCCGGGCGCCCATTTCGTTTCTATCACCAATACTAACATGCATTTCGGGTACGGCCTCCAGGCATGTCCTGGTCGGTTCTTCGCGGCAAATACTCTGAAGGCGATCTTGAGTCGCATCATCCTTGACTACGAGTTCAAGTTTCTTCACGATCTGGATGGGAAGAGACCCCGCAACCTTGTAGTTGGGGAGCATATTCTTCCGAATATGACCACTGAGATGCTGTTCCGGAAAAGGCCTATTGGGCTTTGAGTAGAGGGGGAGACTTGGAGGTTTTTAGAGAATGTTGGTGGTTAGGGTTAACAGAGGTCGATGCGCAATGCCATAGTTAGCTAGTTACTCATTTTATCTACATGTTGCAGTTCTTTATGTCTAAAAGATCTCAGATTGGGAAATACGAGCATCGAATTTGGTTTCAATTCCATCGTACATTCATCTTCAATAGATAAAAGCACTGCCTCGACGTACACGTCTAAACTACGTGCAGATATCTAAAGTGTCCATATACATACAGGGTTCAAATCCAATCATTTCATCATATCTTCTCTCTTGAGAGCCACGTCCATCATTCACTGGGGGGTGGCCTGGGGCGCACCTCGTCCACGACCTCCTCTGCCACGGAACCCATTACCACGACCGCGACCACGGCCACGTCCTCGATCCAATCCTTGCGGCGGCGGGACGCGAGAGTAGTCCTGCGGACGGAAGTTGGGGTTGTTTTGGATAACACCCTCGTTGGGGTCGCTGTTATCCATTGCGACATATCCACCCCGGGCACCTCCGCGACCGCCACCACGAGGACCACGGGGAACACCACCACCATTGGCGTGGGGACGGAAGGGGAGAGTGGTCTGCTGTCCGTTGTTGAGACCAAGACCCCCGCGACCTCCACGCCCACCGCCATTGCCCTGTCCGGTGACAGCTCCTCGGAAAGAACCTCTTAGGGGTGGAGGGGCAGTTGCGTTTCTCAGTTGTCCCTGTCCGTTGGGGCCAATAGGGGCGCCGTACCCAGCAACTGTCAAAGGAGTCTTTGTTTGCTGGGTCTGCTGGCTAGCTGTAGCACGGGAACTGGTAATAAGTTGCCGGTTGGAGATGTTGAGGAGGGAAGATGCCAAAACAGTTTGACCACGGAATGGTGAGCATCGGCCACCTAGTGTAGTGCCGCTCATAAACGACACATCAAAGACAACATCAAGCAGAAGAGCTCGCGAGGTTCTGGTGAGACCGACAACTGTGCCACGAGTAGCGATCGGCACCTTACCAGAATCCTGGGCATACACAACCCGATCGCCGAGCTTGAAACTTTGGTTTCCGAGACGGTGCTCGACATCGGCAGGCCGAAGGAGAGCACTGCGGGGTACACCCCGAACCTTCTTCGGTTGCATTTCTGGCAGGGATGCATTGAGATTGTCGGCATCTTGCTCAATTAACATCACAATATCCGAGTCAAGCTGCTCAGCATCGAGGGGCACTCTCTCGAAGTTCTTAGCTTCTATAGATTTGAGCCAATCCTTGATCTCCTTCATCTTGAGGGCGGCAATTTCCTCGGGATAGAAATCAGTGGGAGAATAACGGTCGCTTTGAGGGTTGCGCTGGATGCCAGCAATGAATTCGGGGAAATTGATCATGTACTGTTGAATCAGTTCTACTGCCTTCTGGCTGAATTCCCAGCCGGATTCTCCCCGACGGGAGTATCCAAGAACCTTCTGTTGCTTTGCCTGGAACTTCAGGTTAAGACCGAGGTTCGCACGTTGGCCTTCGATGTCAACAGTAAAGGAAGATGTGATCTTAGCCAGTACCAAAGGATTGAGGCGAAGACTACGGGCAACAGCGTACGAAGGCATGTACGGGCAAAGTTGCTCGGATACCTTAACACGCTCTCGACCGAATTCTGGCTCACGACCTTTCACAGCCGCGACCAGTCCATTCACCTTTCCATCCTCGTGTCCGCTAACATACACAGGCCTTCCGTAGTTGAAGTCACCCAAGAAGAAGGCACGAGAACCCTCAGGGAATTCTTCTTGGATAGAGAGGGCTTCCCGCTCAATGAAACGTTCATCAGGATTGATCACATCATCAACAATAACCTGAAGAGCATAGTCTGTCTCTTGGCCGGGTATATCAGCGAATTCCTTGACCGTGGCTCCATCATCAGTCTTGCTCATGCCCTTCAGAAGTTGAATGTGGACCAGAGATTCGACATCGCCAATGATAATTGCTAGACGCTTGCTGTAGGTGCCCTCGATCTTGTTGGCCTTCCTCTTCCACTGCTCAATTTGCTGAGGGGTATGGGGAATAGAGACAGGGTGTTCTTCTCCGACAGGAAGAATATAATCAAATAATTCGTCTGAGACGCGAACCACAAGAGCTTCTTGCAAGAATGGATAACCAACGTGGACACGCTTCCCGAGCTTCGTCTTAGCTAGTTCAATGCTCGACCGGCTTCCCGGATCGAGGAGTGTAATAACCTGACTCTCATTGCGGCTGTCTTGATTGAACACGCAAACACCGTGGAAACCCAATTGGCCATGGTGCGGAAGTGTCTTGATGCTAGGGAAGCCAGCAAGCGCTGCCTTGCCTAGGTGCACGCCGTCCATTAAGCCAGCGTAGGGCACCAAACCATCCATGACAGGGAGATCGAAGAGGTTCTCAATGCAACGGCAGCTAGGAAGATCCGGGAATACACCAGGCATTGAGGAGGGGTAGACGAAATTCACCTCTGGGGAATAGGTGAATTTGAGACAGGCCCCAAAGTCGTTTCTTGCTTTTTCGTCCGCGGAAAGAAGGTTTTCTTTCGTTTTAAGGGCGTCCAACAGCCGCTTTTCGTCGATGAATGGGATCTTGACAACAGCTTCCCATTCCATCTTTTTCCCGTTCATATCAAGATCGAAATCACGAGGGTAGAAGTCGTAGATGGGGGAATCAGGCGAGGTCATCAGGTCCCAATACGCAGTAGGCACGATCTTCTTACTGCGGTCGGGCAAGACACCCATAAGTTGGTCGAACGGCCGGAAAGGCTGTCCCAACTTGAAGTCCATGTCTGCACCAAGGCCATCATTCACATCTGTCCCACCGTAAGCAATCAAAGCGACCCAAAGAAGGGGAGATTTAGTGTTACTAACCAGAGATCATAGGGGCATAGTGGTACTGGAAGAACCAGGGCCACGATGCAATGCCACGGTAATAGTAGAACAAGACCCACTGCAATCCTTGCACATAGTTTTGTGCCAGCTTCTTCATCTCTTCCTTGTTGTCGAGACCCCAACCGAACTTGGTCCGATAATATTTATCTTTCCATTCAAGGAACTTGGTGTCATATTTCTCCTGGGCAGCCTTCTGCGCTTCCTCGGCCGTCATCTCCTGAACCTTGGCCTTCTCGTACTTCCGAATAATACGCTGAACAGCCATTGATGCCTCCTCATCCTCTTCGTCGTCATCACTATCGCCCTGAGTCGGAGGCAAGGAGAGCCTCATGAACCGATCACCGTTCTCATTGTCGAGGGAGGACCAAGACAACCGGAGCTCATCCGCAAGCCGTTCAACGAAAGTGCGGTCACGGGCTGGAAGTGTAGGGGGAAGATCAAGAGGTTCAGAGGCCTTGTCAGACCGGTTCAGAACGTACTTCTTGACCGTCTTGAGGATCTCCTTTTGAGAAGGAGTGAGCGTAAGCTCTTTCTTCTGTTGCGAGGTTGAATAATCAATGTTTGAGTCTTTCTTTGACTTGATCCATTGTGCATCAGAGTTCTCTGCCTCAAAGAATCGGTATTCCACAGCACTGAGTGCGGTCACGAGCATACCCAACCGTTGCACATTGATAACACCCTGCTCATTGATGTAGCCGCCCATCTTTGGCAGCACCTCCTTGTAGAGCTTGAACATAAGGGCAAGGGCACCCTCGTTGATATGTAAGTTTGGAAGGTTGGGCAAGAAATCGTTGCCAACGAAAAAGGCCATGAGAATGAAATCATCAATAACACGCTCCATATCGAATGGGAAATCCAGAACACCTTCTTGTTCTAGCTCTTGGAATTCTAATTCCAAATATTCCCGAACCACGCTCAGATGCAACAAATAAAAGTTTTGATGTTCCAGTTCCTTGGGCTTCTTGGATACTTGGCGACCAAATGTCACCTCTTCTCGAAGAAGGCAGAAGTGAGGGTCATGGCTGAGAAGACCCAGCATGATCAGATCGGCATCCAGACCGTAAAGACAGTGGCGAACGTTGGATTCATAGTCAGGCTGCGCTTTCGAGCAGCGAATGTATTCCATAATCTTGTGCTCACCTTCTCCTGGAACCTCATGCCCAGAAAGCACAATTTCCACACCTTGCCAATCAGTGTCCTCCGAGATCTTCTTGTTGATGAAGTATTTGAGTTGTTTCGTCAATTTTTGCATGAATTCGGTACCTGGGGTGATGCAGTTGCTGTCAAAGGCATCTTCCTTTGGCATCTCCAGACCCTGCTGGATGGCCTTCTCCTTCGCATTTTCTGCATCCAGAGCCGTTCGGAATCGACGAGCGCGTTGTTGATTCATTTTAGCGCGAGGCGCAACACCGTCTACCGCCATATAGAACAGTTTCTTGGGCTTGATCTTGCCAAATAGATGTTCAATGTAATTGAAGATGGCAATGAACATTTGATCCTCCGTCATGCGAAATGTCGGGGAATCGCTGTCACTATGTGTACAGTTGTGAATAATGCCGTTCATGTCGAGGTATAGGCTATCGAATTCGGGTATCCGGCTCTCTGCGATCAGCATCGAGATTGACGGATACCGCTCACTCAGCCAGCGGAAGAATTTCGGGACACCCATATTGAAGGTTGGGTTAAATCGAAGACAGGATTGTCAAGGAAGGAAGTGAGAGGTAATTTATTGTAAGAGTTGAGAGATCGTATGAGGGGTTCTCGTAAAGGATTGAAGTAGACTTGCGACGAAAGGTGAAATCATCCAATGAAGAAATCTTGGACAAGATACTGCGCCAGCCAAGTGGTACCCAAAGAAAGATATAGGGGTAGAGAAAACAAGCAAAAGAAAAATATAGTAACGCCAAACTGACGCTTTTCAGTTGTCTATGATGCAAGAAAGCAGGTGTCCCCACGATGTGAACATTGAAGAGTCAACGGAGCTTGCTCACCGCCTACTAATTAGGACTAGTACCATTACAGGTCTCCCGGCACTCATTAACGCGCTGTTGCGCGTAGCTTTCCTCCGCCTACCTATCTGCTTCACACCCTCTTTCTCAGTGGTTCGAGTTCCATTGTGTAGTGATCTCAACATACTGCTCGGTCTACACCATTCCAAAGCCATGGATCCCTACGAAGACGATGCTGGTAAGCATTTACGTCGTTGCGCACTACTTGAAATCTCAATCTAATCAACGTCTAGGTATTGGTGACGAGCACGAGAAAGATCAGGATCAGGATCAGGATCATGAACATGCTGATGAGAAGGCGATCAATGAAGGTAGCTTTTCTCAACCTCTCAAGTTGTACCAATTACGGTTATATCTAATCACATTCATTGAGAACAGAGTACAAAACATGGAAGAAGAATGCGCCCTTCCTCTATGATATGATTCTGAGCACAGCGTTAGAATGGCCAACTCTTACAACCCAGTGGCTTCCAGATAAGCAAGAGTACGCCCCGAACTCCCATACTCCGATCATCAACCTAACCAAGTCTATCTTCAGAGTCCCAGACAAGCCCTACTCAACCCACCGTCTCCTCATCGGCACACATACCACTGGTGATGCGCAGAATTACCTTCAGATTGCCCAGGTGCAACTCCCAAATCCTAATGCCCCAAACCCGGAAGACTACGACGAAGAGAAAGGAGAGATTGGAGGTTATGGCGGGGGTTCAAAGAAGGCACAAATGGAAATCAAGTTCAATATTGTGCAAAAGATCGACCACAAGGGCGAGGTCAACAAGGCCCGGTATCAGCCACAGAACCCGAATATCATTGCGACAATGTGCACAGATGGTCGGGTCATGATCTGGGATCGCTCTAAGCACCCCAGCTTGCCAACCGGCACAGTGAACCCTCAAATGGAGCTCCTAGGTCATGAAGCTGAAGGCTTCGGACTTAGCTGGAACCCCCATGTGGCAGGTCACCTCGCAACGGGCAGTGAAGACAAGACTGTTCGACTTTGGTAAGCGAACGCAACATGAAAACACAAGATTTGCTGTGACTAGCATCTAATAAAGCTTACCAGGGACATTACTACATACACCAAGGGTAACAAGGCAGTCCGACCAAGCCGCACTTTCACGCACCACTCCTCGATCGTCAACGACGTTCAACACCATCCTCTCCACTCCTCTCTTATCGGAACCGTCTCCGATGACATCACGCTTCAAATCCTCGATACCCGCCAGGATGATTCCACTCGCGCGGCTGCTTCGGCTGAAGGTCAGCACCGCGATGCCATCAACTCAATTTCCTTCAACCCGGCCTCCGAGACGATTCTGGCCACGGGTTCTGCCGACAAGACTATCGGTATCTGGGATCTTCGCAACCTGAAAGCGAAGCTCCACTCACTGGAGGGCCACACTGATTCGGTGCAATCTATCTCGTGGCATCCATTTGAGGAGTCGGTGCTGGCAAGTTCCAGTTACGACCGCAAGATTATGTTCTGGGACCTCAGCCGGGCAGGCGAGGAGCAAACCCCTGAGGATGCTCAAGATGGGCCACCAGAGCTGTAAGTGACATTTCCCCCACTTCATTTAATGCGTTACCCAGGTGGAATCGTTGGCTAACCTAATATTTAGTCTATTTATGCACGGTGGACACACAAACCGTATCTCAGACTTTAGCTGGAACCTAAGTGACCCATGGGTTCTCTGTTCCGCGGCCGAGGACAATCTACTGCAGGTATGGAAGGTAGCAGATGCAATTGTGGGCAAGGATCTGGAGGATGTCCCAACAGAAGAAATTGAGGCATGATTTTATTTCTACTGGACTTGCAGTCCAGTCAGTTTTTCATATGGGTGCTTCTTTGGTATAGGTGAATTAAGACCATAGCGAGTAATCATTAAAAAACACCATTTCATCTATAACCCCTGCTGCCTGCGAGTGGCATGGTTGTCATATTGTCCACTAACCCTAATATCTCTAAATTTGTATATAGAAAGGTACATATATCATTACCCATGATTATCAGCCTAGCCAAGCCATGATGTGTTAACCAAGTTGCACAGCACCTATAATTCTTATAAAAATCAGGACCGTTTGGTGAAGTCAGTACTTACTTGATACATAACTAGTTGCTTTGTTTCAAGATGTTTCTCACTATAGGGTTTAGAGTGCATTCCCGCACGTTCCACTACATAAAGCTAACGCCGAGAGTATATGAGGTTTGTGATGAATTGAGCAAGGAATATGTTCTGTACCACACTCTGATATAGTCCAGGATTCATATAGTACAACATATATATGTAGCTCTGGAGATCTATGCATGTGCTATTCGGGCCGGTAGTCCGTTATCTGACCGCGGGGAGCATGTCATCATTCCGGTGAGATGTGATTGGTGGCGATTGGTGGGGGGCGATGAGGGGGACAGAAGAAAGTTAGTGTCGTTTTGCTAAAAAAAAATGTGTTTGACTTTAGTTTAGATGTTCACCTCATTTATTATTTATATATCATCTTGGAAGGTGACATATTCTGCTTTTTATTAACTTCACTATTGACAGAATCTCCATCATGGGTTCCGATTCCCCTACAAGCCCCAGGGCCTCAGCCATTCCGTCCCACATGCTGAACGGTAGCTCCCCGCTGCAACGTTCAACGGGCAGCCGTGATTCTCGTGAGCGCGAGAGTCTGAGTACATCCATTCGCTCCTCTTTTGAACCCCGAATTCCCATCGAATTTGAATCTCCTGAGACCAAGACCGACACCAAGACCGAGACCCAGGCTGAAACTGAGGAAACTGGAGCCGCCCCCACCCAGGCGGTTTCCAGTGCTTCTGTGCCAATCCGCAGTGTGGCGCCAGTGCGGTATGTATACAACGATATCAATATGGGTGAATATGACACTTAAAATTTCATTACTAATATCTGGGATGTAGTCCTACCTTGAATGACCCTCCCCGCGATCCCCGGGATGCGGCCGCCCCATTCACGCCTCCAACGACTGTCAGCCGCCCTGCCAGCCCCTACACATTGACCCCACCCATCGACTTTGACGGTCTCAGCTGGCCTTGTTAGTGATACCAACTCCATCGGTGGCACCGCTATATTGGTGTATTTCTCTAACCACGATTGCTAGGCCCGGGAACCAGACAGCGGAAGGAGTCGACACCCGAGGAGACCGAACAACGACTTGAAAAGATGTCCGGAGCTATCCGCACAATCCTGGAATGTATCGGCGAGGACCCGGAAAGAGAGGGACTTCGCGAGACCCCCATGCGATATGCCAAGGCCATGCTCTATTTCACTAAGGGCTATGAAGAGAATGTTCGGGACTTGGTCAACAACGCTGTCTTCCACGAGGACCACGATGAGTTGGTTATTGTCAAGGACATCGATGTCTTCTCGATGTGCGAGCACCACATGGTGCCATTCACCGGAAAGGTAAGAATCGCTACATATAGAGCTACTGCGGTGGTAATCAATCTAACAGCCTGCAGATGCATATCGGATACATTCCTGACCGCCGTGTCCTTGGTCTGTCAAAACTGGCTCGCCTGGCAGAGATGTTCTCTCGCAGACTCCAGGTCCAGGAGCGTCTGACCAAGCAAGTTGCGTTAGCCATTTCAGAGGTCCTCCAGCCTCGTGGTGTTGGTGTCGTCATGGAATCTTCCCACCTCTGCATGGTTATGCGCGGTGTTCAGAAGGTTAGCAGCACCACCACAACCAGCTGTATGCTGGGATGTATGCGGTCCAGTGCAAAGACTCGCGAAGAGTTCTTGACTTTGTTGAACCGGAGATAATGCCACATTTCCCCATCTGCCCAACCTGAACATAGGTTGTTGAGTTTTTTTGGATTTTTTTGGAGTTTTGGGTACCTTTCAACAGGTTTTGGGTGGTCTTGCTTTTTACTTTACATGTTAAGCGTGGATTGGTGTTTCTCCTGTCTTTCATCTGGGTTTTCCTGCATATACTCAGGCAAATCTTTGCCCTGGTGTCTTGCTATGCTCCCCTTGTCCATGAAGTTCATACCCTGGTTGTAGAGCTGGTGGCTTTGCGGGAAATGGTGAAAATCCCCTTCCTCGAGCTATGATGGGCCCGAGGAAGAAAATAACCCCCCGTCATTCCCTATCCCATATGCCCTATGTCATACTAACACAACCGCACAAGAGGCCTTTGCTGTGCAGTCTATTGAGATCTTACTCTCACTAGATAGCACCAGCAAGGCTGTTTCAACACTTAATCTCATGCCGCTTACCAGCATCCTAGTAGGATTTCCGGAAGCTATCCACTTAGATACGATGTATGCATTAGAACCAATGTACAAGCTCGTTCAGATTCATGTTCCCTCGTCTAGCAAAGCAAAGCTCTGTTAGTAGTGTGTCGACTGACGTTCAGTACAAGGCCTGCAGCTGACTTCTATAAAACTATTTGGGCTGTCTTAGGGCTTTTTATAAGACTCCTCAAGTCTTAGAAGGTTTGATGAAGGGTGGCTGAGTGATCCCCGCTATCCGTCCAGGTGTGGGCATATAGAGTACTTTGATCTCTGAGGGCTTGGTGCGGTTGAAGGTAGGTATTGTGAGAGGCGTTCAAACTTCTCGCATCAGTGAGGACCTCATCAGGTGTGAACGACATCTGAGCACCCGTGGATCTGGCCAACCACCCATCTGACGACTAATCGTTCCATGTGACAATGTCCTCCTACACGTACACAAATCTGACATTGTTTTCTTTTAATTCTGCCCTCAAACAAACTCTTTATTCCTTTCCTCTATCACCCGACTCTCTATCCAACTCTCAAACTCTCCATAATTTGGAATCTTATTCTATTAATTTTCAGTTCTTCTTGCAATCCATTGATTGCCTCTGCTTGTGCTTATTTGCGCTTCTTCTGTTACATTTGACGTGCCTGTGAATCTCAGTCACGTCTACTCACGTCCACGTCTCTCTTTACCTCTTGTTATCTCTTACCACGCACCACCCCACGGGCACTAAAGAGTGGCATCGGTTTCATCTATCTCTGTAAGTCTCGCGCGGGTTGATTCGGTTCCTTTGTGTGTGCTATGTACAACACCAGAAACATGATATGACATTCCTCTGATCTGATCTACGAATACTTATTTGGTGCCATGAGACGTGACACTAATCTGTTTGCAAAACAAAAGGGTTCTCGCACTCAAACCTGTCAAATACCCTGCACCTGAAGGGTTCACCCAGACAACAGTGATCACTGCAAGTATGCTGAAGGTGTCTGATCAAATCAAGCATTCGACTTGCTAACATGGAGTGGAAGGAACCTGGATACACTTGAACAAAATGGGGGACCACACTCGACCTTCAGCCTCTCGCCGCTCCCCGAGTCTCTCTTCTGATGACGATAACCTCGACTTTTCCAACGAGCCCACCAATGCCAACAATACTGCCGGGTCAGGATCTCCATGGGTTCCCTCTCAGACAACCATTGATATTCTCCAAGCGCATCTGGCAGTTGACCCCGACTCTGACGCTTCAGAAGCTTCTGAACCACGTGTGCACCCCGACTTCTTCGTCTATCTCGAGAGACTGCGAAGGCTCAATGAAACCACTCGCGTAAATGCGCGCAGGGAAGTTGAAGCCTGGCACCAAGCTATGTTTGGGTCAAACCAGTCCCAGAATCAAGCTTCTCAGACGGTTGATTCTCAACACCAACACCATGCTTCTCTCATTCTCAATGAGTCCCACGACGAAGATTCTCCTATGATTGATGAACCCCAGGATGAAGCTGCTCGGATACTTGATGAGTCCTATCAAGGAACTTCGCAATTTACCAACGAATTCAACCAACCCTTGTACCACGCCGGTGCCGAGCATGGGTTACAGCCGCCCGCGATGGGCATGCGTGAGCAACATGGAACCCAAGATCCCACTACAGCCGAATCATCCGGGCCGATTCCACATGTCCGTTTTGAGACACCTGATCCCATGGGCACTGCCGCTAGGGACCATTCTCGTCACCATAGAGCCCCTTCCCCCTACCCGACAGCAACTCAGGGCGAATCCTCTGCTGCTTCAAACTCCATGCCACCTCCTCCTATACCAGCACGTGAGCCACGCCGGTATACCGACTGGGGAAACCCTTACAGATTTCCATTTGACCCTGCTCCGTTCCCTGAGGGTGCCACCCCTTATGCGCCAGAACGCATTATGCAAGCATGGCTTATCCGGCAGCAGCTAATTGCCGGCGTTCGTCCTGAGGACATCGAGCCCATGGCGATCCCACGCGGCAGGCGTCACCGAACTCCTCCCTACATGATTTTGAATGAAACCGGTGCCCATATCGTAAGAATTGAGCCTGCCGCCTTCGAGGGTACCATGCTTCCTCTGCCCGTCCTTCCTTGGCTGCCGCGGCGCCCAAATCCCAACTCATCCACTGCGCCTGTTTTATCTAATACACCCGATGCTTCGGGTCTACCCACTGGTCTAGATACTGCGACTGCTCCAAACTCAGCGAGTATTCTAAACTCGTCGGTTGCCCCGAATCCCGCCACAAACCAGCCAGTTGCTTCTGATCTGTCAGCTGCTGCAACACCGCTAGCTGCTCTAAACCCGCCAGATCCTCCAGCCTTCATGGCTGATTCAAGCCCCGTTAATACTCTAAACTCCTCGGTTGCTTCAAATTCGTCGGCTGCCACAAACCCGTCGGCTCCTCAACCGCCCCCGGTGGATACAAGCTCAGCGAGCCCTCCCAACTTGTCGGCTACCCCAAATATGTTGGCTACCACAAACCTGCCAGTTACTTCACACCTGCCAGCTGCTCCAGCTTTAACAGACTCCACTGTTGTTTCGGACCCGACTTATTTACCAGAACAAAGTTCGAGAGATCTAAGTCAAGATGTTGCAGAAAGTCAGAACCCGGATCCACGTATGGTGGCCTTTTTCCAACCTCTTAGGCTACATCAACCTGCTAATTCAGCCTCAGCTTCTGTACCAGATTCTTCTCCAGAAAGACCAACCACATCTGAGCCCAGCCCCAACGAGAACAGCCAAATTTCCGCCGCTGCCCTCCAAGCGCAGTCGCAGGCCACCATGCCCCTGAGCGTGCAAAATCGTACTGATGCTGATTCGATCAGTTCTCAAGAAGTCCATGGGGTTGGGGTGTCTCCCGCCCATTCACAGGACCGAGATTCTTCAACTGTCTCTCCTCTGTCGAACGAAGGGACCGAGACCGGTCATGTTCCTCCTCCCCATGCCCCCAATGGCAATGGGGTTATGCATCATGCGATCACCCTCTCGGAACCCGAGGATCCTGACGAGCCCGCTACGCCACGTCTCCGTCGTTTTGCCATCGACGGAGCGGATGATACACTCGTGGTGAGCCACCTTTCTGGGGAGGTTAAGGCTGCCAGTGATCAATCCTCCTTCAGAGGGTTGATTTAAGGATACATCAACGTCTGTATGAGTATTTACTGAAGGAACATTGCTTACTACGTAAGCACGAAGTGACTTGTGGGCGATCTTAAAATACTTGTGCGAGTGGTGAGGTTGTCAATCCTCAAAAGAGAAGATGGAGTGTATTGTAGAGTATTACTGAATAAACTTGTATAAGTATCAGTTGTTTTATGTCCTAGACTTACCACTATATAGCATGTAGAAATATATTTGTGTGTAATGTGCATGTATTGATGGGTATACATGGGGTCTCAGACTCTGACTTGCTCACCCATGTAATGCAATAATAGTCGTCGCCTGGTAAATGTACCACGATAGGTCACAGCTATGCACGCACGCCTGTCGCTAGTGTTTCTTTATCAAAGGAGTCTTAGGTGTGATGCTTGGCTTCATGAGGTCAGACCAAACGACAAAGGGAATGAGTCGTATGACAACGTGTCAAACACTCAGCGCATATTTAATATAACCAGCAATTATATATAGGGCCTGGGGGTATTGTCAGTATACTCAGTAAGCAAAATCTCCTTTTGAAAAAAGGTGAAGAAAGTACATAAACAATATGACATCACGTGACCCGCATGTGACCCCACGCCCAATTCCGGCACAACCTCGACCTGCTCATGACATCAACCTACCTCTTTGCTTTCTTAGTTTCTCGCCGATTCGGCATGGCGTTTGCTCTTCTGATCGTACTGCGATAATATCTTTTGTTGAATCTAAACCCCTGGATTTTCTGGGGAATGTCCCTTTTTTGGGTCGGGTGAAAATGGACGGGGGTTTGTGTTCCAGCACATCCCGCTCAATCTCGGGCTGACTTTCAGCCACGGCCCTGAGTTCCCTGCGACCACATCCACATCATGAGATGTTGCTTTCTGTTAGATTACAAACTGTCAATTTCTGGTCCTGGAATTGATCTCGCTATTTAATATGGGAGGCGGGGTTGGCTGAGTGCAGGGCCTAGTCTCTAGCATTTCACCTGCAAGCCACACCTTTGGGAGGAACTTGCTCATTCTACTGGGTTGTACTGGACTGGGGTGGAACCAAGATTGTTTTTAGGCTCTTCTTGCCTTGACCGACTCGTACATTGACCTCTCACTCGGTATGCTCCCCACCATTATCGCTATCCCTTTGTCTGGTCAATCGACCTGGGCACTTGGATATCAGCAACATGAATTCGCAACCTAGGGGGTACAGCCATAAGGATACAGGATTCGCAAATGTCAGGTTAAAACGACGTCGCAACCAGGATTTCCGCCCATGTTTCATCTCTGCCCCGGTGGTATTTGTCCCCCAGATAGTCAACCATCAGTCTGTCTGTTGTAAATCACGACGAAGCTTCATTTCATCGCACACTATTTTCCTGGTGGATGACACGAACCTCGACAACTGGCATACGAGACATCGAAAAACTGACTGGCTGGGTGTGATACAGACCATCAAAGCTGTCTTCAACAAAGAATCACAGCGTGTCGAATCGGCCCTCTGAATTGACCAACAGCTCCATGACCCTGGGGGAAAGGATGATAGGAGACTCCAGCCATTGATTTTATGATGTGACCTGATAATCCAACGGGGATTGTTATGTTCACAATGGTGCCTCGGAAATGTTGGCCCATCTGGCCTTGTGCAATACGTAGATAGTTTCATTCGTGGGACAAGCCAACACAGTCTCAATGTGGCTTTGCCAAAAACAGGCAACTGCTGTACAAAAAGGCAGGGCAAGGCGAGCACAAAGGAGACAAAATGTTAGCAAGCCTAACATGTCAGTTTCTCCCACACCTGGGCACCACCTGATCAGCTCGTCATGTGCTGAACAGACACAGACTCGACACATTCGGTATTCAAAAAGAAACTCGGAGGAGCCAAGCAGAAGTACAGGTTGCACTTGTCTTCGACAGCTGCGCGCCAATCTTCCAGCATCCAAGCGTCGAATCAAGTTGTAGAGCCGCACCGCGGATCAGTCAGCAACCCCGAGGTCTCCAACCTTACCTAGGAAAGCCCACCTTCCACGGCCAAGTAGTGTTCTTTCTTTACGTGGAATGGTGACACGCCGTATTTGATAAATCTGAATTGGTGCGTATGCCCCATTCAACTTTCCCCTTGCTTATGTCCTTGTTGTTCACCAACGCTTGATAGTGTGAACAGTTCGGAATCTGGAAGAACCATCGTTCCGGGTCCTCAAACCCGAAAGACTTCCGCCTGCGATCGCCGACACGCTTGGATGCCATCGCTCACTGTGCTTTCTCATCATTATCTTTAGTTCAAGGCCTCTTCCAAGGACCGGCCTCGCTGACATTTTCTACTTCTCTTGATTGAACCAGATGCCGTTGGCGACGCTTACATGGCTGCGTCCCGTACGAGTCCGGTGTTGAGAGACCAGTGGAGCGCCGACCCAGACCGTGATCCCCGTGACAGGGAGAGACGGAGGGGCCGAGGGTCAGGCCGCGATCGAGGGAGAAACAGAGGACGTGACCGAGGCCGTCCATATCGGCCCAATAACCGCAATTTCGATCGCCCGGGGCGGTCGCCACCACGCGCGTCCCGCTTTGGCCCTGAATCTTCTCACGACCTAGGCGATTTCGCTCCGGATCGATCTCCTCCTCGAGGTTCCCCTCCCCCTCGAAACTTTCACAACAGCCGTCGACTAGATTCAGCCCAACCGGGGCCACCAGCCGGTGACTGGAACACCCACAACTCCGGACCTTTCGACAGAGAAGCCCCCGGTCTTCGAAGAGACGAGCTATCAACCGGACCTCCACAGAAACGACAAAGGACTCGCAGCCCCTCACCGCGTGGTGGTCGTGGCCCTCTCCCTCCCCAGCGTCCAAATTACTCCGATAACTGGGATATCCGGGATCGAAGCCCTTCATTCAAGAAACGAGGAGGCCGTAACCAAGGTCGTGGTGCTCCGAGACGAAGATCACCACGACGGGGCCGGGACCGTCGTGGAAAAGACCGTCGCCGTCCAGATATCCCACGTCCAGGAAGATCCAGATCACCGGTTCATGAACGAGGGTTTCATCCTTCGCCAGACCGACGGTCTCGTACCCCTGGCGATGATAATTATAGCGACCACGGATCTCACTATCGCTCGAACTCACGGCACTCTGTGCGGTCTGCAACCTCGAGATACTCAGCATCGTCTCGCAGGTCAAGGCGTGATTCGGCTATGAACACAGCTCGACCAGTCCAGTCTGTTGTGGACAGCACTGCTCGGTCTCCATCTCCACCGCGCCCGATTCCCAGTTTTGACTGTGATAATTTCGGTTCTTCCGGAGAACACTCCAATCCCGCGCGGGATGAGTTTTCAATGCATGCCATGCGCTCTGACCACCAACCTCGCCGTCGGTCCTCCCGACCACATCTTGATACCCGACCCTATGCAAACCCTCAAAACGCAACATCAACAGGCTCATACCACGGTTCGCCGCAACCGCCATCACCTTATTCTGCAGGACGAGGAGGATGGTCTGGCCCACCTCCGTATTCTGGAACCGGGTGAGTCTTCTATCGCTTTCACTTTACATGTTACATATTGAATCAAACTAACACTCCTTTTTAGCCACGCCTCTCCTTACCGAAACGATGACTATTCATCGCAAAATGGAAACTACTATCACAACCAAGGTCAATTTAACGGCCCTAACAATCATCACCCTCAGTCTCCGTACGGTGGGCCTCCTCACCGGGGTGGCCACTCTGGTGGCGGTCATCGAGGAAACTTTTCAAACCAGGGCCCCGATCGGCGATTTTCTGGCTCTGGTCCTCATTCATATCACAATGCATCTTCACAACGCGGCGCGAGGGGACATTTCAACAACCTACAATGGACCGCATCGGGACCACGAGGCCGCGGGGGACAACATAGCCCTCGCCCGGCACACAGCCATGGGTCCGAAACTCCCAATCGTCCACACTCCTCTCACAATGACCTGCAATCCCCCGAGCTGGCGAAAATGATCACTATGCCCGGCCCCCAGTAGGGATGAAGAGGAGAACAAGACAGAACCCCAACCCCCAGCCGGAAATGCCCAGTCCATGCCGCCCCCGGCCCACCAGTCCAATGAAGCCACGCCCGCAAACAAGGGCGGGAAATTCAGCTTTGCTTTCAAGTCAAAGGCTGCGCCTTCCCCCGCTCCAAAGCCGGTACCTGACCTTGCCCAGAGGATGCAGCAGGTCCGCGAGCCGGCTCCTCGTGCACCAGAGCCACCCCAACAACCTCGCAATCGGTTTACCAATGGGCCATTGCCCAAATTCAAGCCAGATCCGAGGGGTGATCGCCGTGATCGTGGTGGACGAAATCGGGATCGAGACCGCAGAGATTTCCGCGAGCCACGAGAATTCCGTGATCCACGGGATCGCAGAGATGACCGTCGTTTCGATCAACGTCGTGATCGACGACAAGGAGAACGGCCCCCGGATAGGCCCTTGGACTGGCAAGACCGCCGCCGTGAACCTTCTCCGGAACCTCCGAGAGAGCCATCACCACCTAAAGAGAAGCGGATTCTTACTCGGCCTAAACCACGCCCTACGCTTCCTGAGGAGTTCGCTAATGCCGACTCTGTGTACTTTCGAAAGCCGGGCAATGAGTCTGTGATCGGTGCTGGAACATATGGAAAAGTGTTCAAGGGAATCCACGTTTATACCCAGCGTAAAGTTGCACTCAAGAAGATCCGAATGGAAGGCGAGAAGGATGGCTTCCCTGTGACGGCTGTCCGAGAGATCAAGCTGCTTCAGCACCTCCGAAACCATAATGTCGTCAGCCTCCTGGAGGTCATGGTCGAAAAGAACGAATGTTTCATGGTCTTTGAATACCTCTCACACGATCTGACCGGTCTGATCAATCATCCTACTTTCTCTCTCACACTTTCTCACAAGAAGGATCTGGCGAAGCAAATGTTCGAGGGTCTCAATTATCTTCACCATCGAGGGGTTCTACATCGCGACATCAAAGCAGCCAATATATTGATCAGCAATCGTGGATTGTTGAAGTTTGCCGACTTTGGCCTAGCCCGGTTCTTCTCCAAAAGCCGCCAACTTGACTACACCAACCGAGTCATCACCATCTGGTACCGACCTCCGGAACTCCTTTTGGGTGAGACCCGATATGGCCCTGCGGTCGACGTATGGAGCGCTGCCTGCGTTTGCATGGAGATGTTCACCAAAAAGGCCGTTTTCCCCGGTGAAGGTGGTGAATTGAGCCAGATGGACAAGATCTACAATGCTTTGGGTACTCCTACCAAGTCTGAATGGCCGGACCTCGTGGAGATGCCCTGGTTCCACCTGATGCGACCAACGGAACGAAGGAAGCGTGTTTTCGAGGACGTATACCGTGATGTGCTCACGTCCAGTGCGATGGATCTTATATCCTCGATCTTCCGCTATGATCCCTCCCAGCGGCCGAGCGCCGAGGACATTCTCAAACATCCATACTTCGTATCCGAAGAACCAGCTCCTCGCCCGCCCATTGAGTACGTTCCCCCAACTCCCTTCTGTATATTATTATCCCTTCTAACATTTATCTGCAGATTGGAACACGTTGAAGGAGACTGGCACGAGTTTGAATCCAAGGCGCTTCGCAAGGAAGCTCGACGCGTCGAGTACCAAAACCAAAAGGACCGCGACAAGCGTAAGGCTGACGCATCGGTTCCCAGCAGCGATCGGGATTCCAAACGTACCAAGCAAGATTCAAGTGATCGTGCCTCTGCACAGTGATGACTCTTGGTTGGCAAATTAATTTATTATTTTTTTTTTCGCTGTCTTATTGCATCGGACATGGTTGGAGGAATGGTTTGCATTTACTTTTCACGAGATTCACACTACCCTAGGTATTTGGGGTTCTTCCGGGCTTGTCTTTTTTTTTTTTTGTGTCACATATTGCCCATTGATCAAGGAAAATTTAGATCAAAGTTATTATTGCATAGTCAAGTATAATGGACTGATGTATGGACTGATGCATATCGGTCAATATTATAGGTCCCTATGCCATTACTCTTTAGGAAATATAGTATTCAGTTAAGACGGAGAAGCCGGTACACACAGATCCCAGTTAGCTGCCCAAACCCCGAGCTTGTATCATCTGGGGCTATCAGTGTATAACAAAAAATAAAAAAAAATCACCCAAATAGTGCTTTGGAATACCTTTGATTGTCCTCGCGAATTTGCACGGTACTTCTGAACATTAGGAGCTAAGCCCGGTGGAGCAAACGGATGCAGCTAGCAGTACGGAGTAAGATGAAATAAGATCCAATGAGGGTGAGATGCGATGCAGGCAAGACCAGACATCGAAATCACCAGGGTGTGGAAGAGGCACAGGCTACACTACTTCAAGTACCATATAGTGTCGCGCTAAACGTCCTCGGAATCCTCAATGTGCTCAACCTCTCGGGTAAATTAAGCAATTTGGGTATAAAAAAAAGCTTCCCCCACGTAGGAATGACACATACTAGTAAGTACATGATCAAGTAGCTCGTAATGCTTTATACCGATGCGTCGTCTTTATGTTTGGCAGCCAAGATATGCACTAAAAATGTCATTTATAGCACATTTGTTACTAAACGAGTATTGGGTCTTTTTAAAGTAGTACCTAGCTGTGTAGTTGCATCGTTCGGTTCAGGAATGAGCCTATGATGACCCTCCGAGATCATCTAGCTCTGGAAATTCAAAGGTCTCGTCACTTGGCTCAAGTACAGGGTTATATATAATGCACTAAATCATGTAATCCTTTTAGGTCACGACGGCTCTCATGGCAAAATATATAGCCGCCCGCGAAGTGTTCCATGTCGCCAGATAACTATGTTGAAAATCCAAGTTAATTTGTTATAATTAACATGTATTTCGAGGTTCAACGCTAAATCCTAATTGATTTCATGCATACGTTGCTTCTCCTGCAACGTGTCACTTCTACATTTCCAGTCTACCAAAGAATTCAGGACTGCTACGGAATCGAGACTAGCGTCGTTAATGCAGTTTGACGCCTCTATCAACTATTCCACCACACGAATTCGAGGATACTGAAACCATGACTCGAGATTTCAATTCAAACTAACTCAATGCATCTTCGCTTTCATCAATCTATGTGCGAACTATGAAGAACACAGCGCTTAGGAATGACACCGCTCATTGCCTACAATTCCTTCTAGTCTTTATCACAAAAAGCAAGTTTTCTATGAGAAAAGATAGACAATTCCATAGGAAAGGAAAGGCATAAATATGGCTTCCTTTCCATATATGAAGAGATTAGACATTCTTACAATTCATTTTTACGCCTTTGTGAAAGATACAAAATCCATTACTACATGCTGTTTAGTATATTACTTGTTCTGTATTATAGTTATTATTCAACAAACTATAGTAAATTGGGGTTCAAATCGAAGCATGAACGAAACGAGGTATGTTATAGGAGTGGATGAGAATACTACGACAAAACCTGATATTTCTGGTATTGGGCCTTTTACTGTAAAGTGAGAAGGGACAAGGGTCATAGGAGAGATGCATGTCTAGGTAAATGATGATTTTAATTTACTTAAATTAATGGAGTTTTGCGTTGATATATATGTAAAAGAAAACAGAAAGAAAAGTGGATATAATTTTACGCGAAATCATCACGATTCCGACGTAGCTCGCTTGAGACGAATTTCTATACCTTGGGAACCGGGCGGCAGATCGGCCCCATCATCATTTTGATCAAAATACAGGCGCCAAATCCCGCTACCATCGCCGATCTCGAGGTCTGCCTCCGCTTGTTCCCTCGTGTGGTCTTCCGGTAACCGGACTGCCAGCCACCCCTCCCACCCCTCAAGCGTGATGCACTGTTCATCTTTCGTCCAGTCAAAGGGTCCACATATGTGGCCCGCACTGTCGGGACGCCCACCCCATCGCATTTGATGCGTGTTGGAATCCAGGAACACCCAACGCAAGGTGGGTGGTTGTTCGCCAGTGATGGTCACGACGCCGGAGGTATTGTCAGGAGGGAAATCCGGGTGTGTGTAGAAGCCGCCATTAAAAAGAGACATAGTAGAGCTGGGTTTTTTGGTGATATAAAGCTGAGACAAAAAGTTAAATGGTCAGAATTTTTTTGGGTTTTTACACTCATTTTCTTTTCCTTTTTTTTTTGGCTTTTAGCTGCTTGACGATACTTACATTGCCGTCTCGCCCCACATATACACGGGCATTGTGAACCTGTTCGCGTTGGGTCTGAGTCCCCTTGTTGACTTCACACATAGCCACTAGGTGGCATCTCTGCTTGCGTGCTGTATTCTTCCGGCTGTTCTCCTGATCACGCGTGCCTTTAGAGGCCTCATTTAGTCCCATAATGGTCGGCACCATGGCCGTCATCATGACTATCCCCAGGACCATTGTTGAGGAGTTAGCACAGCGTAGGGAGTTCGTGAAAATCTCAAGTCTTGTGCGTGTGTGTGCGTGGGTATATAAGACGTGGAAAGACCTCTAGGCGTATAACAGCTAAATACAGAGCTTTTCAGCTCTTCCCAATGTGGAACATTGACACCGATCCCAGTAGGGATATATCCAATGGGGATAAATCAATCTACTTTGTCTCCATGAGCTACGTCACCATTTATGCAACTAAAATGGATAATCCAGATAGTTTCCGAGTGCGAACGCAGAGATGGACCAAGGTGATGTGCAGATCTCCAAGGGATTCAGCTTCAATATCAGAGCCAAGTGGAACTCCAATAGATCTTTCCGTCGAATAAAGAATCCTTCCCAACGGAAGCGGCCTGCGACACATATATATTTTTATTACCTCTCGCCTATGCATCGTAGACATACTTATCCCCTATTCTGTCCGTTGCTCTCTGCTCAAACCCTCATAACCTCATCTCAGCCCTAACCTTTATTAAACAAGAATGTCACTCAGGTATACCTAAACCATCTCCTTCCAACACTGCTCCCCCGTCCTAAATGATCATTCCTTTACTTGGCTCGCCCTCATAACATTCAATTCCTTCCCATTACCCCCCTTCATATTATCACCGACAATGGCAAAGAAAAACAAGTCCCAAAAGGACAAAACGGACGAAAAACCACCCACAGGCCCAAAATCAAGCCACAACATTACTCCCAACAGCTCAAGTGAGACTGACTTTCCTCCGCTACCAAATAGCCCTACCACCGAATCTGTCCCCGCGCTGGGCGGCCGCAAGGGCAACCCAACTGACGACCCCGTCGGTGCCATCGGCGAGACCGCCCAGGACGCTCTGCCGAGCACCGGCGGTCTGACAATTCCCGGCATCACCGATACTGGAAAGAAGGATGGCGAGGATGACAAAGGGAGCCTCCAGATCAAGATTCACCTCAACCTGCACGCTAAGATCAAGCTCGAGCTGGACGCCCAGATCTACGGTGACATTGTAATCGGACTGCTATAATCATCCATATCTCATTTTAGATTTGGGTATTACCGTGATGGTATGTATAGCCCCGCCGTATTGGCTCGAGTGCGTCGTACCTGCGTCGTACTAGTGTGTTGCATCTTACATGGGTCTGACAAATTATTTTAGGTATTTGGCTTAGGGTTAGAATCTAGATCCAGGATGGACGCGAATGGCCGGGAGACAATGGGCTGTGTTACGCTTGGAAGACTCATAATTGTATTTAATGGTCTCATCTGGATTTTCATCATAGTATATATATACAATATGGTGCTTTTTCTCTTTCAACCCGGGATGTTTCCCACGGGATAAATGCAGGTCCCGCAAATGCAAGGTTTTATGATGTGCCGCTTTTGTACGTAACATGCATCTCAAGGTCTGTATTTTAGCGTGACTTTGTTTCAACTAGCATGTTTTGTGTGATCAGTAATTTAGAGATTGGGCGACGTGTATTGTGGATGGGGCCATTTGCGAGAGAATTCTCCGATTGGTGAGACGGTGCAGAAGTTGAGTTTCAAAATGGTTGGACCTGGAGTGCTGAAGGAACATTGTGGGTATAGCCGCTAGCCGCTAGCTTGCTCAGTGTGAGGGGGAATGCAGATCGCACTTGCAAGTCAAATCTTCATGACAGTCCAATATTGATATCGTGTAGGAAGCTCCCGGATGTCCATGTGGACCCGTGGACTTTAAATTCAATTATGTAAATTAGTGGACATGCCCAGGTGTGATGGGTCATGCCATTTGCTTGAAGTCCAATAGCCTGTTACAAACTTCCCCAATAATATAGGTTATATAATGATTGCTGTTCGCAGTACCCGGGCACATCAAACATCAAATGGTTAATAATTATGGGAAATAGCCCTTGAGGCCTCTCCTTTTTCCGTTTCCTCCTTGTCCCACGGACTTCTCCGGAAGGTATTTGGTGGTAGCTGAGTTGATACAACATTTTCTTCCGCGGACCTAACCCACTTACGTCAATAATTATGCATGAGTTGATGACGATCAGCACGCACAGGCAGAAACTTGGCAACCCCGTGCGAGAAAGGGGTGGGACTCGACATGGCTGGGTTCAGATACCGAGATCGATCGACAGTTCGTCCGAATGGGTCCGAACCGCACGAACAGCCTCTAGCTGTGGATTTGTGTCCATTGGTTACCAACACAGCGGGCGGAGGACCCATCCAGGACCCATCCAGGGCCCACATTATAGGGTGACGGCGGGAAATGATCTGATTGTCAGCCCGCCACATCCAGTGCACGGAACAAATCAGATATACAAAAGTACCTCTTGGCCGATCTAGGGTGAAACCAATCCTACAACCAGAGACAACTATTCTGTATGGTAGCGGTGGCTTCAAAAATTTAGCTCTCATATATACAGAAGGATAAGGTTCGCTACCAGCTGGAGTCGATCTGGGTGTATACCGTGCTGAAGAAAACCGGGTCTTTCATGGGAAGAGTAGAGAGAACATATTTCGGCCATCTCCATCGTTCTGCAGGTGCTACAATGATCCACATTTGCATTGACTCAGCTGAGGCATGGGGTCACACTCCCATTGACTGAATTGGAGCACGGGATGACATTGGCAGCCCACAAATGCCGTCCACCCCTGGTGTTGTTCCCTGTCATTGGATCATTATGCGTTATCACCATTCAGCTCCGACCCATTATATGCGAGGTCAAACTTTCTATTGCCCCGAAAGCAGAACACCTGGAGGCAATCTCGTTTTTGAGAAACTATACTTCGTACCGTTCGTTACATTCCTTACTGAATAAGTCCACTTCCTACACTATAGCCTAGGAGGGCATAGCAGGACTGATGTCAGCGCTGTGCGCAGAGCTTTTACCCAAGAGGAAAAGTGGAATTGAGGCAGGTGCTGGTGCCCACCTTAAGAACTGCTACAAAAGCATGGCTTTCTCCACGAAGCTGCATGACCTTTCTTTTTCTGCTTTAATCCCCGTGAGCTTGTCGTGGTGATATCATACATAATTCCTTTGCTGTTTTCATCCTCGCCGGGCTGTCTCGATTATTTTGTTGCTTGAAGGGCCGTTGCCCCAAAGAAGATACATCGGACTCCAACCCTCCTCCCCGACACACCCTTGTTACAAAACCGATCACCGAAGAGTATACTGAAAGAGTTACTGTCCCTGCCGGTTTAACTATCGAGAAAAGACTCTTTTTAAACCCAACTGAATCTATACCAAGCACAATGGCCCCAGGTATCTTGGCTCCCGTCCCGGGCAATCCCACATCCCCTTTTTATAGCAACCGGCCTGGTAGTTCTAGAAAGGTTTCTGCTATGTCTAGTATGTTGGATAATGATAGCCACTCCAATGGTGGCATATCTCTCTCTGGTACGTCCCGCCGTGAGTCCTTCATGCCTCGGAAGTTCCACTCCACCGGCAGCTCAAAGCTCTCTGGTGTGGTCCAAGGCCTTCAGCGCCAGAGTGGCGCTGAGTTGGGCGCAAATGTGTCCTCTACGCTATGCAATACCGACCACGCTACCATCTTGGATTGGATTGCAACCGAGCGCATGAGCCATCTGCCCCCCGAGGGAAGCAGCTATGATAAGGTGCTCGCTTGGGCCCAGCTCTTTGTTGAGCGTTTGCACTCCTTTGACCTGGCTATTCGCGACTTTGAGGGAAGTAGCTGGCTCGCTGCTCAGCTCTCTTACGGATACTGTGCAATGCTGCTTGAGGTATGTACCGAACCTATTCCTTTCAAATCTCATGCTTCTTCAATACTGATTCCACCGTAGCTTGGAAAAGAGAATGCGCCAGCTCTGATGGCTTCCTTCGGATTCTTTTACAGTACTTCTTCCACTCTGGTGGATCTGCTCGAGCGCACTGAGCTCTTCGCTGTCTCCCAGACTATCAAGAACCAGCTGGTTGAGGCCTTGGCAGACCTGGTTTCTTTGGTCGCCGGTGTTTCCACTCACTTCCACCAGTCTATCTATGCACTCTCTGAGGGCTCGATCTCAATCAACATCTATGAGACCTTCACTGGTCAGATCGAGTCTTTCCGTGAACGCTGCGCCAAGATTTCAGACTCCATGTGGAGACATCAGCTCGTGCAGGAGAGCAAAGACCCCGAGAACGGTAAGAAGGATTTGCATCCTTTGAGTCTTGGAAATATTCAAATGATACTAATTATATTTGGTTATGTTTAGTGGCCGTTGTCAAGTCCGTCCGAAGCTGGCTGTCTCCCGATGACCGCACCCTCAGCCACCTCGCCGAGAACACCTCCCACCTTGCCCACGAACGCGAGGAGATGACCTGTCTCTGGATGAACCCATACTTGACCCATTTCCTTAAGAGCGACAATCACGTTCTCGCCTTTACTGGTGCCCTTGGATCTGGGAAGACTGTCCTCGCCTCCGTCATTGTGGACCGTCTGCAGGACCACATCGGCGGTGTTACATACAAGTCATTGTTTATTCCGATCAATTCCAGAATCCCAGCAGAGACTACCCCAATTGCAATTGTGAAGACAATTCTCTTGCAGCTCTTTGAGAAGCGAATTGGTAACATCCAGCTGCTGCAGATTCTGCATGATGCCTATGATGCAAGCAAAAAGACCACCAACCAGGAGGAATACGAGAACATTCTCTGGAATGCTCTGGAGAATGCTTTGAGCGCAGCTCTTGCCCGCGCTAAAGACCTCGTTATCGTCATTGACGGCGTTGATGAGGCTTCTTGCGGCGAGGCATCTTTGCTCCAGAAGCTGATTGCTGCTACCTCCAATGGAACCAACGTCAAGCTTATCACCCTTGGTGCCGAGAAGCCTAAGACTTCTGTCGGTCTGTCGCATGTCCCTATTGGTGGTGACCGCATTGCTGATGACATTTCCACTGTTGTCCGAAGCAACTTCACCGGCGCCAAGTTGCCTGGCACCAAGGTCTTCTTATCTATGGATGAGATGGAGCAGGAGACCCTCGTCGACCAGATCAGCGAGGCCTCTCGCGGTTCCTTCTTGTGGGCTAAGCTGTGCACCAAGCGTGCTCGCCTTGAGCATACCCCGGATGCCCTCCGCAAGGTCGTTGACACTCTGGTCAAGAGCAAGCCCACCATTGCCGACTTTGTTCTCCACAGTGTCCAGGGCCCCGAAGTCACGGAAGAAGCAAAACTCATGCTGCTTTGGCTTGCTACAGCTGACCGTCCTCTGCTGGCAAAGGAACTCACTACCTTGGCTTCGATCGAGCTGGACAAGCAGATTGTGAATGATCGCAAGATCAACATTCGTCAAGTCTTGAAGCCCTTGAACTCCATCGTCTTCATGCAAGATGGTCAGGTGTACCTTCGTCATGGTCTGATTAGGACTGCTGTCTTGGATGTGTTCTCTAAGGGCAAGCTGATTCCCACGGTCAAGGACCGCCACACCGACCTCGTCACCCGCCTCTTGGTCTACCTCAAGTACACTGTTCCCGAGCAGCATGAGCCTTCCCTCACTCCCCTTGATGATCGTGATGTCGCTCCTCGTGTGAAAACCAACCCTCTTCTTGACTTTGCCATTCGCTACTGGCCTCGTCACTTGAAGCAGACCACGACCTTCACTACTGGTGGCAATGCTCCTACTGCTAAAGAGTTTGGCAAGGTATTGCCAGCCAGCGTTACCCTTTTGCTGCTACAGAGCACTCTCTGGAACAAATTATCCACACCCACACTGCTGTCGTACCACACCACTATTACCAACATGTACCGCACGGTTTTGGGGACCAACCACCCTGTGACACTCCAGTCCATAATCTCGTTGGCACTGCTGTACCGTGATGTGGACCAAACCCCCGAGGCAATCCCTCTCATCTATGAGATCACCACCATCAGTCGCACTTTGCTCGGTACAACTCACACCATCACGATGCAGATGGCTCTGTTGTTCCTTGATCTGACTGTAGACATGGTCACTTTTACCAAGTCAGATATCATGACTAGACGTGAGGAGCTTCTCATCATCATTGTCGAGTGCTACCAGGCTCACTACGGCGAGAAGTCTGAGAAGACAGTCGGCATCATGAAGACTCTGATTGAGCATTATCGCGCGACCAAGGAGGAGGCAAAGATTCAGACTTGGACTCTCAAGATCCAGAGTCTTACCGCCACCAACTACGACGGCGATGATACCCGTGATCTCAGTGTTCGCCTGAAGGGCCATAAGCAGGAAGTAGGTGAAACTGGTATTCGCTTCCTGCTGGATGCCGAGCACGACGAGGTCCACGAAAAGTCCGAGTCGTTCGAGGGCCAGATCACCAAGGCCGAGAAGTACAGAGCCAATGGCCACCTTGACCTGGCCGAACGTCTGTACATTGAGCTCTGGCAGCAGGCTAAGACCCAAGAACACAAGCTGCAGTCTGTTCTTGCTTACTCGAAGTTTTTGACCTCCCAGAAGAGAGAGCATGAGGCTTCTTCCATCCTATCCAGCGTTTGGGAAGAGCAAAAGAGCAGCGCTCACTCTCTTTCTGAGAGCTCGATCTCGCACTTCGAGCAGATCGCTAAGGTGATGACTACTGTTGGCCTTACTGTAGCTGCCTTGGGCGTCTTCAAGCACTGTGCCTCGTTCTACCAGCGTACCAACCGTACCTCCTCATACTCGGAGATGCAAAAGCACATAGAATCTACCTCGCAACACGTCAAGAAACAGGCTAGCTCGTCGTCATCGCACTTCTCCGAGACTACCTTGGAGGAGATCGTCTATGAGGCTTCTAGTTCCTCTAAGCTCGACCAAAGCTCGCTCACTGCTACCAGTACTTTGCTGACCTTATACACCAAGGAGCACCGCTGGAAGGATGCCACCCGTCTCCTCAAGAAGGTTCTCCATGGTATTTGGCCTTCCCTGTTCGCTCCTTCCATCCAAGATGTTGTGCTCCCAAAGGAGCACACTGACAAGGCCGTGGACCTTGCCGAGCGTTTGAGCCAGTGCTACCACTACCGCCGTCGTTTCCCCCGCGAGGAAGGCATTCGCGTCCGCGTGTACCGCGCGGTCCGTGCCGCTCGGCCAGCGGGTGACAAGTTGAGGGAGACCATCAAGGATCAGCTGATCAGCTTCTTCGAGGGGTCTTCCCAGCCCGACAAGATCATCGACACCTATCAAGAGCTTTTGGAGGACTACACCAAGCACTACGGCCCTGAACACCCCAATGTGATCAAGACCCTATTCACTTTGGCTGAGCTTACCCGTCCTCGTCCCATCTTCGTGGAGTATTACCAACGCATTGTGCTCGCCTTGAACAAGCACTCGTCGGTCATCAAGCCCGAGGCATTGGAGCCCGTCATAATTGTTGCAACTGAGCTTTGGGCCCAAGCTCGCTACACTGACGCCGTTCCATACTTTACCCTGCTCTTCGCCACTTTCTTGGACCAGCCCAAGCAGAGCCCCAAGTTCCAGGACGAGGGCTTTGTGCAATCAGTATTCGATCGCTACACTCACTGCTTGCGCAATAATCGCACTGAGTTTGCCTTCGTTCACAAGATTACCACCGAGTTCTACAACAAAGTCAAAACAGTCTTCGGAGCCACCGCTACGATCACCATCCAGGCTACCTTGACCCTTGCTAAGGTGTGTCAGGAGACAAAGACCTATGAGAGTGAAGCCATTGCACTCTACGAACAGCTGCTCAAGCTCAAGCCTACTAGTGTTAACCTTGGGGAGATTGAGGCCATCCTTGACGGTATTTTCGAGGAGCAGACCGCCAGTGCTACCTCCAAGTCTCAGTCCGTTTCCTCCGAGCAGATGAAGCGCGTCACTAAGATCATGCGGAAGCGCATTGAATCCGCTCGTGAGACTTACGGCTGGGCTCACGAAGAGACCCTTTCCAAACTTCAGGAGGTAATTTCATTCCACTCCAGTCACAATGACACCCAGCGTGTGTCCCAGGAGCTGCACGAGTCAACGAAGCAGATCCTATCTTCTGAGACTTCTTCGGAGCGCCTTGTGGCCGCAGCCACCACTATTGCTACCGGCTACATTACCAGCAACCAGGCCCACAAGGTCGTTGAGCTGTCCCAGGAGCTCTATCGCCAGATCGTCATGAAGGATACCTCCAACTCCAAGGAGACCCAGCTCGATGTCTCCTCCAAGGGTCGCCAAAGCCTTGTCTTCTTGGCCCAGCTCGAGCACAGCATGCACCAGGGTACCTCCAGCGTCACTGAAATCCTCGCTTCTTTGACCACGGAGTATGTCTACTTCGAGGAGTTCAGAAGCCACACCAAGTCCAAGAGCAGCTCTTTCTGCACAGTCGCGGTTTCTGCTACCCGCCTTTACAACTTCCTCGTCGCCAACAAGCGTCAGGTGGCTGCTAACCGTGTCTTCAATGACTTTGTTGCTTACTTCGTTTCCACCGAAGGGGCGCGCATCAAGTTGACTGAGACTGCTCAGGTGACCATCTTCCTCCAGACCATGATCGGATATCTCACTCAACACCAGACCTCGAACTTCGTCCGCTCGGTCGGTATTGCCTCCAATGCCAAGGTTCTCGAGCTGCTTGAGGCTAAAAACTATGATGGTGCCACCAACCTTGCCATCGCTGCCTTCCGCTACATTTCAGCTCACGATGTCTACCGAACCCCTGAGATTGTCAAGTTTGTGTTCAGCTTGGGTCTGTTAATCTCTGGCCATACCCTCCCTCAGCCAGAGCGTTCTGTTCAGAAGAAACTGCACAGTGTGTCCGCGATCATCATTCAGGAAGTCCTCCGCGTTATCGTTGATCTGAAGATCAACCTGGCCCAGATCAACTTGGACTACCTGAACGCCCTCATCGGCATTCTTGGCGAGCAGCAGGACTACAAGAACCTCGTCTGGCTCCTCAGCGATCTCTGGAATAGCCGCAACAAGCAACCAGACTGGAGCCCTTCCGTCACCCTCGACCTGGCCCGCCGGTACATCCTGGCTCGTTTCCTGGTTGGCGATGCCGTCAAGGCCTCTCGTCTGGCTGAAGACATCGTATACAACTGCCGCCGCGTTAACGGTGCTCGCCATACCAACACTCTCGAGATGTCCACCTTGCTTTCGCAGCTGTACACCGCGATCGCGCAACGCTACCAGTCCGATAAGAACGGCCAGCACATGGCTAATAAGTACTACAAGAAGAGCGCCGCGGTGCACGAGAGCCTCCTCCGCGTCTTAGTCGACCCCTCGCTTGCGGAGTTCGAAGGTACCCTCGATGCTAGCTTCAGCATGGACGGCTCCGCCTATGACTTGAACATTCAAGAGCAGGGCTCCGACAGCGGATACTCGTTGGCTAGCGGCGAGCACATTCGCGCCCACCTCAACCTGCTCAAGCTCTCCGTGCAACGCCTAGGTGACTGGCCCAAGGATTACAGCGAATATCAGGCTCTCAGCGCTGGTCTCTTTGCTGAGTTCGGCGATGAGTTGAAGGGTGTCAGTGGTGTTGAGGAGTGGAACCCGAAGAACTTTGGGTCTGGCAAGGCTGCCAGTGCTGAAGACACATTGGATCTGAAGACCTTCACCTGGTCTATTAATCTCGGTCAGCAGAATGGCGAGGTTGAGGAGGAGGAGCTGTAATAGCTTGTCTCCATAATGTCCGTCATACGTATATATGTATTTAAATTGTGTTATTAGCTTGTCTTTACCTCCTTGTCCAATCCGAACTATATACTCTCGCACCCAGTCACAGCTTTTTGGCACCACTGACCATGGTAAAAGACCATAGTAGAATGCTCTAACGTTGACAAAAGTATCTTGTGTAGTTTGAATGTGGATTCATCTATTTAACTGGCGGCTATATCGGCTCAGCCCCCACACGAGAGAGCCCCTCAGATAAATGGCTTTCCCACCCCCCCACATCTCACACTTAGTATCTCTTTCATCGATATCCCAACTACAATGGAAAAACCACATAGGTCTTGGAAAGAAGTTTTGCGCATTCAGTCTTCCAAACATAAACCGACCGGTTTAGAGAATGGAGACAATACTTCTCCCGCCAACTCAGTTCACTCCGCTACCACCCACCCTTCTTCAACAGTATTAGTTGATTCTGGAAGCCAAGAAATAACACACAAGCCAAAGAGGAAAGCCATCGACATCTCACCAGATAAACTCTGGCATCAAGCCTACGATGATCTCAAAATTAAAGAACCAAAGCTGTTGGAGGGCTATGAAATACTACTCTCAACTAAGCTGCCTTTGGATCAAACAAACAAGGTCAATGAGCAGAGCCAGCAGAACAAATTATCTCAAATGAATCTCCTTTTGGAGGCCGCTTTGGACAAGACAGCCAAGATCAGCAAGATAGAAGGAAAGTTTGGCGAGGCCATCGATGTTGTTCGGTCTGTTAGTAAACCAGTTGGTGCTGGCCTAAGCGCTGTTCCGGCAGCTGCAGCTGCTTGGGCTGGTATCTGTGTTGCTATAGAGGTGAGTTTGTCTCGAGCTCCGATCCACGCACTTTTCCTTTCTTTCTGGTGCTTTCACCTCTAAAATCCTCTAGTTTCTCGCAAACGCAGAAAATGAGGCAAAGAAAAACCGCGAGGGCATCACGAAGGTCATTCTCAAGATGAAATGGTATTCTAGTCTCTCAAAACTCTTCGACCAAAAGAGTTCCATGGCAAATGACCACTTGACCGAGCTACGTGAGCAACTGGCCGAGCGCATTCTCGATTTATACAAAGAAATTCTCCAATACATTATCGAAAGTATCTGCTCCCACTATCGCAACCAAGGTGTAAGGTATCTGAGAGATTTGGTCAAATTGGATGACTGGGATGGGAAACTGAGTGGTGTTGAAGAAGCTGAGGCGGGCGTAAAAGCGGCTGCTAAAGTTATTGGGGTTCAACAAACCAGCTCATATCTCGAACTCCTTGTCAATATGCGTCGGTCTCAAGCAGAAGACGCCCTAATGGAAAAATGTTGGGTCTCGGATATGGACGCGGACATCGAACTTCTTCAGGGACTAAAAGACAAGTTGCTTCCTGAATCCTATGAATGGGCTCTCCGGACTCAGGAATACCAAAGTTTTACCAATTGGGACGACGGAAATTCCAATAAGCTCCTGTGGATGAGAGGAGATGCTGGAAAGGGGAAAACAATGCTACTCATGGGTATTGTTGAAGATCTCAAGGCCCGATTGCAGACTCGCTTTGATGAATGTTGCCTATCTTACTTCTTCTGTCGTGGTACCAACGACAAAGTCAACACAGCAACGTCGGTTCTGAGAGGCTTGATATGGATGCTTTTGCGCCAAGAAAAATCCCTGATCCATCACCTTGATACATTCAAAGGAAATCAGTTAAACGCATTCAATGATGGCTCGGCATTCTTCCAATTGAAGAAAGTCTTCCTTGAAATTATCCAAGACAACTCCTTGGGAAGAGTCTTCTTTGTGATTGATGCCCTCGATGAATGCAAAAGGGGGGAACCTGGTTTAGCACAACTTTTGAACCTGATCACCGAAACGGCCAAAAACGACAAGGTGAAATGGCTACTATCAAGTCGGAATGAACCTGAAATCAAAACCTTCCTTGGCAAGGGTATGACAAATGTTCAACTCAGTCTGGAAGTGAATTCAGTGGCCGTTGGGAATGCCGTCAACGCCTATATTGACCGCAAGGTCTCGGATCTTGGCGAGAAATATCGAACTGATTACGAAGCGGATTTGGCCCCTGATTCTCAATCACAGTACGAACTCGAATGTGCTCAACAGCTTGAAGTATACCTTTCTCAAGTATTAGATCAGTTGAAATGCAAGCTCAAAGAAAAAGCAGACGGCACTTTCTTGTGGGTGTGGTTGGTTATGAAGGAATTACAAGACGTCAGCCCCGATGAACTACTCCAGAGAATCGAGCAAATTCCATCAGGCCTTGATGAAATGTACACTACCATGTTGGAAAAGATGAATAGTTCCAAGTGCGTAGCAACGTGCAAGAAATTGCTCTTGATTATGACAAGTGCATATCGTCCTCTCCATTTACGCGAATTGCGCGAATTGGCCAACTTAACAACATGGGCTGTTTCCCCCCCGGTTGTGAAACAATGCGGCCTCCTCATTTTAGGGGATTATGACCAGACTGTTTATTTCGTGCATCAATCTGCGAAAGATTACCTTGTTCAAGCCCAAGGACCAGAGATGCTATCCAGCATTTTTCCACATGGCCATATCGAGGGACATCACATGATAATGGCTCAATCGCTTGAGTGTATGAAGAAATTGAAACGAGATATCTATGGACTGAAACACCCTGGATTGTCCATCGACGAGATCGAAGACTCTAAAAAGCATGGAGATGCACTTGGGCTCCCCCGGTATTCTTGTGTCTATTGGGCCGATCATCTTTCGGATTCTGAACCCAAGTATCAGTTCGACAGTCTACGGGATGATGGTCCAATCAACAAGTTTTGGACAGAACGTCTTCTCTATTGGATTGAAGCTCTCAGTCTGATGAGGAAATACTCAGTTGCAGGTTACACTTCGAGGAAACTCATCAAATTGCTCTCGGTGAATATAAATGCTGATATGAAAATATCTATTAGAATACAACTGACGAAACTAGACTCTCTTCCCTGAATCTCAATTTCTACTCTTTGTCCTAGACTCTCATCGGTTCATCTCGTGGGCCAGAGGTGCTATCGAAAGCTACCCTCTGCAAACATATGCCTCCGCACTTGTGTTCGCCCCAACGGATAGTCTGATACGAAAGACTTTTGAGTATGAAGAGCCAGACTGGCTTGTAACTAGGCCTCTTGTAGACCCAAGTTGGAATCAATGCATACAGACTCTTTACGGCCACTCCAATCAGATCAACTCAGTTGCTTGCTCTCCTGATGGGACACTCATAGCATCTGGATCAAGGGATAGTACCATTAGGATCTGGGAAAAAGAAAGTGGTGACAGCCTCAAGACCCTGGTGGGTCATAGAATGGAAGTCCATTCAGTCAGCTTTTCGCCGGATGGCACACGTATTGCATCTGGATCATCGGATGAGAAAATCAGAATTTGGGACGTTAATCGTGGAGAATGTCTGAATATTCTTTCTGATCACACGAGCTCTGTCACATCTGTTAGCTTCTCTCCCGTTGGTCTGATTGCTTCAGCGTCAACTGATATGACTATCAAGATATGGGATTCTGAAAATGGTCAATGTCTGAATACCATTGAGTTTCCTTGTCGAACGAGGGCGGTGCTTTCTTTTATCTCTAGCGACCATGTCGCTGTTGCTATTTCTAAGCAGATCAGAATTCTGGACGTAGTTATTGGAACATGCGTCCGGGTTCTTTCAGGCCATACAGGTTGGGTCACCAGCATTTCCACTACGATTGATGGACATATAATATCAAGCTCAGAAGATGGTACTGTCAAATTATGGGGATCAGACAACGCTTGTCTTCAAACACTTGATCATCATCGCCCAGTTACAGGGGTAGCCATGGCTTCTAATGGGAACATTATATCTGGCTCTAGGAACTTGGTCTATATCTGGGATCTCAAGAGTGGAAACCCGCCTAGAAAGATGACAGGCCATGCTGGTCCTGTCCTGTCAGTGGCCTCGACCACTGATGGTGATATTGTATCTTGTGGGGATGATGAAACCGTCAGGCTTTGGGATCCTACAGGTACCCATTACAATCACCGTGATAGTAGTCCCTATAGGGCTATATACTTTGTATTTTCCCCAACTTCCGCCGTCAGAATTGCATCTCTACATGAAGATTACAGTGTGAGTATTTGGGACCCTAATACCGGACTCTGCCTCCAGCGATTGGTCAACGACAACACGGCATTTGCACACTCACTGGCATTCTCGCCTCACGGTATTCTTGCATCGGGTTCAGAAGATGGTATGATCAGGATCTGGGATCCGGAAAATGGCAAATGCCTCGATAAATTCCAAGCTCATGGTCAGGTGGAATCAATTGCTTTCTCCCCCGATGGAAACAACATCGTGTGCGGCCTATCCAGCGGAGAGATCCAGATTTTGAATTCCATGAATGGCATCTGCGTCACTAGGTTTAAAGTTCACCAAGCACCAGTCGGGTACATTTCTGTCTCAGCTTGTGGCATCATTGCATCCTGGAGTGCCGGTACCGAAGACATCAACCTCTGCCAGACAAATGGTGTACCATTGAAAGCCCTTAAAGCCATCATCTTGCCTATGCTTTTGCGCTTCTCTCATGATGGCTCATGTTTAATGATGAAAGACATATCTGATTGCATTATTTGGGACACTACAAGTTACGAATGCCTCCTAAGAGTCAAACAAGACGAGTGTGGCATCGAAAAAGTATCGGAACGCCTTGGTCCCGGTTCAAGAGTTCACTATGGTATTACATACAGCGGAGAATGGATCACCTATGAAGGGGAGAAGGTTCTTTGGTTGCCTGTAGAGTATCGCCCATTTAGCCCATGGTCATGGGCGGTTGAGCGGGCTGATGCAGGAAACCATCTCGTCATTTCCTGTCCATCGGGCCAAGTCTTGATATTCAGGTTTTCGAACTCTCAGACCCCTCTCTGATTTGTCTTTTCTTTTAGCCCTTTTATATTTCGCTCCGTGGTATCTAGAAGCGGTATAATTCATTGATCCTCTTAAGACTGAGGCATTTTCTAGGGCAAACTAGTATATTGTATAGAATCCATTTCGAAATTCCGTCGTGATCGAAGAAATCAGGACTATCCACATGACGAATTATGTGCTCATCCTAATAACCTAACTTAATAACTGCTAATCGGGACCGCTGTACGCCTTTATATACTAAATGACCCGAACCCGCTCTTTCTCCAATCTACGCGGACATGTTTCACCGCAGTATTCAACCTTGGTATTCGAAAAAACCATCAATGAAGACCTCCATATTAAGTGTCAAATAAGTGCCCACATTCTGCATATAAACCCCCTCGTTTGTGCGACGCAGTGTGAAGCTTCCGAAACTCCGACTCGCGACCTAGCAATGCCCTAGGAGCATCAAACTCCACCAGTTCCACATGCTGCAGAAGCGCCACTTTATCAAAGCGCTCGATATGCCGCAACCGATGCATAACAGCAATGACCGTCTGCCCCGCACACTCCTGCTCAATTATCTCCAGTATCCGGGATTCGGTTTCCCAGTCCACGCCGCTAGTCGCTTCATCCAAGATAAGTAGCGGGCTAGGAGTGGCCAAGGCCCGTGCCAGTGCTAAAAGTTGCCTCTCGTCATATGACCAGTCCAGCGAGTTAAAGGTGGCATCCAGTCCACCCTTTCTGCAGATCGATTCCCACAGGCCTACTTTTTCAATAGCAGTGATGATCCGCTGTTCCGATAGGGTGCCTGTAGGGTTAGGATTCCAACAAATTGGCCTACGAAACTCAGCGTCATTATCAACCGCCTTCCGTATTTGTCTGCTAAAATTCTGTATGGTAGTGCAAGAAGAAGTCCGGGAATATTGTCGAAGAATGATTGCCATCCAAGGAGTTGGGCCAGGGCGGCCTGAACAGGACCTTCCTTACAGCGATGTTCAGGAATCCTTGCTTCTGACGCCCAGAACTCGGAACCTTCATAGTACTGCCGGCATATGATTGACTCCAAGAGACGTAGTTGCGGTGCAGCGCTTATGAAATATCCAATTCCCATCAGAAGGTATATAAGAGTACATAATATAGCAGGACGCCAGTAGACGGTGCTAACATCGTTGTGTTCATCTTGACTTGAGTCTATTATGGACTGGTTGACCAAGGGATTCTGGGGCTGTTCTATCGTTTCGTAATGAGGCATTCCTTTTTTTTTTTTCAAGTGTACATATGTAGACTGGAAAAATATTTGTACTGGCCAGAAGAGGATTTTTAGAATGGAGTGGAGGGAGAAGTACTAGGACATACAGTGGCGTTGCATGAGTATTTGCACCCCAGTACCTCGGAAGGCTTAGGCCCCACTTATTTTCTGCCGTTTAAAACTTCTCATTTAGAAACACCTAACTAACTAGCTAGTAACTAGTATGCCAACCTTCGTATTTAATAACCTCTTCCACCCGGTGCGGCATAGTCTCTGCTAAATTTACAAAGTGGTGCACTGTCAGATTCTCCCATGCATACTGCGCTGCATCTACTAGCTCGGCCCAGGTCTCCTGATTATTAGGCATCTCTCGTAACCAAGGCCTTAGCCTTAAGATATCTGCCTTTAATAACGCCCAGAGGTTCTCAATCGGGTTTAAATCAGGTGAATAAGGAGGCCAATCCATAACATTTACACCTATCTCGCGTAGTAGTTCTTGAACTATATACGCAGTGTGTAGACTGCGACATCGCCCATGGACGGGCGGGTGGGCAGTGCCCACGGGCCTTATGTAAGCGGGCGATGGGCACTATCCATACGCCCATGGACGGGCCCTACCCTTAGGGCCCATTGTCCATGGACACCGTGGGCGCCCATGGGCCTTTTTAGTAAGCAGAATTTCTTGACCTCGTGACCTGCATTATTTGTGCATTTTTTCTCTGTATTTTTGAGTAATTCGATTACATGTACAATGACTTGATAACAATGACTTGATACTACTGTCAATTTTCTGACCGAGGTCAGAAATGAGCTTTAGAAGCCTTTATACAACAACTTGACACATTGTCACTTTTTTGACCGGGGTCAGAAATGAGCCTTGGAAGCCTTTGCATAATGACTTAGGCATTCATTATATTCATACATTCACACTAATACGATACAAATTGATCATCATTGGGTTTGCCACGCTTCCTTGCTTCTCTTAAACCAGGGCGCTTTTGAGTGCTACCCTTATCTCCATAATGAGGGAGATGAGGACTGCTCTCATCTTCGCTGTCGACTAGCTCACTTCTCTGTCGCTTCCGCGTACTTAGCACTATAGAAGGACGAGGAAGCTGACTCTCCATTATAAACTCATACTCGATCAGTCCAACAGGATCATTATCCTCGGAATCCTCACCATCGCTGATTGGTTCAGGCATGTCAGTGGTAAGCTCAGCCTCTCTCTGTTCGTCTGCTTCTTGCATTGAATCCAAGGACGTATCCTCATCGGGTAGTTCTTCTATTTCAATGTCGAACTGGGTTTTACACCGGAACATCATGATATCCTGGACTGTCTTCGCACTCAGCCGCCCACGTCGGTAGTGGCAGACATCCCGTGCTGAATTGAAAAGACGTTCAACTCCAGCGCCTGTTGCAGGAATAGAGAGAATGTCGCGAGCAACACTGGAAAGAATTGGGAATTCATTCTCATATTCCTTCCAGAATTGTAAAGGATCGACCTTTCTCCTTGCTATCATAGGTATTAGTATTCCTGCTCGTAATAACAGTGAATATAACGTACGCTTTTCAAGGTATCTAGCAAGTTCGTGCTCCGACGTTGATGGATCAGAGTGGATGTGAGGCAGAAGGTCAAGGAGGGCGTCTAGGTCACTTGTACTGGCTGAGTGACGCTTAGGGGGTTGCTCTTCTCGTAGGGACCGTGTCTGAGTGTGTCTTTGGGCGTAAGGAGCTATGAACTGGCGAAGCGTTTCCTTATACTGATCACTCCAGTTTGTGTCGTTCTCCGATGTACCCCACGCCTTACTTGAGAAGAAGTGAAGCTTATGCTGGGGTGCAAGAATTGTTCCAATCGCGTAGAGACTACCATGGATCTCTTTCGTCTTTGTGTAGTAAGAGGTAAGCTTTGCCATCCCAGCATTGAGGGCTTGTAGCATCGCCTTCTTCCAAGGTATGGTTTTCGGAGTGAGTCGTGCAATCGATTCCTCGAAGTGCTCAAAGAGGGCGTTATAAATACCAAAAACATGATGTACTGTTATCTCTTTGGTCTTTGAAAGCACTGTGGTAAAGCGATAGAACGGCTCTGTGATATACAGGAGGTAGTCGACCTGCCGCCATTCTGCCTTACTGAGTTTGTATTTCTGAGTCCCAATATTATCACAGTATTCATCGCAGGGCTTGCTGAGGCGTTTCGCACGACGAAGCATCAAGAAGGTAGAATTCCAGCGGGTGCGGACATCTTGGATAGGCGCAAGTTTTGCTCCATTGGTCTGGAGACGGAAGAAATCATCGCGACGTTGGGGGCTTGCATTAATGAACACAGCAAGCCCTCGAATCTAGATAGTTATTAGATATATTAAGTGATAAACAAAGTGATACACTTACCTTGACAAGGGTTTGTACAATGACTTGTTCACTCTGTGAAGCACGGAGCGATCGAGCTTGGGCTTGGGCTTGGACATCTGAAACATTCCGATCTGTGGTATCGTTCTGGGGATCGGCCTTCACCGATCCAAGTAGCTCGCGAAGGCTTAGCTGGATAACATGTGCAAGACAAGGGATTCGAACAACCACCGGGCTATTCGGTAGTTCAAGGGAGTCAATAGAGTCTTGAACTGCCTGTACTAAAGTTGTGTTATTTGACGCGTTATCTGATGTAATCGCTAACACACGATCAGTAATATCAAGCTTCTTAAAGATCTCCATAAGTACTTCACTTAGATTCACACCAGAATGCGCCCCATCAAGTGGTTCGAAACCAAGTAGGAGCTCACGGTAATTCCAGTCTCGGTCGATAAAGTACCCTGTGATTGCCATGAATGCCTGCTGAAAAGGCGATGTCCAGCAGTCGAGGGCAATTGAGAGCTTCGCATCTTGTGGTAAGGTAGCGAGAATTGAATGTTGCTCCTCGTCGACCAATTTCTTGAGCCGGCGTTGAGCAGTGCGAGGATGGAGTAAAGTGGGTTCAGCTGGAGCCTTTTGTGCCATTCGAATCAAGGAAGCAAATTGCTTCCTCTCAAGTATCCGGAAAGGGAGGTTCAGACTGGTAAGACATTCAATCTGCTCTCTTTCCCATTCATCATTCGAGAATTTTGAGTTATAAGATAACTCCAGTGCCTAATATGTAATATGTTAGTTATCTTGAAGGGTATAATAATATAAGACTTACCGGTATATGCTGCATGGTCTCCTTAATCGACTGTTGTGTAGCCTTGCTTTTACCACCCTTTTGGCATTTGCCTGAGGCTAGATGCCGCTTGAGTGTATTGGTGCCGCTTTGCTTTGTACTTGGATGAGGCAATGTAACCCCACACGTCCGACACATGACCAAAGGTTCGCCTGTAATATGATGTGCTACCTGGTCGAAGTTCTCCCAGACATCTGATATGTGTTTTGCATCCCATCGTAGCCTTTGTTGTGTCTCAGTACTGCTGCCGCGTACTGTGGTACGCCACCACTCGATAAACTTTACTTTGGACGCGTTGTTCATCGCGTCGTAGAGGATAAACTGCTTTCTCCGATCGGGGCCGACGCGTTTGAGAGAGCAATCAAGAATAGCCGGTTGAGTGAACTCGGACTCTATCAGTGAGATAGAAGTCTGTTGGCTGTTGAAGAGACTGGGATCAATATTTGGATCAAGGTTAGGATCAAATATATCGGCGACGTAGGAGAGGTCTGGTTGGGAGCTCGGAGGAAGTGAAGAAGGCCCTGCGGTATAGGCACTAGGTTGGGACATGGTTAATGTGATGTAAGGGATAATATAACGACTATAGGAGAGTGAGTGATCTGAACTTACAATAGGTAACTTGCGACCGTGTGAAACGAGGATTACTAGTAAAAGGGGTGCTTTGTATAGATCTGATAGATCGTAAATTGAGTGTAGACCCACTATATATTATAAGCTGATTGGCTATAAGTGTCTTTGTCCATGGGCATGCCCGTGGGCACGCCCGTGGGCACGCCCATGGGAACATACCTAAACGCCCATCTTGAGTTACAATCGAAGGATTTAAAACTCCTAGAATAATAACATAAGTCTTTGAGTGATATAATTGACAGAATTCAGTGATATAAGCTTATAAAATAAGAATTATACTAATTATCTTTCGATCTACCTATAAGAAATATACCAGAGTGAGAGATAAAGTAGAATCCATAAGTAGTATTTTACTTATAGAAAATGCCAGGCATGTACCACTGACTTGAATATATATCTTCAAGCTGTTACAGTATGATTTGATAAGTTAATAAAAATACCACACAACATGATGTATTTCGATTAAAATTTTAGTCCAATTCGTATCATATATATACTAGTTTCTCATATACATAGATATTTCAGTAAAATTTATAGATGTTGTAGATTAAAACTGCCATTTTACATGGAGTTGGCAAAACAGGTGTAAATAACAGTTATTTATTATGCAAAGTCAGCGAGTTATACGTCCATTTTGGGTGACTTTATGCAATGGTGGGCATCGTGGGCATGCCCGCCGTGGGCATGCCCGTGGGCCTTGGGCGTTATGGACGGGCACTAGAAAATCCAAATAGCCCAAGGCCCACCGTGGACGGGCCTTGGGCACCTCCTAGGTGCCCATGGACGGGCGATGTCGCAGTCTAGCAGTGTGTGTAGGTGCGTTATCATGTTGGAAGATAGCATCTTCATTTGCAAGTAAGGTAGGAAGGATACCACGGTAGAGACTATAAATAACCTCTTTTGTAATACCCTTCCGCTCTGCATTTGGATCTCCGTATAGAGGAATAAGGCCAGTTTTCCGTGGAGCACCTGAGAAACAGGCCCAAAACATCTGTTTTGACTGCTTCCCTTTCGAGAGTGTCATTTGAATACCGGAATTCCGATTTTGAAGCTGATCTTTAGGAGGAATAAAAGTCCACTCCTTCCGAGCACCTTGTCCACGTTCAACTGTAGTCTCATCCGACCAAAAGACCCTTTTCCAGTCCTCAGGTGTAAAGTGGCGATAGGTAAGGGCCCAATTAAGACGTTTTGCAGCGTGAATAGGCGTAAGATAGGGTCGATTCATCTTCCGCCATTTTCGAAGGCCCATTTCGTGGGTTAAACGCCAGATTGAGTGCGCTTTAACCTTATAATCGACCTCAGCAAGTAGATCCTCACGCGTAATATCAGGACGGGACTGAATAGCATCATACACACGATCTCGGTCCTCTTCAGTAAGCTTCCTTGGACCACCAAGGCGAGGCATTGAGATACCATGGGAGCGCTTTGTTTCCTGGCGTAAGGTGTAATGAATAGTTGAAAGAGGGATATGAGGGTACGCGTGCTTTTGAATACGTTTAGCACCCCATTTTGCTGAGCGTTTTAGCTCACATATACGCTCGCGAACGTGCGGTGGAAGCTCTGGGCCACGGGCCATAGTAGTAGAGTATAGAGAAAGAGTTAGAAAGGTAAAAAAAAATAGGAAGAAGAGGGGGTAATAGCCTGTATAATACTAGTATACTGCGCGCTGCGCGTAGTCGCGTAGTATACTAGTAGGAATAGGTAGGCGGTATAGAATAGCGGTGAAGTGACGGAAGTACTGGGGTGCAAATACTCATGCAACATGACTGTATGTATGTGCATACTATGACCAACTCGTGTCTCCTCGGGACCTCCGACGGGCCACCCGGGTAGCCCCACTTTCTTTTTCCTTAATATCAACACAGTACTCCGTACGGAGTATATACTTACCTTATACTCCATTTTTGCCAATATCCCATCTTGAAAGCGCAATCTCCAAGAACTATGTTTGGAGAAAGAGAGACCAACTACTCTCGAGTATCCTCAAGCGGTGGAGGGCCCGATGACCCCAAGCATGGGAGGGGACCGTAAACCTCCAAGCCCTAGAAGAGGAACGGTCTCCTCCTGTCCATTCTTGTCAGTTCCCCGGTGGGCTTGATCTTTGGTTCCATCTTCTCAACCTTGGCGATTGTGGCTATCAACCATATCCACCTCAGCGTTAACACCACTGGGACTGCACCTTGTGCAGATGCCTGGTATGCTAACCGACGCATACAGTACCTCATTCCGTATGGGGTGTTGCAACAAGGTCAGCATGATTAGGCTTTTAAGTTTCTAGAGAGAGAAATAATACCGCTTTTTGGCTATTGTAGCTCTCATACGGAATATTCTCCCGATACTTGTAAAGGGTTGGCCTGGGTGTGTACTCTTCTGCTCGGCCAAAAACCATTATGTTCAATTTCGAGCTCTGACATGCCTAGGACCAATACATGCGGTAGCACCAAAATTTCTTAGGTACCACGGGACTTGTCAAGGCCTAGTCGTAGCAGGCCTCTTAGTTGAAGCTTGTTATTTGATTACTAAGCACATGACCTCCCCCTTAGCGTAGGGCTGCTTCGCTGGCTTTATATCTATCTAGCTATACGGGCCCTACAACGTTAATGAGCAGGACCATAACCACCCTCATAATGCGGCGGCACATTAGTGGTACATATGTAGGTAAGTTACTAGATATCAGTCCATTGGTCACTGCAAGAGACAGAACTATATATAGCATCTTCAAAATATATTTCAAGGCTCAGACTTTGCCTGTTGACCGCATGCTCATCCAGCCCATGAGCCCGAAGGCCAAAGTAGTAGGGCGGTTGAGACCTCGGATTACCAGAGAGCTCAAAAGAGTTTCTTCACTGCGTTGAAATATGGAAGGAAAAATGGAAATCAAGATGGATTGCTATTGAATAGGACGTACCTAAGTACCCTATACTACATAAAACAAAACAAAGAAAACAAAGAAGACAAAGAAAAAGTATGGATGTGTCGTCAATCAGGTCATCAACGTTTCATGGGTTGCTCGTAAGCCCTCGTGATGATGGTTTTAGATGCGATCAATTTAATCTCGACACACACATCGGAAACGCCAGTGCTGTAAAAAGTAATGAGTCGCCAGCGTTGATTTGAGTTTGGTGGTCTTGATATAAAAAAAAGAAGAAGAAGAAAAAGAAGAACCGAAGAAAAAAATGAAAGAAAAAGGGAAAACTGGAAAAAAGACGGTGCGGGCTGCAGGCGAAAATGGGGCTCACCTGACTCTGATTGGTTAGGACAGCTGCTCCTCCAAACTGCAGTCGAGTCTCCGATTCATATCGACACTTTTCCCCTTCAACCTGATTCCCCCTCTATACATTTGTTTCTCTATTCCGATATATCTTTTTTAAAATCCAGCATTACCAATATCCTCCTTATTACCTTCGTTCGAACTCACTTACTCTCCCTGGATTTCCCTCCCCCGAATTTCTTATTCCTCAAGAATTTCCCGCCATCTGCCACTATACTACGTCACTGAGATAATAGCGCCGGCGTCTCATCTCTCTGTGTAACGCTTCTTACGGATCCTTTCTTTTCCCCCTGATGACCGCTCGTGTCTCGGGCAGTCTTCTCACCCGCCGCGATGGATAATGCAAACCTGTGGACCCGCCGGACAAAGTTAGTCGTGTGCCCCTCCTCACCCAGGTTGACCATTGTAACTTATATTGGTGTTTTCTTTCCCATTTGATTAGCTCGTCCAAGTTGTCCCTGTCTACGTCCGGAGCGGACGCGAAAGACAGTGCCCGTGTCGAACTGCCCCGCCCATCGAAGCGGTTCGGACCCGACAGCTCGCATGGCCGCTCGAATCCATTTAACGCAATATCCCCATTATCCGGCGGCGTTTCCTCCCCATCCACTAATGCCTCCTCCGCCTTCGGCCTAGGGTCCGGCGCATTCGCCTCTTTCGGTGCGCCGAAGACTCCCGGTGGCTCCGAGTTGAAAACACCCGGACGGGAGGTACCTTTGGAACACGATGAGGCTACCCGCAAGGCCTTTGAGAACCAATCCGTCGCTGCTCCTGGTGAGCACCCGTTGAAGTCTACGTGGATCGTCTGGTACCGCCCCCGACACCCAAATACTCCGACTATGAAAAGTCCACCGTGCCGCTCGCTTCGATATCTTCGGTCGAGAGCTTCTGGGCGGTGTACTCTCATCTTAAACGTCCCTCTCTTCTTCCTACGGTTTCCGACTACCATATCTTCAAGAAGGGGATTCGCCCCGTCTGGGAAGATGAGGCGAACAAGCGGGGAGGTAAGTGGATCGTACGTTTCAAGAAGGGGGTTTCCGATCGATACTGGGAGGATCTCCTCTTGGCTATGGTTGGGGATCAGTTTGCGGAGGCCGGAGATGAAGTCTGCGGCGCTGTGCTGAGCGTGCGGGGTGGTGAGGATGTTCTGAGTGTTTGGACGAGGATCGACGGGGGGGCGCAACATCAAGATCAGGTATGTACCAAAAAGCCCCCCTACTTCATTCACGGTATATCTAACTTGATTTCAGAGAAACGATCAAGCGCCTGCTTTCTTTCCCGGCAGACACCAACATCATCTGGAAGAGCCACGACGACAGTATTGCACAGCGTTCTGCTATTGACCAGGCTCGCCACGACAAGACTGCTACTGGCACCGGTCATCAAGAACGGCGGCGTACAGGCCAAGATGACTCGGACAAGGCTAAACCGGCTGTGGCCCTATGAACGGATCCATGATCCCAGCCTGGCCTTGGGCCCTGTATAGTAAACCCGAAAAAAAAAACCTTCAATCACGAATCATTGGGACGCGTTTGGGTCTTAGGGGCGGTGGGGCATCGAGGCGAACTAAGCGGTTTGATTTGATTTATGTCTTGAGTGAACTCATCTGTGCTATGTGTTTCTTTTTTTTTGTGTCTACCGAGCTCATGCGTGATGTTTTTCCTTTACGTACCCAACATGAATGCAGCACCAGCTGCTATTGGTTTTCTCGCCTGGGAGTATTGTCTATCCTTTGCGTGACGAATTGGTTTCTTCTGTGAAGTAGAACCCTTTCACCTAAGCTTGGTCTATTCGACGTTAGGGCTCTGCTAAATATCCTAACTACAACTATGTATGCACAAGGTAAGCAAAGGTATTGGTGTATGGTCCCGGAAATATGGGCACAATAAGCTATATGCAAGCCAGACACCCTGGCAACTACGTCGGGTTGTTTTATTGTTCACGCTATCGGGCCATTGGGGCATCGAGCTTTTGTTGTGAATAATGTCAATAAGGTAGAACGGTATGCATAAAGTAAATCACCCAGACAATGCAACCAACCCCTTGGAACATATTGAACCAATTTGTCTATTCCAATATTCCAAGATATCAAGCAGTGAATTGTCTATGTAATGCCTGAATCCTCAGGCGCCAATCAATGCTGACCGCCCTAGGGCTCAGATGACGATGCGGCGTACTTGCGTCCCATGAATGAGAAAAAAAAAAAAAAAAGAGAGAGAGACAAGAGACAATCAATCAATTGGAATGGGATCTATGCACTTCAGATTATCATGACCCTGTGGCAGCCTTCATGCCTGTGTTTAAAAACCTAGTCGACCTCTTCTCTAACTTGTCACCGCGACGCCAACGCCAACGCGAGACCGAAGATCAACGATCTGCTGCTCAGCAGGCTCGACCACCGCCCTCGACCCCTCCTCGTTCTCGACCAGCTGGATCTGGTCGCAATCCCTTTGCTCTGTTATCTGACGAAATCAACCTGACCGAAACCACCTCTCCCAAAAACGCTGGGATCGCTCCTCTTCCAACGGTGTGTATGCTCCCATATCCCCATGCGCATCCCGCCAATATTTGCTCTTTGGCCGTGCATATTGCTTTTTGATAAGTCGACCCTATGCAATCTCCTCGTCTTGCGCATTTATCTCTTGGCTCTGCCTGTTTTCTTGTTACAAGCTATCCTCACTTATTCAACTTGGGACTAATTGATTTTATTAGGTTGTTCATAGTTATGTCGATACTTTTTCGTCCCCAACTGGATCTACAACCGCAGACGAACCATTGCGCACACGTCCCTTCCACCCTTTTCTAAGTCCCATTACCCGGTTAGCCATGTCCCATCGGAACCCACCGCCTTTCCCCTCCGGCAGGCAAAAGCTGATACCTCCACCCATTCCCAGGCAGGGTGATTTGTCGCCGATGTTGAACAAGGACCAGCAGAAAGATTCCCAGAATCGGCAAGATGAGGCTCGTTTGCTCGGAGCCAGATATCCGTATGTTCTACGAGTGTGTGGAGTCGTTCGAGATATTGTGGCTAACCAGCTTTTTTTGTGTGCTTGATAGTGACTCCAACGCTGTCAAGATAAAGCCCGGGGCATTTCATGCGAGGAACAAGAAGCCAGGGGTAAACTCCCGCATTTATATTGATGACTATGACATCCCATCTGATCCTCGGTTACAGTCTAGCTTCGCGCCGTCCCCCGTGGACAAACTTTCACAGAATGCCCGAAGCAGCGGGCCGGTCCGTTCTTACGGAGGATCAAATCAACAAACTTCACGGATGAACTCGCGCCACTCTGCAGATGAGTTCGAAGAGTCGAGTCGGCCTACGAAAATGCGACGCCAGAGTGAAACTAGTGAAACCGTCGACCTCACAGCCTCGGTGAACCCAGCCATGGATCAATTGGAACAGCCCTCTCTCTCCCGCCTAAATGCAACTCGTCGCAACCGACATGAAGGTTCCAGAGACCTGGAGAATGACTTCAGGCTAGCGCAAAGCTCTATTCGTCCTCAGCGTGGCCAATTCTCGTCTGTGAACTCTCCGGATGAAAGGTTCACTGAAACAGCAGCACAGCAACGCCGTCAGGCGAGATCTGCGGATCCCCATCTGTCTCGGGCCAATGACAAATCTGACCAGACTAACGAGGCCGTTGTTATTGGGAGCATTGAAGATGGACCAAAGAGAGCTGGACGGAATCGCACTGCAGTTCCTTCGACAAACATCCATCATCCTGTCAACGGCCGGGAAAGTCCAGATGAACTTCAGGGCGACACCACCACACATCCGGTACCTAGATCCTTCTCAGGAATACAAATTCAAACCACTCGCCCATCCAACCCCGGAATGCACATATCACCACCGACTCGAAAACGCTCCCCGTCCGACACCCGAATTTCGCCGCCATCACCAATCACAAAAAAGGCCAAGGTATCTCAAAAGAACTCTGATAAGAAACACCCATTGCGCTACTTCCGAACCGGCTCCTTCGGCAAAACTTGCGACATGAAGGAATTCGTCTCAATTTATTCAACTAAGGAAGGTCTTGAACTTCGTGAGAATGCCCTCGGCCAGGGTAACACAATATCAATACCTTTTCACCAAATTCGTCAAATCTTCATCGGCGAGCCCCCCAGCCGGAAAGTGAGAATCAAAATGCTACAGAGTTCCGTCCCAGCAGACGACCAGCTCGACGTTGAGTTTTGGACCGCCGACGAAAAACTCATGTTCCTGGAAGTGTTGGAACAAGTCAACGCCAAGGTCCAGCGTCCTATCAAAGAGATGTAGGTTTTATTGGCAATCTTTTAGATGAGTTCGCATTTTACTAACATTAGAAAAGGAAATGGATGGACAAGGCTTTTTTGAAATACGAAAAGCAATTCCCACTGGAGAACAAGCTGCCCAAGAAGCGGCTTCTTGATGACTTGGTGGAAGATCCCGATCCTGCGCACTCTCCTCCCTCGCGACGACCCAAACTTTCAAAGTCCTTGAGAGATGACCATGGTGAAGTCAACAATGTGAATCTACTTGAGATCAAACGCTCTGCTCAGGAAAAGGGGAAATATGGAAATGGCGTTGATTCTCAAGCGTATGCCACAGAGCAACATAATTCCCTCCCTCTTGATAACGACACCGAAGTCGATGTTCGATCTACCATCAACCCACCGGAACGCGAAACCCGGTCGTCTACCCGCCGTGTCGCTAACAAGCCCGGCGTGTTGAATGGAGACGTTACATCCGAAGCACACTCGAGCTCACTTCTCAGAGATGATTCTTTCAGGTACAAGTGGAAAAAACCGTTGGTGTATCCGCGAAATGGAAAGAAGAAGGCCGAGGTCACCCTCGGCGATCGTGAACGGCTACTTCGGGATGACTTCCTGAACGATAACCTGATCGCCCTATACATGCGTTTCCTTCAGGACCATCTTGAACGCACTAACAAAGAGGCTGCGAGACGAATCTACTTCTTCAATACCTACCTCTTTGCGACTCTCACGAACACCCCACGGGGGGACCGTGGGATCAACTACGGTGGTGTTGAGAAGTGGACTCGGAACGTCGATCTCTTCAGTTATGATTATATCGTCGTTCCCATCAATGAGAGTGCGCATTGGTATGTCGCAATTATTTGCAACTTGCCAAGTTTGTCTCTTGGTTCTGCCGACGGCGTAGAGCCGGTTCAAACACCGACTCTACAGAAAGAATCATCCAATGCGTCTGAGAGTGAGATCCAGGAAATTGAGGAGACCCCTGAGCCGGAACAGAGGTTAAAGTCAGAGCCCAACGCTTCTGACAAGGCCAGTCAATCCCGGAAGATTGGAAAGGGATCTCAGACCAGTGGGGACCTTGCTTCCCTTCAGATTGAACGGGACAAGCATGCGATCCGGGATACACTTGACCAGCAACCACTTCCACCCCCAAATCTCTCCAAATTCGCCGCCCAAAAGCTCGCCCAAGACCAGGCTGCGGCGTCGCAACCGACACACAAATCCAAGAAGAAGAGATCTGGGTTAAAGCTGGATCCCAACCAAACAACAATCATCACATTTGACTCCCTCGATATGTCTCGCTCCCCCACCATCAAAATCCTCCGCGAGTACCTCTGCCGCGAAGCGGTGTCTAAACGCGGCGTGGAACTCGACCCGACCGAAATCAAGGGCATGCGAGCACGCGATATCCCCCTTCAGCCCAATTTCTGGGACTGCGGTCTTTATCTGCTGGCTTACTTGGAGAAGTTCGTTCAAAGCCCTGACTGGTTCATCACGAAGGTGCTCCAGCGGAGTATGAGTTCTAACGATGATTGGCCTCCACTAGCCTCTGGTCTCCTGAGATACCGTTTTGGCAAGTTCCTGGACGAGCTGTACGAGGAACAGCGGGAAGCCGATGAACCAGTCATGGCAGCCAGACGACCCGTTTCATTCCTACTTGGCCCGCCCCTTCCTTGTCAAGAAGAACTTGCAGATGTCGATGTGGTACCTGAGTCTCAGCATGATACAGATCCTGTAAAGGACGCTGTGAAGACTGTGCATTCAAAGTCCGAAGACTCGAGTGAAGATTCAACCGCGGACCAGATGCATCTCTTACCTACCGAAAAACACTCAAAACCACAAAAGTCATCCTCCAACCCACCTGCAGACACAAAGTCGCAGAATCGCCATGTTGCTCCACCAAGGGAGGAACCCATTATCCAAGTACCCGGTAGCCAAGAAGAGCCTGGAGTACGAGACACACCGCCCCCTACACGAAAAGAACGAAGGAAACACAGCCCACGAGGCCCTTCGCGAAAGAGATGAGTCTGTTCATCCAAGTGATACTACCCTATTGTCTAAGATAATCTCGACATCCGAACATGGTACCGGCTGGACCGGAACTGACCGTCTACTTCATGAATCAAATATGTTCACTGTTGTTTTAGCGTTTAACCCGTGTGCGTCATGGCATGTCCATCGCATAGCCCTGCTTCGGCGTTCGATGAGAGAAGGATGGTGTTTTTTTCCTTCATGTCTTTACAACCATAGCATCAGATACCACCGTCCGCATCGCAATGCGAATTTAATCGTTATTTTTCAGCAACGTACCAACAATAACTACATATGATTAGGCACGTGAATGAGCTACCACTCACTCTCATTCGCCCCAACCCCAACCCACCACGCCATCTTATCCCTCCTAAACGACTCAAAATCCCATTCCGTATCCTCGAGCATATCCTTCCCAGCTGTCCACACATAAGTCACAGCCGAAATCTCCTCCTCCTTCCCCTTATCAGTAACCTCAACACCTGCCGCATTCAGCATTTCGCGCAGCTGGCTCTCAGGAGCACTCCCCTCGCCAGACTGGCCGTTATCACCATGCGACTCCTGCAGCGGGCGCACAACGACCAGTCTCTTGTCATAATCAGACCCCTCGAACCTATCCAGTCGGTAAAGGTCGCCGTCTGTAAGTCCCGACACGAGGGTTCCTATAACAGATGTCCCAGCGTTGGTTTTCGGATCAGATGACTTCTCCGTCTCAACTGCTGACTTTGGCACTGCCGCGATGCCTGGGAAATCGGCATCCTGCACCCGGTGCCGTCGGTACCCGTGTAGAATGGCGGGTTGGAAGCGGAGCATGGCTTCTTGCCAGGGTTCTGGGTTTGCCTGGCCGTAGATTACTTTAAACAGGATTTGCGGAACCATCAGGGTTCCTAGAAGGTTTTTAGCTCTTTGCTTTATCTTGATCCGAGATGGACGTACCATAGAAGAAGAGGACGTGGTCGCCCATTATTGTGTTTGGTGTGGGGTTGGGCTTCGTGGGTTTGTTGGTTTTTGCGTGAGGGTTGAGTGAGACTCTGAGATAGCAGATTTTATGGAATTGAGGTAATATATGGATTTCCAAATCCAGCTCAAGCTCAGTGTACAAAGAGTCATAAAAGAGAGAGGACCGAAGCCAATGGGTTATCTATGCGGAGATGACAGCCTTGGGGCCGGTCTATAGATTCCGCTTATCGATAAGACCCAAACATCCAAACAGGCCCAGCTGGCTTCATCTTCTCAATTCGACCCCAAACACACCATGCATTCCTCCTTGAACCGCATCCAGGCCGTATTCGGCTTCTTCACTACAGTCGCGCTGGTCGTCAGCGCACTGGCAGCCGTCTCGGTCATCTTCTTCCCAGCAGACGAGGCCACTGCCTCAGTGCAACTGAAGAACGTCCAGGTGTAAGTTGAATACGCGATTTCCCATTCTCCCTCCAACCCTATACTGTCTCGGGACAAAAAAGCATACAAAAACAAACAAACCCCCATATACTAATACCCATTTCCAGTGCCAGAGGCCGACCAAACTATTACTCAACCAAACGCGAAGAATACGCCCAGCTCCGCTTCGACCTAGACGCCGACCTAAGCCCCCTCTTCAACTGGAACACAAAACAGCTCTTCGTCTACGTCTACGCTACCTACTCCTCCTCCGATATCCCCGGCTCGCAAGTCCGTCTCTCGGAGTCCATCATCTGGGACACTATCATCCCCGCGACCCCGTCGCCGTATTCATGGGATATCCTCAAAGACCAGGTCCTCGCACTTCTTCCCTCGTCTGTTACATCTGAGGCTGTGTCTGCGGCGAAGAGGAATGCGAAGCGCCATGCTAAGTCGGCTAAGGCGGCTAAGAGTAAGAAGGAGGCTCTTGCGCCCGGTGTTCTGAGACTGCGTGGTCAGAAGGGTAAGTATCAGATCAGTGATATTTCTGGTCGTCTGGCGGAGCGCCAGAATGTTACTCTTCATGTTGGATGGAATGTTCAGCCTTGGGTTGGGGCTCTGTTGTGGGCGCCTGGTACTGGTGCTGCGCCCAGGACTGAGGGGACTATTGTTAGTAGCGAGCCTTTTGATTTCCCCGCGGTGAAGGACAATAGGAAGGCTGCTGCGGAGAAGAGGGCTAAGGAGGCGGAGAAGGTGGAGAAGGCCAATGTATAAGCTTTGGTTAGGTCTGTTGAGATTCGGAGTTGGGATCTACCTGTGTTTTTATTTTTATTTTTGGGAGCTTCTAGAATGCTCACCTCCTACAGTTGCATTTTGAAAAATGATACATATGAAACGCATCCTCATTGGAGTGGGAACCAATCCTTGTTTTATTTATTGTTTCAGAGGGATCCAGTTACACTCGAATGAAGAACAAGGATCGACGCTATAGATACAGAAGAGGTAGAGACACGCTTAGGTTCACAGTCTTAGAGAATGCCGACCGTCGACAGACGGGGTCAAGCATGTCGAACAAGAGTTCGGAGGTATCGAAAGAAAATCACACGGTACCGTAATTAAGGTCTGCGGGTGTATGACGATGGCCTCCATTCTGGATGCGGTCGGAGTAGACGCCCGGTGCGGGCCGTTGAGAGGCACGAGTCAGTGGGTCACTATCGCGACGATCATAATAGACATATTCCAAATAGAAGGCGTGGATGTGTCCGGGGAAGTAGCTGGGAGATACGGTTAGTTTTCGAATACAATGGGAGTCTGGATATCTTGTATAACACTCACCCGAGAATTGTGAGCAGAACGTTGATCCAGAAGTCAACTCCGCAGCCTGCAATCATAAAGACACCAAGAGGGGGAACTGTTGATTTTGTTAGCGGGTCATTCTGGTGGGGATGGGTTGATACATGTAGAGCGATCAGGGACCACTACGTGGGGTGGTGTTTTTTGGAGGTTTTTCAGGTAACAGAAAGTTTTGACTTACTGAATAAGGTGATGATGATCAAACAAAGCGTCGAGCAAGCGCCGGCCATGATTGTGGTGGTGTTTGGTGTTTGATGTATGTGGTGTTATTGTTCAGGCTTGGCTGATCGAGGTCTGAAATCGGTAGTGGCCAGAAAACTGAGGAGGAGGATTGCAAAGAGGAGGATGAAGATATAAATAGGTGTGTAGTCACCCGCAGGGGAGTTAAGGTGTTTCATGTTAGTCTTAACCACGACGTCATGACTGGGATTTGAAAGGGCACCGCCTGTGCAGGTAGGGCTGAGGCAGCCGTGAAACTGATTTGCTGGAACGGATAATGACGTCATCCCGAACTGTCACCGCCACATGCCACATCCAATATATGTGGCTGGTGTCTGGCCCGTACATTGCAAGTACAATTGACCAGGCAGGTACGTTGGACGGACTTGGAACAGATGTAGAAGTACTGGGAATACATTTCCTGTAAGATCCCCAGTATCAAGTTCTTACACCGCATCAATCGCCGCCCGGGTTGTAACTTGCTCGTTCTTGTTTCCAAGCTTTGAGATCTGCAAAAATGCGTCGACTCCATACCCTTCGAGACTGTGCAGTTCCAAACTGCCTGCCCAATATTCAGCATAGACTCGGCTCATGGGGAGACCCATCCCCAGGCGGAGATTGGGTGGTCGTGATGTCAACGTGTCCAGAGATCCTTCATGGTACGAATCTCGGCCGGTGTGTTTCAGGTCGTGTGACACTTGCAGTTCTTGCATCGTCGCCGCCATTGCTGGGACCTGTCCAAGATTTTCCAGCCGCGATTGCGTGCGAGGACCCTTGCTGAAGGACCACAGGTATGGCAAAATCTCACGAGGGATTCCTCCTCCTTGATCCGATATGCGCATTATCACATGCTGCGGGGTCTCGCACACGAGCACTTCGATGGGTGGTGGGGGTTCGGTCGAATCTTGGTATTTCTCCATCACTGCTTGCACTGAGTTGCGGAGAAGTTCTCCGATGATATATTCCAAGTGGCTCAATATATAAGGAAAGGTGGCGTCGACATGGCCCTTGACGGTGATCGCGGGGATCTGAGTCGACCCTGATATGTTCCGCATCAGATCCTGTGCGACCTTCCCACATCTCTCGACTACCTCCTTCGCCTTGCACTTTAGGAACACTTCACCCACAAAGTCTGCGTTCATGTCGGTTCGGTCGTGGGAATCGGGGAAATGCCATGGCGAGTTGAAGGTTTCGGTTAGAGCTAGGTGTTGCTCTGCGATGACTCGGCGAGAGATTCGCTACCGAGGAGATAATTGTCAGCTAGGAGGTAGATAGGAGGTCGACCTTACATACCGCTCGCAAAAGTGTGTTCATTAACCGGTCCATTTCGTCCGCTGGAGCGAGATTGCGGCATTCCAGCACTCCCATCGCCAGGTTGGGAATCGCAATCAGATGCTCTCGTAGCATTTCTTTCAGGATATCACAGAAACGGTCATTATCTTCAAGGGTCCGGATCTCAGGAACCACCCGAGCTCGCTCGAATGCTTTGTAGTACAGTTCGTATACAAGGGTGAGATGCGGATTGGCAACTACCACATATGGTAGCTGCTGGATGTCCCGCAGACGATGCGCAAGACTATTCAATAGACCATGGTCAGATTTTTTGCTATTTTGGAAGGACTTCTGCAGATTGTCTCCCAACTTACCGAGTAGGTAGCTCAGTCCGCACATAGTTAGCAGAACTGATGAGTCGAGGTTCGGTCAACGTACGACCAAAAAATGTCAACTGACGAAGACTGATAGGTCGGATAGCTCGTTCCACCCATCTGCCAGCACATCCCAGTCAGTATTATGTACCATTTTAAGCTTTATCAAGGTGAGTCATGCATACTCATCTACTGCAGAAACTGGCCGCCATGGTGGCGGGCTGTGAGCTCCAGAATAGCAGCGTTTCAAGGGAGATCGGAGGAGCTGCCAGCTTCTAGCTGGATAAGTCAACCTCATTGTGCTCCATGCACTCATTCAATAAGTACCGAGACCATATAAGGGTTCACTATCTTGTGCACGCGCGTAGTTGAGACTTCCAGAGTTTGGGGTTGCCGGGCGGTGAGTCAACCTTAGAAGCATGTGACACCAACAGACTTGTATGCTTTCAGTTTTGTTTTGCTCGTCTTTATATACATAAATATATATCTCCATATATATCCTGGGGTCTATATATGTGTGTTTCAAAATCTACAGATGCCAATGTCATACGATTTGAGTTCTCATCCCAAGTTACCTCGGATCTGAGGCAACTCGCACGGACTTGGGGCTAACGCATCATCAGCTCATGGATTTGGATCATCTGAGGGTGAACTGGGGAAATTTGGATGATTGAGAGCATGCAAAGAGATACACATATCGATTGGCATGCAGAACTAAAACATACATATGTATCTTTGTATCTATGCTATCTACTCCCGTACATATCGATAAATCAGACTGGTACAAAATAGGGCTTTTTTCACCGTATACTCCGCACCTCAGTACTTCTGCATATATTATTGCACACTACCAATTAAACAAACTATTGACTTCAATCCGATAGAGAGAGAGCGAGAATTCAGAGCTCATTGAAAAAAAAGCTATATGAACTCTATAAATAAGCATCTAATCAAAGACAGATCTCATACAACATAAACAACATCCTTTCAATATCACTGCCGAGCCCTCGAGGCTCCGCCACCGCTAGCTCCGGCCCTTATTATTTTGCGGGTTCAGACGAATTTCCTCCACCACCAGGCTCTACAGTGTATTTCTTTCCAACATTCTGTCTTTTTATTCACAAAACTTCCTTAAAATACAAACTCTGACGCCTTCCGGGACGGGAAGGCGCTTTCCGCGATGGAAAACGTGAGAGATCCCCCGACCGTGCCCCTCGCTAGTGTCGTCATTGGACCTAACCCTGTTCTACCAGCTCGCGGAGAACGACATGCTTGTCGATGATTATGACCAATACCCTGCCGAAAAGACCGATGTCGTCGTCGTTTCCCGGTCGGGATCCGATGAGCCTGAGTCCGCACCGACCGCAGATGATCGTATGTTCTTTGTTGCTTTTTTTCCTTTCCCTAAACCACAAGCAGGAGGGCGGTTTGACGGGTGAACTGGACAAAGCATGGCACCTAGATGAGATCGCCCTCGAGAAATATACACCCTGTTTGCTTGTCTGTGTTGAGTGGTTGCTAATCAAGATGGTGGACACAGACGCGGCGATGATGGCAAAGGTCCTCCCCAAAAACCCCGACCTCGAAACCCTAGACGAAGTCCACAACACATGGCACTTGTCAGAATGGCGGAAGATGGAGCGCAAGTCACACGGACCCATCTTCCGATGTGGTGACTCCCCGTGGTGAGTGCCTGAAATCTCTTTGCCGGGATTTGGCTCTTATGGCTTTGTGCCGGCAATGGATCTGACTCGAGAATAGGCGCATCCTCTTTTTCCCCTACGGAAACCAGACCGAATTCGCCTCGTTTTACCTCGAACATGCGTGGGAAGGTGGACCACCGGAGAACTGGTATGCTTGTGTGCAGTTCGCGCTGGTGTTGTCGAATGTGAACGATCCTTCCATTTATACACACCACGGTAAGATATTCAATTCCTAAGGGATTGTTTGGTTAGAATGCTGAGTTGGATTTTAGTTGCAACCCACCGTTTTACCGCCGAGGAAGGAGACTGGGGTTTCACTCGATTTTCCGACCTCAAAGGTCTGTTCAGCCACGCGTGGGAGGGAAAATCAGTCCCGTTGGTGCAAGACGATGAGGCACTTGTCACGGCCTATGTTCGTGTAGTGAAGGATCCCACGGGTGTCTTATGGCACAGTTTCCAAAAGTGCGTTCTCTCCGGGAAGTTTGACCGAGCGAAACTAACTTCTTTTTAGTTACGACTCGAAGAAGGAGACTGGAATGGTGGGATTGAGGAACCAGGGAGCTACATGCTACTTGAACTCACTTTTGCAGTCGCTCTATTTCACAAATGCTTTCCGCAAGGTACGAAAAGAAAACTTCGATTGCCCCCTTAACTACTGAGACTAATGGACATCCTTAGGCCGTCTACCAAATACCAACTGACCAGGAAGCTTCCCGTGAAAACAGCGCGTGGGCCCTCCAGAGACTATTTTACAACCTGCAGACCAACGACGTTGCAGTTTCCACAACCGAGCTTACCGCGTCTTTTGGCTGGCAATCCAGCCAGATCTTTGAACAGCAAGATGTACAGGAGCTCTCACGAAAGCTCATGGAAAGATTAGAGCACAAGATGAAAGGTACCGTTGCAGAAAAAGTTCTACCTGATCTGTTCGTCGGAAAAACAAAAACGTATATTTCTTGCATCAATGTCGATTACGAGTCTTCCCGCGTGGAAGACTTCTGGGATATTCAACTCAATGTTCGAGGCAACAAGACCTTAGACGACAGCTTCAGAGATTACATTCAGGTCGAGACATTGGAGGGCGAGAACAAGTACGAAGCTGGGCAGCCATACGGTCTGCAGGACGCCAAGAAGGGTGTCATCTTCGAAAGCTTCCCTCCCGTTCTGCATCTTCACCTCAAACGTTTCGAGTACGACCTCAACCTTGACATGATGGCCAAGGTCAATGATTATCACACATTCCCTATGGAGTTCGATGCGGCTCCGTATCTTTCTGAGAGCGCTGACAAGTCGGAGTCCTGGGTTTACCAATTGCATGGTGTTCTCGTCCACAGCGGTAACCTCGATGCTGGACATTACTATGCCTTCCTGAAGCCCACCAAGGATGGACACTGGTACCGCTTTGATGATGACCGAGTCAACCGAGCTACTGACAAAGAAGTCCTCGATGAGAACTACGGAGACTCCCAGCAGCGCACGAACGGAGCGACTGGAGGGCGATCGGCTATTCGCACAAACAACGCCTACATGTTGGTGTACATCCGGAAGACGAGACAGGATAATGTATTATTACCAGTCACAAAGGATGATGTGCCCTCTCACATTGGTATGTCCAGAGATTCTAGTTCTTTGGGAGAGTTGACCGGTTGGCTAACTGTGAAA